GTGAGAAATAAATGTTAATTACTTATAAGCAACCTAGTTTATATTAATATTATTTTGTTATAGCACCCCAAACAGAATAAGACATTGATCAATGCAAAATTCACACAAGGAAGAAAATAATAAGCCTAAAAGCAAAAATTGACTAAACAGAAAATATACAATAAAGAAAATTAACCAAGTCAAAAGTTGGTTCTTTCAAATGATTAATAAAAATGAATCAATCCCTAGCAAGATGGATTAAGAAAAAATGAAAGAGAACACAAAATACCAATGTCAAGAATAAAAGAGGAAATTTTATTACAAATCCTACAGACATCAAAAGAATTACAGATACCTTGATATCAATAAATTCAACAAGATGAAGTGAAGAAATTTCTTGAAAAACACAATTTATTAAAACTGATTCAAGATCCACTGAAAATCTGTATAGGCCTATATTCATTAGAGAGAGTATTATCATTACCAAATTCACCCCACAAAGCAACTCCAACTCCAAATGTTTCACTAGTGATTTCTAGCAAGCATTGAGAAAAGAAACAATACCTATCTTGTATAATCATTTTTAGAAAACATAAGGAACACTTTTCAACTCATTTTATGAAGGTGGAGTTACCCTGATATCAAAGCCAAACAAAGATGTTTAAGAAAATGCTAGACCAATATCCTGAACACAAAGGCAAACATTCTTAACAAAATACTAGCAGAAAGCATCTAGCAATATATGAAAACAATACTGAAGCATGATCAAGTAGTGTATACCTCCAAAATCCAAGGTTTGTTTAACATTTGAAAAATTAATGTAATTGACCATAATAAATAAATAAAGGAAATGTCATACACAGATACAGAAAAAACATTTAACAAAATTCAATACCTATTCATGTTTTTTTAAAAAAACTGCCATCAAACTAGGAATAGAAAGAAATCTTCCTCAACCTAATAAAGGGCCTCTATGAAAACCAACATCACACTTAATAGTGAAAGACTATTTTCCCTCTAAGATCAAAAACAAGACACAAATGTCTGTTCTCACCACTTCTGTACAACTTTGTACTAGAGGTTCTAGCTAGAGCCATAAGGCAAGAAAAATAAATAAAAAGCATCAAGATTGGGAAGAAAGAAGTGTTCCTCTTTCTAAATGATAGGATTTCAATTCTCCCCAAACTGGTCTACAGATTCAGTGAAATCCAAATCACAATCCCAACAGACTTTTTATTAGAGATGGATAAGTCTATTGTAAAATTCATATGGAAATACAAAAGTACTAGAATGCCCACAAAAACTTGGGGAAAAAATAAAATTGGAAAACTTCCCCATTTCAAGACTTAGCTATAAAATTACAATCATCAAGACAAGGTGATAATGGCATAACAAAGACAAATTGACCAAAATTGAACAAAATAGTTTAGGAATAGACCACATTTATTCAGTCAACTAATTTTTCACAAAGGTACCAAAAAGTTCAGTACAGCAAGGACAGTCTTTTCAACAAATGATACATAGGACATTTGTATCAATGGACAATTGATGTATAGAAAAAATGAACTTCAATCTCTATAGTAGCTAGCCTCCAAGAACATTTATGGATTCACATCTCCTAGTATTTCTGCCCTTCGTATAGTGCCCTCCCATACTGAACAGGGCTGATCTCTATAACAAATAGGATATTGCAGAAATGATATGATGTGACTTCTGAGGCTAGATCATAAAAAACATTGCAGCTTTCTCCTTGTTTCTTTCACCTCACTCTATCTGGATGAAGTCAACTACCACCTAAGGACATTCATGGAGTTCTATGGAAATGTCCATGAGGCAAGAAACTGAAGCCCCTCGTCAACAATAAGCTCACTTGTCAGGCATGTGAGTTAGCCATCTTCAAAGTAAATCCTCTAGCTCATTCAAACCTTCAGAAGACTGCAACCCAGTTGACATCTTGAATGCAAATTCATGACACCCTGAGCCAGAACCACTCAGCTAAGTCACTCCCAGTTTTCTGATCTGCTGGAACTGTGTGCAATATTAAATGTTCATTATTGTTTAAGGCCACTAAGTTTTGGGGTAATTTGTTATACCACAATAGATAAGTAATACTATCCCTGCATCATACCATACTCAAATTAATTTAATATGAAACACAGACTAAACATAAAAGTTAAACTATGAATATTTTAGAGGAAACACAAGAAAATATCTTTATGATCTGGGGGTGGGCAAAGATACGACACAGAAAACAAGCACTCCAAAAGCAAAAAAAAAAGGATAAGATGGACTGAATCAAAATTTAAAACTTCTGCTCATCAAAAGATCATTAAAAAAATGAATAGGCAAGCCACAACTGGAAGAAAATATTTAAAACACATATATGGCAAAGGACTTGATTCCAGAATATATAAAGAACTCCTACAAATCAATAGTAAAAAGACAAGCAGCCCAATTTTATAAGTGAGTGAAAGAACAGATACTTCTCAAGGAAAGATATACAAATGATCAATAATACATGAAAAGATGCCCAACATCATTAGTCCTTATGGGAATGCAAATGAAGCCTATAATGATTTACCACTGTACATCTACTAGAGTAGCTAAACTAAAAAGACCAACAATGCCAAATGTTGGCAAGGATATGGAACAATAGAAATTTTCATACATTTCTGGTGAGAGTGTAAATGATACAGTTACTTCACAAAAACTATGTAACAGTTCTCCAAAGTTCTAAGATACATGAACCCAATAACTGGCAATTTCATTCATACGTTTTTAACCAAGAGAAATGAAAACACATCTCCACAAATATACTTGTTCAAGAATGCTCACAGCTGGCTTATCCACAACAGTCCAAACACAGAAACAGCCCAAATCAATAGGAAAAATAGATAAACAAATATTGGAATATGTATACAATGGGATAGTTGTCAATAAAAAAGAAAAAACTACTGATACACACAACAACATGGATGAACCTCAAAGACATTATGCTGAACAAAAGAAGCTGGACCTAAGAGAATATATACAGTACAATTCCATTCATATGAAATTCTATGCTATGAGGATCAGCAAGGTTTTGACAGGAAGGTAAGAGACATTGTAAGAACAGAGAGCATTAGAAAAACACAGAGTATATATAGGGAACTGAAATCAGTACAATTTTACTTCAGAATAAGGCACATAAGGAACATAGTGGATCCTCAATAAGTGTTTGACAAATTGATATTAAATTAAATACAAGACAAGTTGAAGACAAATCATATTTGGCTTTGAATGCCAAACTAAGGGATTCAAAGTTTAATCTCTTCTGAAAGGGGGCCACTGAAGATTTCTGAGAAGAGCCCTATTATATAAATTGTGCTGTAGAAAGGACAGAACAACTCCACCAGTTCTCATGAATGCTCACCTGAGTAACGGGTTGAAATTTCTCTGTTTTAAGTTATTTATGTTTCTAACTAGGGACATTTTTCAGCACATTTTACAGAAAGAAGGTTTCATTTCGATGTCAACTGATATTCCTATATGACTCTTTTCAGAGAACAAAAGATACTTGCAAATACAGCTTATTATATAATTTCATCTTCTGGTCTAGATATAATCAAATGAAGTTGTCAGCAAAATTAATTTAAGATCAATAGTGATTCTATACTCCTGATGACCTAAGCCAGACATGCTAGTAGGGCTACTTTATAATTAAGAAACTGTTAAGTACCTTCTTGTACTCCTCTAATGGAGACAACCCAAGTTTCACTGAAGGCATATAAGACACTCCATGGCAATGTGAAGAGTATTATGCAAGTATCCAGCATATGCAATCTTGTTACCACGAACTGAGTAATCTTAAACACAGACCCTAGTATCACTGTGGTAACCCTATGTAGAAAAGCTATAATGTATCAAATTTGCTTTCCAACCACAAAAATGACAAAGTATGAAGTTCTATAAACACCATTCCCTTAATTAAGGAACTAGTAACCTAAATATATAAAAACTGATCTGCTTATTCACTACATACATGGCCATTTGAATAAAAATAAATAAATAAATGCTGTGTTGAAAAAAGTGAAAAGATAATGTTACCCAAACACATTAGCTGTCTTCAAACAAAGGAATGTTTTTCATTCCTTTCAAATAAGGGTGGAAAAAGAGAACAAAAAATTCTGCAATAAAAGCGCACATAATTAACATCAATCACGGTGATGATATACCATGGAAGAGGAAAGAAGAAAAGTTACCTAGTCATAGGTCAAATTTTTTTCATATCCTGCCTGTACTGTAACTTGTGAACTTTAGAACTTTTACAGACTTTCTGAAAGCTGAAAAGAATCCAGTAACTCGTACAGAACCTCATGAACAGTTCCTGGGGTACCACAAGCACCTGTTTCCAGTGTGTTCCACCCATGGCTCCTAAGTGGAAATAAGTAAATGCAAACGCAGCAGTGCCCTGGGTGTGAAAACAGGGTGAAGACCCCTAGGCACAGCCCAGGAGGGCTAGCTTCCCCCAAGGCTGTGTATGACAGGGATTTGGGACTGGGAGGGAGGTGAGGGAGGCGGGTGCATCCTCTGCCCTAGGGCCCCACACCTACCCAGCCGGCAGCCACCCTCCTGCCCACAGCCCGCCGCCCTAGGTACTCACAGCTCTGGTCTCATAGAGTACCAGCTTCTGGACCGAGCTGATGATGGGGGCGGCGGCCACGGGCATGGCGAGAGCAAGTGAGGGCCCCACGCCAGGGCACCAGCCGCTGGACCGCCCTAGGAGACCCGGCGAGTAAACACTTCAGACCTTAGGCCCCAGGTCCAGCCTCCTGGGCACTACAACCAGGATCAGCTACAGCTCAGGTGTTTCCGGATGCCCGCGCCCCGCCTCCAGGCCAGCCCCGCCCAGTCATGGCGGGAGCAGGGCTGGAGGATGCACGATAGGGCGCATAGAGGATCCCAGAACCTGCGTACTGCCGCTGGAAGAAGCTAAGAGCGCCATCTTTAGTAAGGGCAATAGAAAAAGTGGGCGGAGAAAATGCCAGAGGATTTATTGAGTTTCTCTTTTTTTTGTCTCCTCCCTCCCTTTGGAAAAACCGAGAAGGTTTGGGATTGGGTTGCTTCTTTTGAAGCGGGTTCTCCGAGTTGCTGGATAGATCCATTCCCAAATTGGACTGTTTTTTCCCTACCTACTTCTGCCCTTATTTTCCTGGAAATGTGCCATTCGACGGTCCTTCACTGAGTGTGGATGTTTTCCCCCTCACCTCTCTTCGTTGCCTGCTTTTTCCTTCTGAGGGTTATGTTGTACCGAGGCTGTGTGATCCAAGGAAATTTTTTTAATCACCTAAAAGGGGAAATTTCGCACTTTGCCACGTATTTGTGTCTGAGGCTAACCGTGTGTGGATTTTAAAAGTGGACTATTGAGCGTCGTGTAGCGAAACAAGCGCTGGCTTTGGAGTCCGGCCGTTCCGTGTTAAAATAAGGTTTCTTCTATTTCGTGCGTGTGACCTAAACCGACAAGGTATGCACCCTCTTCTATATTTATGAAAAGGAGTGTTTTACAGTTATGAATACACAATTAGGTACAAAAGTGAATACTTAGAATAAAAAAAAAAGAAACCAGCGAAGTGCGGCCCCACCCCCTGAGGCCCCGCCCCGCGAGTCCCCGCGCGCCGCGGGAGGTTTCCCCGGCAACCGCTCAACAGTCCGCGGAGCCTCTGAGGCGGCTGCTGCCGGGACTGCGGGGTCCGCGGGCGCCAGGTAAGTGACCCTTCTCCAGGTGCCGGCGGGGTCGTTGTCCGCCGCCCACATGCATTTTGGTATGGGTCGCACGGGACCTCACCTGTTGCGGGGACCCCAGATCAGTTCCTTTGCTTGCAAAACTAAACTTCGGGATCTTTTTGTAAATCCACTTTTTAAAACTACTTCTCCTTTCAACGACGAATATATTTATCCTACAAATATTTGCTGAACACCTACTACGAGAGTATAAGACATAGTGGAGTGGCAGCTAACCTAGCCTAAGGCGGAAGTGCGAGGTTTCCCAGGAGACGTGACCCCTCTGAACCTCAGAATCCACTGCTCTAGGGTTTCTCAACTGCTAAAAGTGTAGTGAAACTTTTTTTAAAAAGTTTATAGAATTGTAGCATAAACACATAATATTATATTAGAGATTATATGGTAAATTCAAAATTGAGAAATCAATTTTTAAACAAATTTTTAATTATATGTTATTGTGATTGTTTTCTTTATAAATTGTTATTACTTTTATTTTTCCTCTCTCTTTTTTTTATTTCAGGATATTATGGGGGTACAAACATTTTGGTTACGTGTTATGACTTTGCCTCCCTCATCCAAGCCAGGATTAGAGGCGTGCCCTTCCCCCACACAATGCTCACCGAGTCCATTAGCTGTGAGTTTGAAAGGTGGTCATGTCAGTTCTGGCATTTTTGCACTGACTTGGATCTTTTAACTGGGAAAAATACTTAGCTCTGTTCTATTTCGTAATGGAGACCAACGCTTCTGAATAGGAGCTAAATGTTTGCACGTTTTTATATGGGATAACAACTCTTAAAATATCTGTAGAATTCTGGTTTTCCATTATTATATTATACTATAATTAAGCACTTCCATTCATACCTTATCTTAGTTTCACCCAGAAGCAGATCCTGAGACAAAAATTTGAAGGCAAGTAGTTTATATGGGAAGTAGTTTATATCCCAGGAAATAGCAGCAGCGAGGGGAAAGAAACTAGTAAAGGGAATATTATCAAGCAAACTTCTCTGTGGCTGAATATTCACTAGGGAATACTGGAATGCATGTCTCAGAGTTATCCCCTCTTAAGGGGCAAGGGAGCTGGAATATTTATTCACCACCTCCCATCAGTTATTGGTTGAAGCCTGCTATGGCAGAGCATTGATTCACTGAACATCCTGTCTGCCCTGTGCTCAGGCAGAGTGGGTTCTGGCGGCTGGAGAAAGCCCTTAGGCAAAGAGTCACACATGCTGGCCTTTGGAAGTTGGGCTAGCCATGCTCTATAGAAGAGGTACATGTCAAGTGGATAGGGATGGGGAACTAATAACATCTTCTACACTCCCCCTTTTGCACCACTTATATCCACTCTTCCCCAACATTAAGTTCACACCATCCCATCACTGATTCTTTAAGGTAGTGGCTAGTCCGAATTTCTAAAAGAAAAAGACTTACAAAAAGAAGACAAATGGGACAATCCCATAGACTCTACTACTACAATTAATCGTAGGTCTGTAATTGATAATTCATCATGTCCTTCCTTTACTACCCACTCTAGGTTTTCCTTACCCCTGGCTAGCACTTCTGCTGGTCTAAGTTGTTTGCCTAGTTGGATAACCAGCTTTGATCCCTGAAGAGTATAAGCCCCTGATTACTATGTCCTTGTGAGGTTTTGATTGCTGCAATTACCCATTCACTGGACATGAAAGCATCAAGGGGTGTCTCAGAGGATCCCCTGAGTTCAAGACATACATCCCCCACCCCAATCATATAGCAGTAGCCTATCTCCACTTCCCAGTGCAGTAACCCCTACAGGCTAGTGGAACCAAAAATGACTAGGTGGCAGCAAGAGTCTTAAATTTAGTTTTAGAAATCTTTACAAGGCACCCTAATAGATCCATCTCTCCCCTTAACCAAACCCAAGTCCCTTATTAAAGTGATTTTGTTCTGTAAAAGTTGTATTCAGTCAAAAGGCTGCACTCAAGGATCCAGAAGTCCACATGTGGCCCCAAGACCGGAGGTTCCCCACCCCTGGAAGGGAAATGAAAATTCCCCAAATCAATCACTGAGAGTCCGGATGAGAGGGGCCACTCCTACTTAGAACCCTTGGTTAGAAGCATATTCCTCATCTGGAAGTACACTGTCTCAATCCCACACAATCTCAAACTAGTGCCTTAGCTATACCTTTAAGAAGCCATTCCAACCTTCTGTCAGACCAGCAGCTTCTAGGTGAGGTGGCATGTGATGAGATCCCATGTTCACTTACCTCTTGTCATATCTCCTTTACTGTAAAGAGGGACCTGTGATCCCAGGCAATGTTATATGAGATCCCATGGAGGTGAATGAAACACACTCAAAACTCTTAGGTAGGGATGCTGGCCAAAGTACCGAGGGTAGGGAAAGCAAACACATACCGGGAACACATGTCACTTGCCCCTTCCATAGCGAAGGAGTCCTGTGTTATCAATTTGTCACTGAATGGTTGGTTTGTCTCCTCAAGGGATTGTACCATGTTGAGGGCTCAGCCTCAGTCTCTGCTGTGGGCAGGTAGAGCATTCAGCAGTAGTAGTAGCTAGATCAGCCTGGTGAGAGGGAGCCTTGTGGAGCCCACGCATAGCCTCTGCCACCTCCATCCCTGCCACCGTGCCTACGCTGTTTATGAGCCCATTATGCAAGCACTGAGGTGACCAAGGACAAAGACTGGCTGGCACCTACTGGATATCATCCTGTCCACCTGGTTATTCAGTGCCTTTACTGAGGTGTGTGCTTTATGAGACACAAAGATCTACATATTTTGTGTCCACTTGCATTAGTTTTCTGTGCTGCATAGCAAATTACCACAAATTAGCAGCTTCAAACACACACATTTATTATCTCACAGTTTCCATGACCAAGAGTCCTGGCATAGCTCAGCTGGGTCCTCTGCTTAGGGTTTCACAAGCTGCGGTCAGATGTTGGCTTAACTGTGCTGTCGTCTGGAGATGCGACAGGGGAAGAATCCACTCCCATGCTCGTTTACATATTTGTTGGCAAAAGTCATCCCTTTGTGGTTGCTGGACTGATTTCTCTGTTTTCTTACTGTCTGTTGGCCGGGGCTGCTCTCAGCTACTGGAGGCCACCCATGTGGTGTTCCTTGCCATGTGGTCCTCTGACAACATGGCTGCTTCTTCCAAGCCAACAGGTAGTCTCTCTCCAGCCAGCTAAGATAGAGTCCTATATAATGTAACGTAATCATGGAAGTGACATTTCTATCACCTTTGCTATGTTTAAAAGCAAGTAACAGATCCCACTGGCACTCAAGGAAAGGAGATCATATAAGAGTGTGACTCACTAGAAGTTACCTTAGGGTGTGTTTGCTACACCATTCTCACAGGTCTAATCACAGGCTCCTTCCCCAGAACTTTTATCTTCTGATCTTGCTCCTTTTAGGCTCTTGATGAAGCCATTCAGGATTGTCCTCCAAATTGAGGGCCTAGGAATACTGCTTAAAACTCTGCTGCCAGGAGAATTTCCCCTAATTGCCATTTTTTTTCAGGGTTATTGGGAGTGGAACTAAAGCCTGGAAGCGTTCAATTAACAGCTCGCACCAATACTTTGTGATTCTTCCATGAATATTGTTTTCGTTTTCTGCCAGCTGTTCCTTCCTAGGGAATTCCACATGAGGTGTGAGCTGAAAGACATGATGGTGCACAAAAGACAGGTGGACACGGTGGTCTGGGCTGCTTATTTATAGAACTTATTTGTGCCTTCCAGACCTGCTTGAGCCTAATTCCAGTGTTCCATTTTCATTGTTCAATGGATTACTGCTGCATCTACCTAACTTTAGGACTTGATCTGTCTGACATACCCAGCAGATGAAGGACACTTCTAGTTGCATAGTCACTTTACAAAATTAAATTTTCCCATCCAGAAATATATTACGGTTTTTCATTTATTTGAGTCTTCTTTAGTATCTGTCAGCAAAATTTTATAGTTAGTGCACCTATATATCATTAGTGTACATTTCTTACTAAATTTATTCACACCTCTTTTGTAGCTTTTGTGCAGTTGTGAGAATTTTTTATTATTACTGGTCTTAGAGAAAATGATTGGTTTTTAAAAAGATATTTTTGCTATATAATTTTAATTATTTAATAGTTCCAATAAATAACATTATCATTATTTTGTTAATATTTTATAATTTTCACTTCAAGTTTTTCTTTGATCCAGTAATATTTAGAAGAATATTGTTCATTTTTTCTTTTTAATTTTCAAGAATTGAATTAGTAGCTTTTGAAAATACTTATATAATTATTTTTAACATTATTTTATTGTGATCAAGAAATATGTCCTATGTTATTTTTAATATTTACTTAACAGACATATCCTATGAGTCCTTGTAAATATTTTATGAGGATAAATATATAAATAGTCTTTAAGTGCTTGAAAACAAGACATGGTTTTTGTACAAAAATAAACTTTGTAAAAAAATAATTTGACCTGGTCTGTTTCTGATTGACTCTAAAAGAGCTATTGTAAGTTGAAAACTTAGTTCTTATGGATATAATGTTTAAAATTGGGGTTCTGTGCCTAGAAATCCACTCAGTAGCTCAAAGTAGCAAACAGTTTCCAAAAATAATTTTAAAATAAATATATGTTCTTACAGACATTTATAAAATATGACACAGTGAATATAAACATTTTCTGCATTGTTTCTGCATTTCTGAAACTATGAATCTAATAAATTTAGCTAGTGTTATATTTTCTATTTCTACATAAAATTTATACACACATAAGCATGTACATTTATATACACTCTATATAAATTTTATATGGAGATAGTGTATGTGCATGTGTGTGTATATAACATATTTAACTTTGATTTTTAATATAATATGTACATAATGACATTTTTCTGTATTTATGCATATATATGGTTTTTCTCTTGATTTGGTCTTTCAGAAACACTTTGAGCTCTCTTTTTTACATCATATATAGTTAGATTTTGTATTTGTTCAAACCAAAAGCCTACTATTGTTTTAATAGATAAGTTTAACTTATTTGCAATTACTGACAAAATCAATATATTTAGGAGTGTAAAATGGTTTCTGGGCTAAGTAAATTCACAGTATATTTCAGCTCTCCCTAGTTTATCCTGCCTGCTCCAACCAAATTAGGCACTTTAACAATCTTACTCTTTCTTATTACAGTATTTTGTATTATGATTTCTCAAGAGAAGACAGAAGAGCTTCCTTTTGCAGATATATTTAGTGAAGATGAAACTGAAAAAAATTTTTTGTTGTCCAAACCTGTTTGCTTTGCTGTATTTGGGAAACCAGTAAGTTATGTCTTGTATTATTTAGTAGAATTTTTTATTTTTAAAATCACAACCTTATGAGTTAACATACAATAATGAAAACCACATACTGTGCTAGTTTTTTGATTGTCTGATAGATTTTCATTGTATGGCTTAAAATCTGATATACTATTTGTTATAAATTCATAACTTTCTGTCTTATACACTATAATTGAAAAGGAATCTATATTGTATTTATATTTTTGTTATATTATGAGGAAATTAATTCATCAAAACACTGCACCATGACAATTATTGGTAGAATGTCATGTAAGGTTATTTCAGACTTGATTTGTATATAAAACTTTCTTTGAAATTTGTTGTGAGGCTCTCTAGAAATGTGAGGGTAGGACACTATTGATACGAGCTAGGAGGGTCTCCTGTTAATGCCTGAAGATGCTGGGAGACAATATGCCTTAGCCCTTACCTCCAATACAGTGGTCCCCAGTCTCTTGGGTACCAGGGACCTGTTTCATGGAAGACAGTTTTTCCACGGAGAGTCGGGCTTGGGGAAGGCAGGGAGTGGAGCTCAAGCAGTGATGCCAGCAATGGGGAGCAGCTGTAAATATAGATGGAGCTTCACTTGCATGTCCTCCATTCACCTCCTGCTCTGTGGCACCCTGCTTCCTAAGTTTCATAGAAGATCATTTTTCCACTGGGTGGGGGGTGGCCAGGGGAAGCAGGGCAGTGGTGGGTTGTGGCAGACCTCTGCAGCTCTGGCCCTAACATGCCGTGGACTGTGGTCCTGTGGTTGGAGACCACAGTGTCAGAGGACCTATGTATTGTCTTTCCACAAAACAGGAAGAAACCCAAGTGGCTGTTGTGATATAGTTTGCCTTTCTAGGCAGTTCTAGTGAGGCCCCCTAGATAAGAGCTATTTTCAGCCACTGAGCTAGTTGGCACTTAGCATTAGAAGGCCTGAGCTGGGTAATTAAGGAGTCTGTCCAGAACAATGGAGATTAAGAGCTGGGTCCCGTCCTTAATTTTATATGGACCCTGGGACAGATAACAAGAAAGGGTTCCGACCACTTATGTTTCCAAAAACATAATATGCCCCTTAATATTTGAAATTAAAATGATAAAAAATTAAATAAAAAACAAACAAAAACGTAATACAGTTAAAAATCAACAGTGAAAGCAACCAGATGCAAATGTTACTCCATGCAAATAACCTTTCATCTGAAAAACATGATACTTTACAAAATGTCAGTTAAGAAGGAATTTTTGCCCTTGAAAATTACTAAATGGAAGTTTGTCAAAACATTCATGATTATAAACTTTAGGAAGGAAATAAAATGAAGAATCTCAATATAATCACAATAATTTGGTAATCAAAATTACAAAATTTGACAATCAAAACAGTGTGATGCCATAATGGTATAGCTTCCTGATTTCAAGGCTATTTTCTTAATTTAGAAAATTTTATTTAAATCACTTCAGGAGATGTGGCATATGCAAAAATTAGTGGAGAAAAATGAAGCTATAAAAAATGAGAAAAATTACTTTATTTTATAACATTGATGTAATATGATAGTAACCATCAATAGAATCTTTAAAAATTGGTATATCTGTTTCATTGGCAAGTGACAGATATATTGGGTTTTAAAGAACATTTCTCTTTTTAAGGGAGTTGGGAAGTCAACATTAGCCCATCAGATAACACAGGCATGGAGATGTATTCGTGTTGAAGGTAAATTTTATCTTTTTTTCCCCCAATATTTTATTATGAAAACTTTCAAGTATGCATAAAGTGGAAAGACTTATCCAATGAATACCCATCTATCCACCATCTGCATTCTATGAATAAAATGTTGCTATATTTGCTTTATTACACATCTATCCATCTATCAACCCAGTGAATATTATATTTATAATAGCATCAATCCAATCATGTTTTGCCCTTCTGTTAGTCCTAGTTCTGTTCATAGAATTTAGACAGGTTTATGAAATTTCCTTAACTCCATTCTACTGCCTCCAAATCTCTAATCCCATAGTTTATAACTATTTAGAATATGTGCATTTTGGGTGTCTTCTTGTGAAGGAAGAGAAGGAACTCTCATAGCTTTTATTGGGAGCATTTTCCAGAACTTAAATATCTTCAATGATAAATTTTTGTGTTTTTTATTTATAAATGTCCTTGCATTCTTTGCAATGTATAAGACAATGGATGAATATCTTTATATATAAAAATTCTTTTAATCAATAGAACTATTTGTGCCCTAATAGAAAAATAAGGAAAAGAATGATAGGCAATTCATTAAAGTAGCAATAAAAACAGATAATGTAAGAAAAAAAGAGTTTAATTACTGTTATTCAAAGAAATATTAATATAAATAACACAGATCCCTATTTGTCTATCAAACTGGCAATGGATCTTTACAATTACTATAACCATTGTTGGTAACAATGTTATGAAATGGGCATTCCACATGCTATTAGTAAAATTGCAATCTGGTATAAGTTTTTTCAGTAACAATTTGGTAACACATAAAACACACACAATATTCTAAAATTTTTCTTTCTTTGACGAAAAATTTCACTTCTAGGAAATCTTAAAGAGTACCAAACACTCCATAGATTATTAACAGCTAGTGACATAGTTTTCAGCTCCAGGGTCCTTCCCTGGGTCATGTTCTATCAATCGTCCATTAAGGAATTGTGTATTTTTTCTTATAAAGGAGACAAATCATTGGAATTTCAGGCTCATTCTCCCTCTTTCTAAACAATATTTATCCATTTTAACATATCTTGATGAATATTTTCCTTTTATACAATCAGTGTGCAAAATCAATGGACTCTGGATAGAACTATATGGTTATAAAAGTCTGAATTAATAATACTAGTATCTAATTTTGTATGATACTTTATAATTTAGAAATCACCACCTTATTTCATACTCATATTCTCTTGCATACTACATACGGCAGGGCATATAAAGCGCAGAGGTGTTTAGGGAGTTAGCTCCCCCAAGTTTCTTTAGCTAGAGAATGGCAGAAACAAATTCTCTATGGAATACATTCTGTTGGCTCTACTTTGATTAGGCTTAAATGACATAATATGCATAAATTTATAAATTTGCTTTGTAAATTCTAAAGTGATCTATGAATGTTAATCTTCGTTATCAGTTACAAGACACTCAAATGGGTTGCTTATTTTGGCAATCCTAATACCAGTTTGTACTAATATTTTGAATTCACTTTTCAGCTTTATCAGTTTTAGAGGAACAGCTTGCTGCTACAACTGAAATAGGAGCTACGGTAAACAAATCTAAATTTCAAAGTTATTATGATTACCAAAAAAGCTCTGCATCACAGATATATTATACAGTAATGTGTAATGTCTTTGCTTGTTCTTAGGTGCAATCATTGCTTATCAGTGGTCAAAGCATTCCGGAGGAACTTATCATAAACCTAATGTTGGAGAAGCTCAAATCCACAGAAGTCTCTCACTTTGGTTTGTTTACTCTTATGCACCTATAGCCCACAAAGCAGCCTTAAAACTCATGCGTTATCTGAGGCAGAAATAGTTTCTGGAGTTACTCTTTCTTTTGCCTTGGCATAGGAATCTCAGTGTCTATATTCAGCTGAGCAGCCCAGGGAGTTTTATTTGCTTGTGGGTATTTATCCTCCAGATGGTACATTTATTTAAAAAAAAATAAGTTTATATGATACAATCTTACTTAATATTGTATTATCCAACAAATGCATCAAAATCTGCTGTGGTCCATCTTGCAGCGCTGCTAGCCTCTGCTGACTGCTTCCCCATTCACCTGAGTTTTAACCCTTTGCACTTGCTTGCTTTTTTCTCATTATCCACTCAACATTATCCACAATCAACATCCGAATGCATAGGGTTAACACTGGTTCGGTTTCTCTGCATTAATCCACACTCCTAAGGCAGGTATGGGGACTGGAATGGCATCAACTTGCCCTCTGGCTCCAGATATTGACAGGCTTCAGTGTGTCCATCCAGTCTTCCCTCTGACTCTGGACCTGACAAGTCTCCCCAACAGGGGCTTTGGGTCTAATTTCTCAAGACAAAAACCACTAAAGCCCAGAATGATTAAAAAGAAAAGAACAAACTCAAAGACATCTGCAAAAGAAGGGAAGAAGAATAAAGATGAACTTGGAACAAAATTATCTACCTGAAATAGATTTATTGAAGGAATGAAGAAAAATTTAGAAAGCTGCTTTACATTCTCAGTAAGAGAGGACATTGTAAATATTAAGAATGCAGGGATAAAAATAAAGCACAGTAAATAAAAACTATGACTCTCAAAGCAAATCCATGATGGAAGCAGCAGAAGCAGACTTGTCTGTGCAAATTATATCTGTATGGTCTATATCTGTAGTTAGAAAGAGCTCTCTCTACATAGACGACATGTGTATAGAGATGATGTATGGAATGATCCATCTCTATCCACATATATAGATATATCTTAATATATCATATATGGATTATATATAATATGTAGGTATGTAGATTATGTGTTATAAATACGTGTGTAATATAAATGCATCATGATATTTATAGATAAATAAGGCTTACCTGTAAACTACCTACCTGTATCTATCTATTTATCTATCTATTCATTGGTGATAAAGTAGATGAACTTGAGAAAATATCCAGAATGTGGGAGGTTAGAAGATTAAAAAGATAAAAAGGACAATCACAGAATTCCAAATTAGGTCAATAAATGATGGCAAAAAGCATAGTAATTGACACTGAAGCATGTATATAGGTAGGTAAGTAAATATCTATTTGTTTATATGTTACTGCACTTACTCTTGAAAAATTTAGAGCAGTTTACATGGCTACAGTAAAGGCAGTGTAAATTATAAAGTATTGGTAAAAAGAGAATGAAAAAAACATAAAAAAGAAACTTAGTTGTGCCATCCACCGTGCTCATAACTTTAAATTTCTTATTAGAAAACAGTTCAAACAAAAGTAGAGAGTTTAATATGAAGATCCCTCCCCCCAACATGATTTCATCACCCAGCTTCAGCAATGGTGTCTTGTCTGGGTTCATCTATACACTTACTTCCCTCTCCCAACCTATTTTATTTTGAAGCTAATCCATATCATATCAGTTCATCCAGAAATTTTTCAGTATGTATCTGTAAAAGATAAGGACTCATAAACCTATTATCACATTACCATTATAACACCTAAAAAGTTAATAATTTCTTAATAATCATCATCATCTACTAACCACTCTGTGGTCAGATTTCACTAATGGCCTCATAGATTTTTTTTTCAGTTGCTTTTTTTTAAGCAGGATCTAGCCAGGTTTCACATATTGCAATTGATTGGTATGTCTCAAGTCTGTTTTCATTTATGTGTCCTCTACTTCTTTCTATCTTCTTGTTTGTTGAAGAAACTGGTTATTTGTTTTACAGAGTTTGGCTGGAATTGGCTTATTGCATCCCCCGGTATCATTCAATGTATCCTGTATCCAATACTTCCTGTACACTGCTACTTGTCCTGAGAGCTGGCAGAGAAAAAGTGATATAAATGATTTCTCGAGTCTGGGGCCACAGTCTCACTATCTGCTTGCATGGCCAGGCATCCTTGGCATGCACAACTGGGCTCCTTTAAAGACTATGTGGAGACTGGACCTAGAGCCCCTTCGGCCCAGCCTCCCTTCACCCATCCTGTAGCATCTCTAAAGGAATGTTTTTGGAACCGAGCCCTCTGCTAAACATACTGTGTTTCCCCCAAAATAAGACAGGGTCTTATATTTATTTTTCCTCAAGAAGACACCCTAGGGCTTATTTTCAAGGGATGTGTTATTTTCCCCTCAAAGCCTCAGCTTGCAGCACGCACAGGATGTCTGGGACCTGACAGGGGGAGCCAACCTTTTTGGTGGGGCTGCCTGCACCTTCCCGATCACCTTTGGGATAGTAGCTGTCACAATGGGGCAGATGAGAAGGGCTGCTTTTTTTGTCATCTTTACCGCTCTCGAGGAAATGCATGGGTTGTGCAGATAACGCTGCGTAGCCACACCCATCACTAGGACTTATTTTCGGGGTAGGGATTATATTGCGCAAATGCTTAGAAATCCTGCTAGGGCTTATTTTATGGTCTTATTTTATAGGTCTTATTTTGGGGGAAACACTGTAGTCAAGTCTCTGTTCAAATTCCCAGCAAGGGTTCTCATTCTGATATTTACTCTTATCCAGTAGCCAGGTAAAAGGTAGAAGTGATATCTGAAGTGAAGGGCTTTCAAAACAGGGATATAACCTTGAGTCAGGAGCTGAGTGAGGCTGGATAATTAAGGACTCCAAAAATCCCTAAAGAGAGATGTATGCTGCCAGGGACATCACACAGTAGAGTATTACCAAATATAATCTTAATTTTTTTCTGTACCAGAACCCTTTATACTTAGATCTTCCATCACTATTTAAAAAGTGCCTACACAATCTATAATTATAATCTTTACATTCACAATCTATCATGCTATGTTGGCCATTAACCAAAATCAGCTTCTGGGAGCTATAATCTCACCCAAAAGAAAAAGATAGAGTCAATGCCTGGGCAGAAAAACTACTCTCTGCTTTCTGCTTTTAAATTCTGGAAATACTCAATTTTCCCAAGGGAATTATGGACAGCCCCAATCTGGGTATTCCCTGACCCACATGTATCACCTTGTGCATGGCCTTGCAAGTTACCAATGTGTCCACTCATGTCAGGCTGGCTTGAGGACAGACAGGTAGCGTGGCTGGCTGGACATGAAGCTATCTGATATCTCTGAATCTCTCGCTTCAACCTGAAAGCAGTAGCCTGCCATATTCAGTTTTATGGAAACAGGGAATGCCTTCTCCTTCCCACTATGCCATGAAATGGGGGCAATGTAATGGTGTTGGCCTGGACCAGTTGATTTCCTCTGGAAAGTGGTCTGGACAATCTTTCAGTTTTCCATTGGTTGGTGTGATTGAGCATAAGCAAGAGTAAGACCTTGTCTCTACTAAAAATAGAAACATTAGCCAGGCTTTCTGGCATGAGCCTGTAGTCCCACCTACTTGGGAGACTGAAGCAGGAGGATTGCTTGAGTCCAGGAGTCGGAAGTTGCAGTGAGCTCTCATGGTGCCACTGCATTCTACCTGGGGCTACAGAGTGAGACTCTGTCTCAAAAAAACAGAAACTGAAGCCCTTTCTTCACTATCCCCACTTCATATTTAAAAAAAGAAGAAGAAAAAGAAAATTTCTTAAGCAAGAGAATACCGTAATTAAAGAAATATATTAAGGAAATTAATGTGATGGTGGCAAATATGGTGAATTTCAATGAGAAAATTTAGGTTTCTGGGTGGGGATGCAGGCCACTAAATGTGCTAAGCCAAAATCACTTTGATAATGTTCTGTTTCTTAAACTGTATGTTTGGGGCATGGGTGTTTTATTACTCTCTGTAACTTACATAAGCACTATGCACATATATATTCTATTATATTATGACATGTTAATTTAAGAAAGAAAACAATACACCATGCAACTCCTATAATATACCTTTATAATTCATCATATAAGCTTTCCTAACATGATTTAAAAGAATTATTGGCATAGAATTTACTTCCCTAGGTACCTCATCTGTCTAAAATAAATTGATTTGGAATTTTTAAAAATGTCTCCTTTTAACTCAATGATTTATTTCATTATCAGAAAAACATTATTAATAGTTATACTTCATGTGTAATATTTAAGGCAATAACCTTAAATATAAATTTAATAATCTGACAGATGATTGTATGACCTGCATTAATATTCATCAATAACTAGATGATATTTTATAAAGTAGTAATAAATCTATGCTCTCATATATTGATAATATTGGTAATATAAAACTTTTAAAATTATGTTTAACATTACAGGTTATATTATCACTGAACTACCATCACTTTCACAGGATGCCATGACTACCTTGCAGCAAATAGAAATACTTAAAAACTTAAATTTGAAACCTGATATTATAATCAATATTAAGGTAAGGATATTAGTTGTATTTCTAGTATAGTATACCATTCTTTTTCATGGAAGTTAAATTCAAGGAATGTTTTCAAACTTTTTAAGTGGTTATGGAAATACTCAGTAACTTATGCATCCGTCATGAGGACTGAGTTATACTTTCTCATAGCTCTGTACTTTTGCTCCCGCAGCTCCATCCAGATGGAACATTTCCTTGCCTGTTCACCAGGCTTAATCTTAACCACCCTTTGAAAGTCAGTTCAGGCTTCATCTCCAGAATTTTCCCTGACAACCAGCCACCCCCTCCACCGTCTCTCTCTCTCAATCTCTCTCTTTCAATCTCTCTCTGTCTCTGTCTCTCTCTCTTTCTCTCTCTCTCTCATCCACACCTTACCACAGGAAGAGTTAAATACTTCTCTAATGACCATTCATGTTCCTCTCTTCTCCCTATTACTCATCTCACTATAATTGTCCATTTCCTCCTAGACTCTGTCTTACTTGAAGGTAGAAACCATGTCTTACTCATAGAAAATTCAACCAGTAGAGTGTATGGTACCTAGTGACATCTAATAAGATTACCAATTAAATAAAATGAAAGAACAGACACATGATTTGGACATATGAAGGTTAAAAAATACTGCTACATTGATTAAGAGTCAAGGCTGGGTCCTGTTCCTAATTCTCTCCTTTATTAACTCTTAGAATTTGGTAAATCACATTTAGAAGCCTCAATTTCCTCTTTTCAAAGATAATAATAGCTGCTTTATGGGGCTGTGATAAGAATTCACTGAGGTGATGTCTGGTTCTTTATGTGAAAATGAATGATAAGCTTTTGTATTCATACCCTGGCTGCTTCCCCAAAGAGTTCATGACAGCTCAAAATAAATTAGATGATTCTCAGCTCAGATGCTGGGACCCAGTGGAGTGTGAAGGTCAGCTGTGAGAGAGGTGGCCTTGCATTGCTGAGTGCGGTGTCATCTGCAGCTGCAGCCACAGCTGACCACAAGGGGTCAACCAAAATCTTGAGTGAACTTGAGAATGCCACACGTGTGAACGTGTGTATAATGGAGAGAAGGTCTCTAACAGTTAACTGAAACCAAATATAAAGTCTAAGCCAGGGAACAGACTGATTAAATAGGAAATAAAAACCTGGTGGAAAGGGAAAGCACAGATATACAAACAAGGAGACCCCAAATGTACTAAATTTGGGTCATCAGTTTGGTTCTAATTTTGATGAGCCAAAGGAAAAGGGGAAATGTAACCAGTTATAAAATTTGCATTGTCCATGAGAAGACAAGCCATTCCTCAGGAAAAACAAAATTCCCATTAAAAATGAGAGAACTTTCTTACAAGGGTCTTAATATAAGAGACTGTTTAATGTAGGGAATGAAGCCTGTAACCACATTCATACTGTAAATGTGATAGTGAGTGTCCAGTTTCAATGGGGTAACCAGGGTGTTATCAGAGAGCCTAACATGAGACATAACTCAGTGCAACACTCACTTCACTCATGGTTTGGCCTTAATTTGTGGATCAGTGTGGAATTTCTAGAGCAGAAGTTCTTAGCTAAATTCATGAATCACTAAGTATCCATGAACCTCCTGAAATTATATGCAAAACTTTGTGTGTATGTGCGTTTTTCCAAAGCAAAAGTCTATGGCTTTCATCATCGTCTAAAGGGTCTGTGCTACAGAAAATGATTAAGGGCCAGCAATCTACTAGGGCAATATTTCTCAGAGTGTGATCCCAGAGCCAATGGCATGGGCTGCACCCAGATGATTGTTAGAAATGCAAATTCTCAGGCCCCACCCCAGAATGCAGAACCAGGATGTATGGGGGTGGCACCCAGCTATGGGAGTTGCAAAGCCTTCCAGGTGACACTGATGCCTACTAAAGCTTGAGGACCACTCCCCTGAGGCACATCCTTCAGACACACCCTCTTATTAATCACTTCCTACAAGTGAAAACAGGAGACAGCTGAAGGGGATGGTCCTTGTATCCTGTACTGTAAATATACTTTTTAAAAATTAACTGAATGAGTTGAATTCCTTTTTGTGAAAAATTATAAAGCCTAAATATAACTCTTGCCTCAATAAATACCCATTCCTTCTCCACATAGAGGTGGCATGAAGAAATCAGAAAATGAACAAGGGAGGTTCTAAACTTCCTGCTTCCTTTGTTTCTCAACACGTAGTACATGAACTGTTAGTGTCGGAATCACCGACAGTGATTGGATGCTTCTTAAAGTGTCCAAGGCCTTGCCCCAAACTCAAACTTTGTTAATTTCAGACAAATAAAGATGTTGGCATAGCCTAGAAGTGTCTTATGCCTCGCTTGGCATGTAATGAAACCTGATGCAAAATGCCAGTCACAATATTGTATTTGCTAAAGTTTTTAATGAATTTTTGGTTCAATATTCAAAATGGTTTAAGTGATTTAATAATATTGTTCCTTAGTGCCCTGACTATGATTTATGCCAAAGAGTTTCTGGGCAAAGACAGCACAGTAATACAGGGTACATATACACCAGAGAACAATGGGATCCTGAAGTCATTGAGAGTCGCAGGAAAAGGAAGAAAGAGGCCATAAAAGAAGGAAAAATAGAAGAGGAAGGAGAAGAGGAGGAAGAGCAAGAAGAAGAAGAGGTAATATCCCCATGGGTCATTACCGTACACTATACTTTTTAAATTTGCTACAATTAAGTTAAATGATAGTGTGGATAATGGGAAATAGCCAATAGTAGAGAAAATTACATTTTCTTTGCATTTTTATTGAGTCTGAACGAAATAAACAAAAATATTTTATGTTTGCAAGAACTGTGAGATCATAATCTTGAAGTCAAGTTTAACCTTCCTGTCAGTATAGAAGTCCTTCTACCTCCTAGCAAGGAGCCTTCTTCATGTCACAGCAACAGAGTTAATGGTCACCTACTATGTGTCAAACACTGTACAAGTTAGAATATGGAATTGGAGTATGTCTTAGTCTATTTCCTGTTGCTTACAACAGAATACCTGAAACTGGAAATTTATAAAGAAAAGGAATTTATTTCTTACAGTTATGGAGGCTAGGAAGTCCCAGGTTGAAGGGCCACATCTGATGAGGGCCTTCTTGCTGGTGGGGACTCTTCAGGGCCCCAAGGTGCTGCAGGGCATCACATGGCGAGGGGTGGAGTGTGCCAGCTCAGATCTCTCTTCCTCTTCTTATAAAGCCACCAGTTCCACCCCCATGATAATCCATTAACCCAGTAATATATTAATCCATTTATGAAAGCAGAGGCCTCAAGACCCAATCACCATTTAAAGGCCCCACATCTTAATACTGCCACATTGGGGAAAGTAGCCCAGGCATAATTCAATTTTCGAAGATAACACAATCCTGATTTCCAAACTCTGACAAAGAAGTCCATTGTCTAATTTCACATATACGTATTATTACAACCATCCTAAAGTAAATACTAATAAACATAATGAATAGGGGATCGAAAAACTCTTCTATCATGACTTAAAGAGAAAAATTTCACATTAAGAAATCTGTTGGCCGGGCGTGGTGGCCCATGCCTGTAATCCTAGCACTCTGGGAGGCTGAGGCGGGAGGATTGCTCGAGGTCAGGAGTTCGAAACCAGCCTGAGCAAGAGCGAGACCCTGTCTCTACTATAAATAGAAAGAAATTAATTGGCCAACTAAAAATATATAGAGAAAAAATTAGCCAGGCATGGTGGTGCATGCCTTATAGTCCCAGCTACTTGGAAGGCTGAGTCAGTAGGATCCCTTGAGCCCAGGTGTTTGAGGTTGCTGTAAGCTAGCCTGGTGCCACTGCACTCTAGCCCAGGCAACAGAATGAGACTCTGTCTCAAAAAAAAAAAAAAAAAAAAGAAATCTCTTAACAGGTGCTGGGCTGGATTAGGCCCAGCAGGGTGGAATGGGCCACAATTTGCCCATCTCTGCTCCAGTGAAATGTGCCTGTGATTGACTATTTCTATTAGGGGCTAGACTCTGTGAAGTCAGTTGTTAATTTATAGATGGATACATTGCAAATCATTTGTCCAGTAGAAAAGATAAGCCCCAAAGGTCTCAGTTTTATTGTCCTATAGCAATAGTCCTCAACCTTTTGGAGACCAGGGACCAATTTCATGGAAGACAATTTTTCCACCGATGGAAGGGTGTGGGGGATGGGGCGGAGCTCAGGTGATAATGGGAGTGATGGGGAGAAGAGAGGCTGTAAATATAGATGAAGCTTCACTTGCTAACTCACTTGCCGCTCACCTCCTGTTGTGTGCCCCTTTCCCCCTTCCTGAGTTTCATGGAAGACAATTATTTTATGGATCGGAGGCATCCATATGAGGGGGTTGGGGGAGCAGAGCTCTGTGGGCTGGTCTGCAGCCTGGGGCTTAGGGACCTCAGTCCTATAGGACATTAAGCAGCCTTGTATCTGACTTTCCAATCTTATTTCAGTGATTAGAAATACTTCTGCTTTGACATCCTGTTGCTTCCCTCACTAATGGGGCAAATGAATCTTTGAAATATATTCTTTCATTAAAAGAAACTGGTAACATAATAAAGCCCATTTACAAACATAAAATAATCTCACCTATGCAAATAAGGTATTAGATAATAACCAGCATCTATTCCAGATTTTTTTTAAGAAAAGCAAAGAAACCCTCTTAGCAATTGGGAATAAAAGTGTGTCATTTTAGCGTAAATAAAGTATATCGCCTTAAGTCAAAGTCAATATAGCACTCATATGTGAGATACAGAGGTCACAACTCACTTAGTTCCAGGAGCCAGATGGGATATGTCATTATGTTGGCCAGGGATATAATCCTTAAGACAACTAGGGTAGGCTAAGGCTGCACTCTCCAATATGGTAGCCACTAGCCCCACATGGCTATTTAAATTTAAACTAATTAAAATTATATAAAGTTTAAAATTTAGTTCCTCAGTAGCACTAGCCACATTTCAAATGGTAGCCAAATATAGCTGTGTCTTCCTAATTGGGACATGCAGATACAGAACATTTCTGCTACCATTAAAGTTTCACTGGACAGCTAAAGAGCACATGCCCCTCTTCAGAGCACAGCTGCCTCTCAGCTCTAGCCCAGCCAACTGTTGCCAGGTGAGAATACTTAGCCCATTTTTACCAGGTAGTCTGATTTTTCCAAGAAGTCAAAAATCAGGATTTTAAAATACATGTACTGGGCAATTAATCCAAAATGTTTAAAACACAATGTAGGATAATGCTATAGGAGATGATCAATTCACACCAATAGGCTAGGCTCAGCCTGTGGAGTGTGGTTTGCATGATCTTTGCTGGCACAGGCAAGTTCAGAAGTTAGAGGAGTAGACCTGATGCCCACTCAGGTTGGTGGCCAATAATTGCATGAAAGGATGCCCATCCTTATGTACACACAAATCTAAACAATTGCCCTGAATTGCAGCAATAGCTTTGTAAATGTTCTCTTGGCGTCCACTCTTCTCCACCATCCCCATCCCATTCCACTCTTTCCAGAAGCCAGACCCATTTTTAAAATATAGAATCCAGGAACACTTATTCTGTTTTGAGGAATGAAGTGTTGTCTAATTCTAGGATTGCAATAAAGCCAATTGAGACCTTTCAATACAAATATATTTATATATATATATAACCCTCAGTGGCTTTTCATTACCTTTACATTAAAATCCAAACACCCTTACATGGCTTACTAGGCCATGGACCCCTAGCCTCTCTGATCTCAACCCTGGCTACTCTCTCCCTGCCTGCTCACTGTATTTCAGCCACAGTAGCTTCTAGTTGCTCTTCAACTGCGCTAAGCTCATTTGAACTTGAAACCTTCGTACTTACTGTTTCCTCTTCTCTCTGCCCACAACACTCTTCTTCACGTCTTCTTCACGAGTGCTCCTTCTCTTCTCCTGATCTCACCCCAGGTATTACATCCTCAGAGAACATCCAGGGGTGGGGAACCTGCAGCCTTAAGGTCACATGTGGCCCTCCAGATCCCCAAGTGTGGCCCCTCGACTGAATCCAAACTTCAGACAACAAATCCCTTTATTAAAAGGATTTGTTTTGTAAAATTTGGATTCAATCAAAAGGCCACACTCAAAGATCCAGAAGACTGCATGTGAGCCATATGTGATTTTAAATTTGCTAGTAGTTGTGCTTTTTAAAAGCAAAAAGAAATGAGAAAGTAATTCCATAATAAATTTCATTTAATCCAATACATCCAAAATTTTATTACAATACATAATCAACATAAAAAATTTAAGAATGATGTATTCTGTTTTCATACTATATATTTTTTTCTTATTCTTTTTTTTTTTTTTTTTTTTTTTTGAGACAGTCTCATTCTGTCATCCAGGCTAGAGTGCAATGGTATCATCATAGCTCGCTACAACCTGAAACTCCTGGGCTCAAGCAATCCTCCTGCCTCAGCCTCCCAGTTAGCTGGGACCACAGGTGCACACCACTCATGCCTGGCTAATTTTACTCAAGCTCTTCTCAAACTCCTGGCCACAAGTTATCCTCTGGCCTTGGCCTCCCAGATGAGCCATCACACCCAGCCATACTATAATATGTTCTTGAAAGCTGGTGTGTATTTTATACATACAGCGCATTACAATTCAGGCCTGCCAAATTCCAAGTGCTCAATAGATACATGTGGCTAATGGTCAGGTGGTGGACAGCACAAGTTTAATCCCTTGCCCCACTTCCTTTTCCTTATAGCGGTTGTCACTTTTCTGAAATTATACTATTTTACTTGCTTATTATCTGTCTTCTCTCTCTGCTAGAGGGAGAAGAAATGGTAGCATCTTTTGGAAAAAAACAGTATAAACTGAGCCACTTTGAAATATTTAACTTCTGGTTCAACAATTCTACTTTTAGGAAGTATTCTAAGGGAAATATTAGCAACATAAATATTTATCTACAAAGCTATTCATTGCAACATTATAATTGTGAAAAATCTGAAACATTCTTGTTGTGTAACTATAGAGTAATGATTAAATGATCATATATTCAGGGAAATTAATATATTATTTGACCACTAAAATAATAGTTTGAAAAGATCATAAAATGGCTTATGCAGATAATATGATTCAAATTGTGTAAAATATGTATATGTATGCATTGATAAAAACTGGAAAGAGTAATTATCATAATAAATATAATATGGAACACTTAACATGTGTCAAGCCTTGAGCTGAGAGCTTTTACACATACTGTTCCCTCTGTCTTGAAATGTTCTTTCTCTAGAAAGAAATCTATGTGGCTCTCTTGCTCACTTTTTGGGGGGTTTGACTCAAATGCCACTTCTTCAGAGAACCGTCTTCTGATTATTTGATATGAAATAGCAGCTTCTCTCATCACTCTCCATATCCTCTACCCTGCCTTATTTTTCTTCATGGTACTTACCACCTAGTATATTATATATTTATTTACTTCTTTGTGTATGCTCTGTCTTCCTCAACTGCACTGTGAGCTCCGTAAGCCCAGGGTGTTAGTTGATTTGTTTAATTTTGTAGCTCAAGCTCCTAGAACAATGGCTGACACATAGTATGTACTTGATAAATGCTTACTGAATGAATGAAGGAAAGAACTACAAACTTAAGCATTCAGAGAAAATCTGATTTCTCTATTTTGTCTTTAAAAATATGATGTTCTTCTGCTATTCTTCCCTACATATTAGGGAGCAAAAATAAATTAGTAAATATCTAAGTCAATGTAAAGCCCTATTCCACCTGATAAAGACCCCTTAGCTCTCTTGGATAAAAATCCTCAGTCTCGGCCGGGCGCGGTGGCTCACGCCTGTAATCCTAGCACTCTGGGAGGCCGAGGCGGGTGGATTGCTCGAGGTCAGGAGTTCGAAACCAGCCTGAGCAAGAGCGAGACCCCGTTTCTACTATAAATACAAAGAAATTAATTGGCCAACTAATACATATAGAAAAAATTAGCCGGGCATGGTGGCGCATGCCTGTAGTCCCAGCTACTCGGGAGGCTGAGGCAGCAGGATTGCTTGAGCCCAGGAGTGTGAGGTTGCTGTGAGCTAGGCTGCCGCCATGGCACTCACTCTAGCCTGGGCAACAAAGTGAGACTCTGTCTCAAAAAAGAAAAAATCCTCAGTCTCTAACTCCCCACCTCCAGCTTCTCACCCCAGAATGATTTCTAGGTGTAAAGAAGGAGGCATGTGGCTTGTAACTTGAATAATCATTGACCTAAAGATATTTAAAATCTCTTCTTTTCCATTTAGGCGTTCCTTGCTGAAATGCAGATGGTGGCTGAAATTCTTCACCTTCTAGTTCAGAGGCCTGAGGATTATTTGGAAAATGTTGAAAACATTGTTAAACTTTATAAGGAAACAATTCTTCGTTTTTTAGAAGTAAGAACAAGATATATTGCTAAAAATGGGAATATTGATATTTGTGTTTCACCACTGGTTAAATAGCTTTCATGTCTTCATTCCTGAGTATTATCTGTCCGATTCTCCTCTTGATCCTGGTAGAAAGCTACTAGAAAAAGAATTCTATCCCAAAGACTGTTTCCCACAGTAATATTATTTTACTCTTACAAAGCAACTCTGTTCCTGTAAAGTGACAAATGAACTGCATTTTTCAAAAGTCACTAAGGGAATCCATTTATGGGTGGGGGTTGGAAAATTCGTGTTAAGAGACTGTTTTATAAAAACATTTTCAATCCATGAGGTTAATCAAAACAAATATCCATTTAAGCCATACTTTTTCTTCTAAAAGGAATTATTAGTTTAGTTAAATTGCAATCTAAAGCATTGTTATCCCCAGGGTGTTTCCATGGTGAGCCCATTCAAAGTTAATTACATGTAAACATGATAAGGCTATTAAGTATTGCAATAGGAAAGTTTTAATTAAAGTAATTAGTATTTTAAAGGTATGATTACTGAGATAATAATTATGTGAAAAGCATATATGGTCAAAAATCCAGGACAGATTCTGCCAAATATAGGCAGCTGTGTTGAAGATTTAGTCTACAAACATTTATTGAACTTGGGTATTTGGCCAGACGCTATATGCTAAGTAACAGAACTATGAAGACAAATAAAAAAGTCTTCAAACTGCCTCTTCCCATCTGATAGAAAACTAAAAGAATTTGTTTCATGATGTTTTATAATGTTTATGTTTTTTATTTTTTTTTTTTTTTTTTTTTTTTTGAGACAGAGTCTCACTTTGTTGTCCAGGCTAGAGTGAGTGGCGTCAGCCTAGCTCACAGCAACCTCAAACTCCTGGGCTCAAGCGATCCTCCTGCCTCAGCCTCCCGAGTAGCTGGGACTACAGGCATGCGCCACCATGCCCGGCTAATTTTATATATATATATCAGTTGGCCAATTAATTTCTTTCTATTTATAGTAGAGACGGGGTCTCGCTCTTGCTCAGGCTGGTTTTGAACTCCTGACCTTGAGCAATCCGCCCGCCTCGGCCTCCCAAGAGCTAGGATTACAGGTGTGAGCCACAGCGCCCGGCCTGTTTATGTTTTTTAAAACAAATGAGTAGATCCTTTTCATTCTCATCATCTATCCCCCAAAATGAGAACCACATTTAACTGTTTTCTTATATATGGTTTTTATTCTTCCCCACTTCTCCTTCTATCACTGGCCTTTAAACATAGCTTCTTACAAGTAAATTACATTACTTTCAATAACATCTTTTCTTGCTTTAATAAAAGTACTCTGAGTACACCATAAGTGGCTGGCACTGGGTATGAAATAAAGCAAAATTAGCATCAGATTCAGAATATAAAAAACTATATTCAGGGGGGAAAAATGCAAAGGTCATCTCTTTAAGGATAGGCACCCGGTCATACCTCCTCACATTGCTGGTACCCAGTACAATGGTCAAATCACAAAGATTGTGAAGGAAAAAGAATGATAGCTTCAATTTTATTAAATATAAACTTCTGGAAATCAAATAAATCAATAAAGCCTCACTGCAATTAAAAGACAATAAATGGGAAAAATATTCATATTGACTATGATGAAAGACTTAAGGGTTTGAAATCATAAAGGGTCATAGAAATGATTTTTTTAAAACCTATAAGTTCACCCTCTCCTGAGATAAATGGACAACAAATATGAGCCCACAATTAACAAAAAGAAAGACAAAATGGTAACAAGCCTGTAGGAAAATGTTCAGCCTCACTAATAATAAAATGCTAATCTCAAAAATGAAATATCATTTCCATGATCAAATTTTAAAAGAGGAACTAGTAATAAGAATCCCTAATGCTAGCAAGTGTATATATGGCTGATACATACTAGACGAAAAGTCTAGAAGTAGAAACTTCCAGGCCCTGCAGATAGGTAAGAATTCATTGCCCTAGTGCCAACAGAGTAAGAATTTTGAAGCCGAGAACCTAGAACCGAGATTTTAGGCCTGAGTGACAGTTGCTGGATAGCCAAGCAATTGCCTTGTATGTTAATTCCTTGGTACTGGTGTGCATAGTGGGAGCGGGGGAGAACCATAAAAAGTCTACTATTCTAGTCTCCTCTGACCTAGCTGGGATATCACTTACTTGGAGGCCATCAAAGTTCAGAATGCCTTCAAGAGAAACAAGGAAAGCAAGTGGGAACAAACCATGCTGTATCATTTCCTGGTTTATGTCCTACACACTGGTTCAAGGGTAAGCCTATGCCAGGTCCTCATTCTTTCCTGTCTGTCTTTGAATCCCAGTTCATCACTTCTCGGTCAGTGGGCTAAGATCAGGTGAATCCTGATTCGACTCCTGCTGCAGGTGTCTCTTTTCAGGGGTGTTCATACCCTTCAATTTAGTAAGTCCGTTTTTTAAGATTAAATCTAGCTTAAGGAAAGAATCTCAGATACAGAAGAGCATTAAGTACTTCCTTGTTCGTAATGTGGTTATTTATAGTTAAATAAATAACGCTAGCATAATCTGCTATCTGTCTAGAAGAAAGCACTTAGAATCCAACCTTGCACAATACTGTGAAAAAAAAAATACACTGGATAAAAAGAGGGATGATTTTGTTGAGACTATTGCAATAGGGAGAACATTCATTAATGAGGACCTTCTAAAAGAAATGGAAGGGGGCTGAGGTTTATGGAAACAGGAAAACAAGGGGACCATCCTGAGTCTCACAGAGTCATCAGGGATGGAAACAGATTTTATCTGAGTCTCCTTGAGGAAGGATGTAAATCTTATTTCTCAGCCATCTCTACTTTCTGAGGACACAGGACTGAGTTCAACATTGTCAATGGACAAAAATAAAATCCAGTGGCCTTTAGATTTTAATATTAAAAACAAAAATAAATAGAAAAAAATTTAGAAGAATATTAATATAATCTTGTGATATCTAATTTAAACAAGAAAGGAAATCTAGAAACAATGAAAACAGATATATTTGACTGTCAAAATACTTTGTATTTCAGAAGACATCATAAACAAAATTAAAAGATAAATCATGGAAAGGTAGAATATTTGCAATCCATATGCCAGATAAGGGTTAACATCCTTTACATGAATGTTAGAGAAAATAAACAATCTCATAGAAAAATGCACAGAGGTTATGATTTGGCAGTTTATAGAGACACATATGTGAATGCTGAACCCCACCAGGGAAGTCAAAAGTAAAACAAACCGATCCCATTTTACAGCTCAGTTTGGTAGAAAATTTAAAAGCCAAAATAACCAATGGTGGCAGAAAAAAATGAACATTCTCATATATTGCTGGAAAGAGTTTTGAATTGCCCCAACCTTTCAGAGAACCAACTAGCAATACCTACCTGTATTAATATTAAAACTTATTTTTTAGAAATCTGGCTTATACATCCAATATATCAGGATATGCCAAAGGATGCTTATTCGGTATTATCGAACATTTATACATATGTACATATTTACATCAATGAGCAGAATGGGGAGAAAAGAGACACACCTGGTTGGGTGACAGAGTGGAGGAGCAGGGAGGGGTCATATTAGCTGCTTTGGTATACTCGTCTATGTTCCTTCACGGGCTGCAGTTAGTGCTCGTTACTTTTGTAATTATTGAAGAATGTGATTTTTAAATTTTTTTAAAAAAAGAAATGCATGAAAACATACCTAAAAATGCATATATGCAAATACCTAAATATGCAAATACCTAAATAGCAAAATATGATAACATACCTAAATGTCAAACAGCAAAGGAACATTAAATAAATTATGCTATAGTCACAATATGTAATTTTATAAAACCATTAAAATGTGTTGACAGTGATCTTATAACAGTATAGGGAAGGTTAATTATAATGTTAAGTGAAAAAGTTATGATCTCAAACAATTTTTCACAGAATAAAAGATGGGAGGAAAGTAGTAGTAATTACCTTTGAATGACTAAATTAAAGACTGTTTTTTCTCTACTTTTCTGTTTTTTACATTTCCTATAAGAAGTATATTTTAAAATAATAAAAAGATATTGTATTTTCTTAACGATGCTAGTATCTATATGAAGAACGTCAGTATTTAAATTTCAGTCAGACTCTTCTATGGTTTGAAGCCAAATACCAAAGCTACAAGTATGTACAGATAAACAGATTCCCCAAAATATTTTGTATTGGGAAAGACATTAAAACTTCAGTATAGGGAAAAAACTGAAAATACAGGAGAATAAAATTCATGGTGAGAAGACTAGCTGGGGCTTTTGCAAAAGATCTCTTCAGCACTGAAAATAGCATACATTACAGCATGTTTAAGGTAAAGGATTTAGCTTTGAAGATTTCTTCATAACATACTAAGATTCTAATCTTGTATTCAGTTTTCCCAGTTATCCCAGATTATAAGCTTTCTTTTCTATTATCTGCAGAAAGTGATGGCTGAACACAACCCCCAGTATCTCATTGAGCTAGATGGAAATAAGCCACCAGACGAGCTCTTCATGGTGAGTAAATGTTTAGCAACAAGACCTCACAGCTTGAAAAAGTAAAACTCTACATACAATATTGTACTTATTTTAATAAACAGAAAACTTTACTTGTATTTTAACACCATTTATTTTTGAAAAACTTGTTTTGACAATTAAAATGCTTGATGTTATATTTATTTATCTGTCCATATTTAAAGCTAAACTACATTTGAATTTAAAATCTCAGTATGACAAAAAGTGCCTCAAAGAAAAGTGAAAGCAAATGGCAACCAATAAGCACATGATAAGATGCTTAACATCAAGAGTCATTAGGAGGCCGGGCGCGGTGGCTCACGCCTGTAATCCTAGCACTTTGGGAGGCCGAGGCGGGCGGATTGCTCGAGGTCAGGAGTTCCAAACCAGCCTGAGCGAGACCCCGTCTATTTTCTACTAAAAATAGAAAGAAATTAATTGACCAACTAAAAATATATATACAAAAAATTAGCCGGGCATGGTGGCGCATGCCTGTAGTCCCAGCTACTCGGGAGGCTGAGGCAGTAGGATTGCTGAGCCCCGGAGATTGAGGTTGCTGTGAGCCAGGCTGACGCCACGGCACTCACTCTAGCACAACAAAGTGAGACTCTGTCTCAAAAAAAAAAAAAAAAAAAAAAAAAGAGTCATTAGGGAAATACAAATAAAAACCATAATGAGATACCACTTCATATCCACTAGGATGGCCAAAGTAAATAATAATAATAAACAAAAACAGATAATAACAAGTGTTGGTAAGGATGTGGAGAAATTTGGAACCCAAAAATATTTTACAACAAATAATAATATAATACAAAAATACAGTAACTATTTCTTAAACATCTAATAGGAGTCTGGCATCATGATAAGCTCTAGGAATGCAGATGGGAAGGAGGCAGATGAGTCCACGCATCCCTCTCCTGAGGTAGTATCCAATATATTGGGGAAAATAAATATTTAGAGAGCAGTTTGTGTTATCTCCAGGGAAGTAAAGGGTATCACAGATGCTCATAGCAGAAGGACAAAACCTAGTTTGCTAAGGGGGGCCACCTGTCTGAAATTATCTTGAAATCGAAACTTAAAGGACCAGTAAGAGTTGTACCTTGAAGAGTAGGAAGGAGAGGAAGATGGGTTACTGTTTTATGCTGAGGGAAGAGTCTGTCACTCAGCGTAAAAGCCCCAGAGGCCAGGAAGAACATATTGGGTTGTAAGAACTGAATGTAGGACTGGAACATAGGGGCATGGGGGCCAGAGGTGGAATAGTGCCAAGACTCTAGAAATAGGCAGGTGTTGCACCAGGAAAGAAAGACCTTATAAGCTATGTTGAGTTTAGACCTCATCATGAGGGATTAGGCAGCCAGTGAAAGGTTTTAAGTCAGAGAGTGAAAATGATCCAATCTCTATTTAAGAAAGATCATTCAGCATGCAACACAAAGTAAAAACAGACCGAGAATCCAATTGATGGTAGGAAGGCTAGTTCTCGTGTTTGCTGTCGATCAGGTAAGAGATGGTGGCCTAACCTAGGGTAGCGACTGTAGGAATAGACAAAGAGGATGGATTTGAGAGAGATGTAAAAAGTCTACATGACAGCCCTTGGTGAGCAACTTAATGTAGGAATTAAGGGAGAGAGAAAAGTCAAAGATAATGCCCAGATTTCTGGCTTGATCTCCTTGGTGGCAATGTGGTAATAATGCTAGTGAGGGAGCCAAATCGGGGAGAAACTCCTTATTTGAGACACACTCCTGCTAAGATCAGTGATTTCCTCATGACCAAAGCCAGTGGTCATTTTTCAGTCTCCACCTAATTCAATCTAGAAGGGATAATTGACATGGCTGATTACTTCTTCCTCCGTGCTGCCTTACTCCCCCGGCTCCTTGAACCCCACACCACGGTCATTCCATTGCACCTTACTGGACACTCTAAATCTCTAACCTCTAGTGTTGGAGGACCCCAGAGCTCACTGCTTGTGAACTCTGGTCTGTCTACCCTCACTCCTTAGGAGACTTTCTTCCGTCGAACAGCTTTAAATACCTTCTAAACACTGAAAACTCGTAAGGTTGTGTTACTATCCCAGATCTTTCCCCCGAATTCCACACATGATAGTCAAGTGCTACTCAACTGCTCCATATCCAGTTGGATGTTTAATGCTCACCTCAGATGAAAATGTGCAAGGTCACACTCCACACTCCCCTCAACAACCACCCTGCCCCAAGTATGTCCCTCCACAGTTCTCTCTTTCATTAAATGTCAAAGCCATCCAGCCAACTGCCCTCCTCTTTTTGTGTTCTCACAACCCACATCCGATCCATCCATCAGCTTACACAGCAGGCTTCCCCTTCAAAATACAGCCAGAATTTCACCACTTTCTACTACCTGGGACACACTTTCCAAAGTAGAGGGCAGAAACTCCAAGAGGCCTGTTTGGAAACTGCCAGGCCTAACAAGGCTCCAGTTGGAGCTGGTTCTCTGGCACTTCACCTACATTCCATTGGCCAGAGCAAGATATTAATACATGGTGAAGCTCAACATTAATGGGGTAAGGAGGCATACTTCACTCAAGATGAGCTCGGGAATTAATGTGTAAGGGCAGGGAAGGCTGATCGTGAACAAATAACATGATCTACCATAGGCTACCACATACCATCAGGATGTTGTCTGTCTCACCATCTCTCATAATTCTATATACTATTCTCTCTTTTTTTCAGATTCTTCCACGTAGGGTCTGTATTCGTTTCCTAGGGTTGCCACAACAAAGTGCCACAAACTTGGTGGCTTAAAATGACAGAAATTTATTCTCTCAGAGTTCTGGAGGCTAGAAGTCCAAAATCAAGGAATCGGCTTGGCCACACTCCCTCCAAAGCCACAGGGGGAGGAGCCATCCTTGCCTCTTCCAGCTTCTGGTGGCCCTAGGCATTTCTTGGCTCAGGAACAAATAACTTCTTTATCTGCCTCCATCTTCTCATGACTGTCTTCCCTTTGCCAAAGAGGTCCTGCAGACCCAGACCTCTATGGGTGTGAATATTTGGGGGCCAGAGGACAGACTATTATGAGTCGAAATATGTCCCTCAAAAAGGTATGTTGAAGTCCTAACCCCAATACCTGTGAATATGACCTTATTTGGAAATAAGGTCTTTGCATATATAATCAGGTTAAAATGGGGTCAGACTGCATTAGGGTGGGCCCTAATCCCATATGGATGTAGGAGAAAAGGCTGAGACACACAGGGAGAAGTTGGCTATGTGAGTGACATCAGAGGCAGAGATTAGAGTGCTGCATATACAAGTTTAGAAACACCAGAGATGTCAGCAAACCCCCAGGAGCCAGGAAGAAGCAATCAAGGCATCTACCCAGAGTCCCAGAAGGACTGTGGACTTGAACAATGAGCCCATCCTTTCTTAGGATGTTTGAGATATTCATATGCTAATGTATTTAAACATTTGTTTTTTAATTCAGATAGTTATGGATCGACTTAAATGTCTGAACCTAAGAAGAGCAGCTATTTTAACCAAACTTCAGGGTGCAGAAGAAGAAATGAATGACTCAATGGACACTGTAAGTTACATTTAACTGTTTGGAAGCCTACCTTTTCAATATATGTCGTGACCTTAATTATATCCTTTTAAGGTTTAAAAGAAGTTTCAGGATACCTTTTATAAAAATGGATTTGGGCCGGGCGCGGTGGCTCATGCCTGTAATCCTAGCACTCTGGGAGGCCGAGGCGGGCGGATTGCTCGAGGTCGGGAGTTCGAAACCAGCCTGAGCGAGACCCCGTCTCTACTAAAAATAGAAAGAAATTAATTGACCAACTAAAAGTATATATACAAAAAATTAGCTGGGCATGGTGGCGCATGCCTGTAGTCCCAGCTACTTGGGAGGCTGAGGCAGGAGGATTGCTTGAGCCCAGGAGTTTGAGGTTGCTGTGAGCTAGGCTGACGCCACGGCACTCACTCTAGCCTGGGCAACAAAGTGAGACTCTGTCTCAAAAAAAAAATAAAAAAATAAAAATAAAAATGGATTTGACTTCTCAGAAGAAGCTATAATATTAGCACAATATTCTTTTAGACACTAAACACAACACAGCAAAGCTTTAGAAACAGAAAAACAATAAAATCAGAACAATTAACCACAGGAATAATGAAAAAGAGAAAAACCCAAGTTTCTTTTCGCAGCACCAAAAAAGGCAAAGATATAAAGGCCCTCAACTCTGTATACTCGTTCATCCCTTTAATCATTCAATCAATTATTTTTAGTAACTACTGCACCGATCCCCAGCCTTTTTGTCACCATGGAACCAGTTTCATGGAAGATAATTTTTCCATGGACCAGCAGGGGGATGGGGGGGAGGGGGCTGTTTCCAGGATGATTCAAGCACATTACACCTATTGTGCACTTTATTTCTATTATTATTACATTGTAATATATAATGAAATAATTATACAACTCACCATAATGCAGAATCTAATGCCGCAGCTGATCTGACAGGAGGCAGAGCTCAGGCGGTGGTGCGAGTGATGGGGAGCAGCTGTAAATACAGATGAAGCTTCACTCACTTGCCATGGCTTACCTCCTGCTGCCAGCCCAGATCCTAACAGGCCATGCACTGATACTGGTCTGTGGCCCAGGGATTGGGGACCACAGAACTACTGTGTTCCTGGCCCTGATGCACTTTTTTTTTTTTTTTTTTTTGAGACAGAGTCTCACTTCTGTTGCCCGAGCTAGAGTGCCGTGGCGTCAGCCTAGCTCACAGCAACCTCAAACTCCTGAGCTCAAGTGATCTTCCTGCCTCAGCCTCTCGAGTAGCTGGGACTATAGGCATGCGCCACCATGCCTGGCTAATTTTTTTTTTCTGTATATATTTTTAGTTAGCCAATTAATTTCTTTCTATTTATAGTAGAGACGGGGGTCTCATTCTTGCTCAGGCTGGTCTCGAACTCCTGGCCTTGAGCAATCTACCTGCCTCATCCTCCCAGAGTGCTAGGATTACAGGCGTGAGCCACCATGCCCGGCCCCTGATATGCTTTGAATGTGATGGAGAGTCGGGGTAACTACTAAGTGTTACAAGGGCCACAGGGACTTTAAAATGAAAGTAAATAAATAAATAAACTGTGTGCTGAGGCCTCCTCTTCTAGGTCATTACTGAAGGAAAAATAAAAAATATCCATAAAACCTGCAGGCAAGAAAAAACCTTCCCAGCTAGAAAGTCTGTCCTTAGAAATTATTGCATACATTGGCATAAGGTGGTAGTTCATAAGATGTATAACTATGTGTGCCTGCTCTCTTTTTCGTAAAAGGGAAGAATTTTTGACTATGTGCACTGGAGTCATTATTCCTGTCCCTTAAGTAGTGTTTCTCCCTGGCAGTCCAGACCACCCCCAAAAGAATCACCTGGAGATGAGACCTGAAAATGTATTTTTACAAGATCCAGAATGAATCCTTATACCCACTTAAGTTTGAGAACCCCTACTTTAATGTTTGGGACACTAAATAAGCCTGGTTGATTAAAGTTGATTGATCTATAGGTTCCTGTGTGTTTTGAAAGACTTTAGTTGAATGCCCTTCAGCTAAAGACAGGTGATTTTTAGAAAAGCAATATAATGGGAATATTTGAATCAGTGATTTCCAGTCCTGACTGCAAAGTGTGGTCATCTAGGAAGCTTTTCAAATATACCAGTGCCCAGACCAGTTAAAACAAAATTTCTGGGATAGGGTTCTGGCATTAAAACAAAACAAAACAGATATGACATCAAAGGCACAGGCAACAACAACAAAAAGAATAGAGAAATTGAATTTCATGAAAATGAAAAGTTTTTGTGCACCAAAGGGCACTATCACAGAATGAAAAGACAACACACACAATGGAGAAGAATATATGTAAATCATATCTGATAAGGTATTACTATCCAGAATATATAAAGAACAACCTCAACTCCACAGTAAAACAGCCAAGTTCAAAAATGGGCAAAGGACTTGAATAGACGATTCTCCAAAGAAAATATATAAATGACTAAGGCCAGGGCCAGAGTGAGAGTGTTCGTGGGCCCCAACTCACCTTTATTATAACAAGCCCACTTTCGCAACAACGTAATACTGTCACAATGGCAATTAAATTTCAAATGTGAGTTTTGGAAGGAACATTCAAATCATAATACCCACTATGCCCTCTCTCACCGATTCTCTCATCCCCTGCTAAGGTACCACAAGGAGAGGTAAACCTTTCAGCAATCCTTGAAGTCTGTACGGAAGTATTAATATTTCTTAACTTCTCTAGAGGTTACCAACAGAAATGATTACTAAGAGAGACTTTAAATTTTGAGAATGAAAGAACCACTTATAGCTAAGTAAATATGAAAACAATCTGCACATAGCAGCTTACTATTTAAATGCTTACATAAATTAACTACAACTCTGGTACATTTTTGAATTTTTCCAATAAGAATTTTACAGAATCTGTTTTCTAAGGAAGATGATAGAAAATGCTCTATCTACCTTGTGCTCATTCTACAGTATGATAGAAACTGCTCACTAAAATTTAAATTAGGTTTTTTTTAAAACAGAAATGAAAACTAGTCTTATTAAATCTAGGGTAAGTGCAGAATGTTGCAATTAAGAAAAGGCAAAAATATGCTTTCTAAACTCTTTCTTAAATACCACTGTACTATCAAATAAGAAATGAAATGTTTGATACTGCTGATTTCAACAAAACTTATGGCCACATTTTTAATATATAAAATTGTTTAATACTTTGCGATTCACAGGAGGAGCTATTCCGTAATTTTGCATCTTATAAACTTATTGCACCCAGATATAGATGGCAGAGAAGCAGATGGGGACGTCTATGTCCCGTAAATTTAAAACAAGGCAACATTTATCCAGGATCACCAGATTTTGTTGTGAGGTAAGTTAGATTTTCAGAACCTAATTTTAAAACTTGTCCATACATCTTTTCAGTTGTTTATTATTATGGCATATTTTAAGTTTTCTAGGTAAAATGTACTGTCTTTCCTCAGAAGAAAAATTGAAAACATTTTGTTTGAACCCACGTCCCTGTCTTCTTCCACCTATGCCAACACCACCGTGTAAAGTGTTCATATTTGGACCTGAATTGTCAGGGAAAACAACACTTGGCAATTTGCTTGCAGAACATTACAAAGGAAAGGTAACTACTACCTATTTAGCTTACTTTCTATCTACCTGTACTTGATTATAATTTGTAGGATTTTGTTTGTACTCAGTTTTTTAAATTTTATGCTGTTGACTGGATAATTGTTGCGTTGGGTTGGAGTGGGGAAGGCATCCACCTTGCTGCCTGTTGCCATTTCCAGACCACAGTCCCTGCCTGCTTCCCCAGAGCCCCCGATTTAAATGTTGTGTCATCCAGGCTACACCACCATTAACCTCTCTCGGTTCCACTCCTCTGTTTCCTGGGTTCTACTCCTCCTGGCTCACTCTTCACTCTCCCCACACACTCATCCTGCCCTAGTTCCTGGTGATCTCAGTACCTACAAAGATGAGCCTCCCAACAGCCTGATGGCCTATCAGTTCCTTGACCTCCCAAGATCTCCCCCAGTGATCTTGTTCTCCACTCTCAATAAATGAAGAGAAATTATATTTAGTGTAGACCAGAGTGATAGCAGTAAAAGTGGTAAGAAGAAGGCAGATTTGGGATATAATTTGAAGGCAGAGCCAAAGGATTTGATGTGGGATTGACATGCAAAGGAATTATGAGAAGGCCAGTGTGGCTAGAGTATTGCCTGGGAAAGAAGGAATGGTACAAGATGGTGGTTGAAAGGCATAGTCAAAGCTGTTCAGGCCGTGGGAAGGGCATTGAAGTTGTTCAAAGTGCTATTGAATTCTTTTAAGCACAAGGGGTAACATTTTCTATTTGCTTTTAACTTTTTTATTCTAAATTATGACAAACATACAGAAAAGTGAAGCCCCCTGAGTTGTCACAAAGTGAACCCCATATAACTGCCACCAAGGTCTAATATGGAATGTTGACAGTACCTCAGAAACCCCTCATGTTTCTTCTGAATACCAATCCCCTCACTCCTCCCACAAAGGTAACCACTGCCCTGAATTTTATGGTATTCACTTCCATATTTTTATTTTATGGTTTTGCCATGAAAGCATATATCCAAATACCATAGGTTAGTTTTGCATGTTCTTTTTGAACTGTGTGGGCTTAAACAATTTATGTTCTTTATGCCTGGCTTCTTTCACTTAACATTATGATTATAATATTTATCCATGTTATTGCATATAGCTATAGTTTGTCCATTTTATATTCTATTGTATTCTGATGATTACATTATATCATAATTTATTTATCCACATTTAAGTGCTAATAAAACTTGAATCGATGCCAGATTGGGGTATTATGAACCTTCCTATATGTGTCTCTTGATGCACACATGCACATTTTATAAATTTCTGAGATATATCTAGGAAGACAAATTCTGGGACGTAGTGTATGCATAACCTTCAACTTGTGTAGATAATGCCAAACTGTCTTCCAAACTAGTTCTACTAATTTACAAAACTATCATCAGTATCTGAGAGTTCTGTCATTCCACATTCCTGCCCACCCTTATTATGGTCAGTTATTCTAATGTTAGCCATTTCAGTGGGTGTACAGTCATATCTCACTGTGGTTTTAATTTATTATCTTTCTGATGATTACCAAAGTTGTATATTTTCAGATTACTGGCCATTAGATATTTACTTTTGAAGTGTTTGTTCAAGTGTCTTCCCAGTTTTTATTGTGAGAGTTTTTTTGTATATTATTAGTATGTGTTCCTACTATTGTCTACATACAAGTTCTTTTTGATTATAAACATTATGAATAAAGGTGAAAGACAGTGATATTGATGATCCTGACCCTGTGTAGACCTCGGCTAATGTGTATATTTGTGTCTTAGTTTTTAACAAAAGGGTTTAAAAAGTAAAAAATACAAAATATTTAAAAAATTTTAAAAGGCTTATAGAATAAGGATATAAAGAAAGAAAATATTTTGTACAAGTGTATAATATGTGTTCTAAGCTAAGTGTTATTACAAAAGAATCAAAAAGGAAAAAAATTAAAAGCTTATAAAGTAAAAAAGTATAGTAAACTAAGGTTAATTTATTATTGAAGAATGAAAAATATTTTTAATTTTTATTGGTTTTTTGTTTTTGTTTTTGTTTGAGACAGAGTCTTGCTCTGTTGCCCAGCCTAGAGTGCCGTTGTGTCAGCCTAGCTCACAGCAACCTCAAACTCCTGGGCTCAAGTGATCCTCCTGCCTCAGCCTCCCAAGTAACTGGGACTAGAGGCACGTGCCACCATTCCCAGTTAATTTTTCTATTTTTAGTAGAGATGGGGTCTCACTCTTGCTCTGGCTGGTCTTGAACTCCTGAGCTCAAGCAATCCTCCCATCTCAGCCTCCCAGAGTGTGAGATTTACAGGCGTGAGCCACCACACCCGGCCGAAAAATATTTTTTATAAATTTAAGGTAACCCAAGTGTACAGTATGTATAAAGTCTACAGTAGTGTACAGAAATATCCTAGACCTTTACATTCATTTACCACTTACACACTGACTCACCTAGAGCAACTTCCAGTCCTGCAAGCACCATTCATGGTAAGCACCCTATACAGATGTGTATCATTTTTATCTTTTATATCACATTTTTACTGTACCTTTTCCATATTTAGATATGTTTAAATACACAAATACTTCCTTTTGTGTTATAGCTGCCTGCAGTACTCAGTACAGTAACATGCTGTACAGGTTTGTAGCCTAGGAGCAATAAGCTATACCATATAACCTAGGTATGTAATAGGCTACACCATGTAAGTTTGTGTAAGTACACTCTATGATGTTTGCACAATGACAAAATCACCTTATGATGCATTTATAAATTTTTAATTTTTTTACCTTTTGACTCTTTTGTAATAACACTTAACTTAAAACATGAAACATATTATACAGCTGTACAAAACATTTTCTTTCTTTATACTCTTATTATATGTCCTCATGACATGGCAACTGGCTTCTTTCAGAGAGAGTGAACCAAGGAGGAAGGTTCAATGTCTTTCATGACTTAGTCTGAAAAGTCTCCCACTGTCACTTGCACTATTTATTTAAAGCAAGTCACTAAGTTCTTCCTGCACTAAAGAAGAAGAGAATTAGGTTTCACCTTCTGAAGCGGGGAGAAGTATCAAAGGATTTGTGGACACGTTTGAAACCTGTCACAATATGTGTCAGATAAAAAAATGATCATTTTAAATTATAAAGAGACAAATCAATACATACATAGTCCCCAATAGAAAAAATATAGCAAACAGGCAATTCACAAAATAATAAGCACAAATAGCCACTAAACATTAGAAAAAGATACTACTCTCCAATAAAGAGATGCCAAAAACCAAAGATGTGTCATGTTGGTCTCATTGTTACATTTAAAAGATTGCTATTAACACCAAATACTGATGTGTAGCTAGAATGAGGAAAAATACATGTTTATATATTGCTGGTAAGAGTATAACCATTAGGCATAGCAATTGCAAATACATGTATTATACAAGCCTAAAATCCATGCACATCTTTTGAACTGTCAATTCTGTTTTATGGATGTTCCTAAAGAAACTCAGACAAATATATGTACATAATTGTGTTCATCACAGCTTAGTTTATATAATAACAACAAAAATACATATACCTAAATATATAATTTTGGTATTTTAGTTAAATAAGTTGTAATATTTTCATCTAGTGCAATACTATGTACCCATTAAAAACTGGTGTAGATTGTAGATTTATTGCCATGGATTAAATCAATATAAGCCCATTACAGGAAAAGCAGAATGGAATCCAGGAAATATTAGAATGGATCTGGAAATATTAATTAATCTTAAAGGGCATATAAAAATCTACTTCTAAGATCCCAACGTTCATTATTAAGTCTATTATCTACCTAAAGAAGGACTTTTATCTAGAACATATAAAGAATTCTAACACAATTTTTAAAATAGGCAAAAGTTGAACATATGCTTTAAAAAAGATAAGTGAATAAGCTCCTAAAAAGAATTTCAAAATTATTAATAATTAGGGAAATGTAAATTTAAACTACCATGAGATACTTCTTCACATCCATTATAATAACTAAAAATTTAATATTCACAAAAACAATTATTGGTGAGGATGTGGAGATACTGCAACATTGCAAAATTGGAACACATTGCTGCTAGGGATGTAAAATAGTTCAACTATTTCAGAAACAGTTTGATGGTTTATTATAAAGACAAATATACACTTACCATATGGCCCAGTAATTCCACTCCTAGGTATTTACCCAAGAGAAATGGAAACACATGTCCACAAAAAGACTTTTGTATAAATGTTCATCACTACTTTATTCGTAATAGCCAAAACCTGGACACAACCCAAATGTCTACCTATAGATGAATGGGTAAAAACTGTGGTATATTCATTCAATAAAATAGTGTCAAAAATAAAAAAGATACCTATGTTAACACTGATGAATCTCAAAAACATTCTGCTAATGAGGAAAAGCCTAAAGAATATTATATACTGTGTAATTCCATTTATATGAAATTCTAGAAAAGGCAAAACTAATCTATAGTGCAACAGAAAGCAGAAAGTTGTTGCCAGGGGCCAGGAATGAAAACTAGGGGAGGGGATGGGGCAGGAAGGGATTGCCACAAAGGAGCATAAGGGAATTTTGGGGGTGATATAAAAGTTCTACATCTTGGTTGTGGTGTGATATGTATGTGTTTGTAAAAATTCATCGTAATGTATACCTAAAATGTGTGCCTTTCATTGTATGTAAATGATATATACAAAGTTGATTTTAAATATATATCTTTATTTTAATTTCTGTTAAGCCAAAAAATATGTCACCTGAATATATATTACATGCTCTATATATTATATGATCTATATTATATATTACATGATATATATTATATAGATCTCACATGAAAAATATGACTGAATTTCTACTGAAGCAAGTACTCAAAAATCAGAGAATTCTGAATGTAACAACTCCAAAGGTTACTTCAGGAAGTATTAATGTTTTTAGAATAGAGATAGGGATAGAGATAAATAGATGAGCAATGTCTTTAATACTTGCAAAAACTTGTGCTTATGTTGATTTTCTCAAATATTCTTTGCAGGTAATTGACTTTGCTCAACTTGTTCAACCACGTTTTGATGAAGCCCGGGAAACATTAATGAAAAATACTATAGCTGAGGCCACTGAAGCAGCTATTCAAGTTGTGAGAGGAAAGCTTCTCACAGAACTACAAGCTAAAAACCAAGGTGAACCATGGTTAAAAATGTATGTTTTAAGTTTAGGTAAACAATTAAACCTGGGTACTTGCGGGCAAGGATTTTGTGTAGTTCATCCTGGTATCCTTGGAATCTTGCACGTTGTAGTCTCTTAATGAAAGAATGGATATGCATAAGGCAATTCATAAGCAGAGAAAAAATTCAATTCTAGACCTCTAAGGAAAGGAATCAGAAGGAGCTTTCACATTCGAATTTTTTTTTTTTTTTTTTTTATTACTTTTATGGATCCACTTACTGGGCAGACTGAGCAATATTTACACCTTTATATACACCAGTCATTAAAACAACAAGAATCCACCAGACTCTTGTGGAGTTTGTTGTTGATGTTGTTCTAGGCTTATGTGTCAGCCCTGATTGTAATTAAATCTTTCTATTTGGGGCATAATAATTTCACATTCAAAAAGCCATAATTCAGTGAAACTGGAAGAAACCATAGTAATCAATTAAAACAATTTCCTAATTTTACAGATGAGGAACCTGAGGCTCAGGAAGGTTAAATGGCTGCCTGGTAATGCCCAACTAGTGGCACAGCTGAGGCTTGAACCCTCTTTTCCAAAGCTCTTTCTCCCTGACCATTCTGCCTCTTCCTGTATCTCTCTGACTGTTAATCCCATTGTCTTAGAACTGACACAAAGTTGTTGGGTTTTTTTTTCCCTTCTGTTTTTCTCCAGGAAAAATGAGAATTTTCATTTCATAGCTACTTTTGAAATTCATTAATTGGCTTTGGTATACTTTATATCTCTAGTTGGCACCCTTGTACCTAGTCATAATAGAATAAATGAAAGCAGCCTAATCTAAACCTTTCCTCTTAATGCAATACCCTTAATGCAGCACTTCCTGTGCATTACGTGGGCTTTTCCTGTGCAGTACATGGGCTCTTCCATATTTTCCAAGATCTGGACCCAAAAGTTTGGGATTAGCTCCAGCAATTTTAGACTAGATTTAGTCACCACTGTTTGCAGTCCCAGAAACTATGACAGTGCACTGTCCCCTGATTTGGCTGTCAGTGTGTCTTTTCCAAATATCCTTTCCCAAATAACATTTTTCTCATTACAAAAGTAATAATAACTGATATTTATGGAGCATTTACTACATGCTGGAGCAATGCTAAGTGCATTGCATATATTATCTTATTTAATCCTCATGACGTGCCTATGCAGTAGATATTATTATCTCCAATTCTAGTGGATGAAAAAACTAAAGCTCAGGGGAGTTAAGTAACTTGCCCACAGGTGACAGCTAACAAGTGACTGGGATTCAAATCAGGGTCTGTGCTCTTTTCCTCTATGTCTTTCAAGTGAGCACAGAAAATTGGAAAAAGCAGATGAAAGGAAAACTCACTTATATTTCCTTCCCAGAGATATCTGTTAAGAATTTGGTGTGTTCTCCACCTCTCTCTTTTTTTATTCATATTTGTAATGATTAATTATGATCCTATGGTATGTGCAACATTATGTTCTCTGCCTTCTAATTAATATGTAATTATTGTAATACATTTTGTTAAGTATCTAAATTTGTTTTTTTTCCCCAAATGGTGAACCACTGTTACAAATAATAATTACTAAATTATCCATAATTTTACTGGAGACTTGAAGTGCCAGATTATCTTAATATTAAGTTTGGGTGTGTGTATAAGTGGGTGTAAACTTCTGAACTTTCTATTTATTGATCTTTCTCCATGTTATAGGCTTGAATGCAAAATGCAATTATCAAAGCCTTATGATGCATTTTAAATCCAGGAATATAAATCCTTCCTCAAAACATTTTGTTTTAACTTTTTTCCTGGTTCTTCTTTCATTTGTTCTGAAAAATAGGTGCTTACTGTGTACTAGGAACTATACTCTAAGTTGGGATGCTTGTAGAATTTTGTGAAGTTCTGCAACAAATCCAAGTGGGAGGATTGTGTTAATATTATATAATAATTTGGCAATAATTCTCATCTTTACTATTAAATCTCATACAGACACATAAAATCTCCATTTTTTTAGTCTAGTTTTTGTATCTTTCCACATTTTGTAATTTTCTTCATGTATTGTCCATATTTTTCTTAATAAGTTTATTTCCAGATATTTTGTCATTTTGTTACTATTGAATGGGATAGTTTTTCTCTAATATTTTCTACATAGTTATTACCAGATTATTGAAAAGCAGTTTGATTTTTATTATATATTTAAAGTTTATTTCTTTGTAACTATTCACCTTATTAAACTTACTTTCTAGTTCTTGCAGACTTTCAGTTGATTCTCTTGGGTCTTCTGGAGAGCCCTTCATATAATTTGAAAAAAAGTATAGTTTCAACTCCTCCTTTTCCAATATTTATGCCTATTTCTTTTTTTGACTAATTATGTAGGCCAGCAGATCTGGAATGATGTTAAATAGTGGCAGTGATGGTGAGCTCTTTAAAGGGGTTCTTGCCAATGTTTCTCCATAAGGTTATTAAGTATTTTTATGGGAAATGAATGTTGAAAATTATTAAATGTCTTTTCAGCATCTTTTAAGGAAATCATAAGTTTTTAATCCTTTGACTTACTGATTTGATCAATTATACTAATGTATTTTCCAATATTCAGCCATTCTTGTATTTCTGAAATAAACCTTATTTGGTCATGGTGTATTATTTTTATAACATATTTTTCACTATTGTTTGTTTATTTAGGACTTTTTCCCTACATTTAGAAGTGTGATTGGTTTATAGTAGGGGGTTTTGTGTGTGTATGTGCTATTTATCAGATTTTGTTATCAGGGTTTTTTTAAAACTCTTGACAAAAATCAAGAAGCTTCCTAACTTCCCTATTTTCTATGCTTGAAACTATTTAAACAGCAAGGAAATTACCTCTTCCAACATGGCAATGTTGGGCTTTGCTAGATGAGAACACATTACTTGCCTAATAAGTCTGCTTATCTTCTTTCTCATTAGCCTATAAACAAGTAAAATAATGTAACATGATGCCCAAGAGATTTCAAAAACAACAACAAAAAGACCAGCGCTGAAATTATATGCCATCCAAATGATCACCCAGATGATGTAGAATGGAGTTATACTTTTAGTATATTATCTTCAAAATGAAAGTCAAAATTAAAAAAAATACTCATAGGCAACTTAAAAACTGAAACTGGAGGAATATTGGCTCAGACTACTAAGGTGGCTTGTTATTCAACCTTTTTAAGTCTGAACAAAATGCATTAATTCATTCAACAAATAATTGAGTATCTACTTTGTGTTAGACATGATTCTAGGCACTAGGGATACAGATGTGAAAAAGACACATGAAGTCCTTGTCCTTGTGGTGCTTACATTTTAATAGAGGGTAGAGGGGCAAAAAAGCACCAGAGAACAGATAGAAAAAATATATATAACATGGTAATGGGCAGATAGTGATCAGGTAGGGATGCTGAAATATTGGGATGAAGAGAGGACATTTAACTGAGACCTGGGTCAAGAGAGGAAGCTAGCGGGCTCTTGGAGGAAGAGTGGTGATCTGTAATGTTTCATGCAATCAGTAGTAATTTCTTTCACTTTGAATTATGGTAATAAATCATAGATTTTAAAGCTTCCCACAAATTGTCTTCTTCCACTGAAATATAGAAATCGATGCTCTCTGTCATATGCTGCAAACCTAAAAACCGTTTTATTTTCTTTTTCAAATTCACTATTCTAAACCTGACAATAGAATTAACCCTTCTTAAAATTTAAAAAAATTGGAATTTTTTTTTTTTGCTTTTGAATTTTGCCCCAATATATTTTTAAGAGAAATTGTTAGTGGAGAATATTGAGATTTTTTTTAAATACAAAAATTATATAATAATACAGAGAATGACAGCTAACATGGAGCAGGCTTCCTGTGTGCCAATCATTTTTCAAGTTAAGTGTTTACATCAATTCCCTCATTTAATCCTCACAGCAGTGCTTTAAGTTTAATGATCTCTTTTTTTTGCCGAGTAGAAAGTAAAGCAAAGTGATCAAGTGATTTACCAAAGCCACACATAGCTCTGAAATGACAGTCAGAACTCAAACCTAAGTCTGTCTGACCTTAAAGCAGGGGCTTGTGCTCACTATCCCTGCATCCCTGTCCCCAACTGCTAACACAGCCAATTATTGCATTTCAGCCCAGACAGCTTTAAAAGAAACTGAAGGACAATATGAAAAAAAGGAGTCTGAAGAATTCCCGATGGAAACACGCAAAAGCTTAGGAGACACTCAGTCTTCAACTGATGATGGTAAAGAAATATATTGCTGATGTTATTGACCAGATCTTCCTAATGTAAATGGAGTAGCTGTTAAAGTGTATTATTCTTTCACTGCAGTGAAAGTTCCCGGCTTCCAAAGATACAACCTTTTAGAGGACACTGAGGAAGAAGCCCCAGCAAAGTCAGGAAGTAGCCACCATGTTCAAGCTGCTAAAGCTGCTAAAGTTGATAAAGATGGTAACAAAATGAGCTACAAATTCCATGCTTATGGATCTTATTTTCATTTATTTCATTGATCATGTTTATATTTAAGCTTCAAGTTACCAAAAAAAAATTTTAGAAACTTCAGGAGAAAAAAATGCTAGCTACTCTCTTACACACTTAAACTGAACAGCTATAGAACAGAAATAAATTTACTAGAATGAAGAGAAAAACATAGAAAATGGGGAGTCAAATACAATTAGGGCCCAAAGAAAAATTTTTGAATATTTCCAAATGTGATGCAATCATTATTATATAATTATAAATACTTTCTTAAAAGCTCTTTATCTCCTTTAATGTATTGGAATCAGAGTATGTTAAACCCACAATTTTAGCTGTGAAATTTTACCATTTATCCACAGTGCTATTTACTCTTATAAAATTTTTCTATTCATATTTTATATAATTGAAAGCATACAATATTACATTATATAACATAATAATTATATATATGTAATATAATATTACATAATAGCTATAATATAAACTATTTTTGCCTTTTTTGACTTATACCATTTAATTATATTACTTCATTAGGAAATATTTTAACACTAATTTTCTTTTTTTCTTTCTTTTTTTCTTTTTTTTTTTTTTTTTTTGAGACAGAGTCTGGCTAGAGTGCCATGGCATCAGCCTAGCTCACAGCAACCTCAAATTCCTGGGCTCAAGCAAACCTTCTGCCTCAGCCTCCCAAGTAGCTGGGAATACAGGCAGGCACCACCATGCCCAGCTCATTTTTTCTATATATTTTTAGTTGACCAATTAATTTCTTTCTATTTATAGTAGAGATGGGGTCTCGATCTTGCTCAGGTTGGTTTTGAACTCCTGACCTCACGTGATCCACCCACCTCGGCCTCCCAGAGTGCTAGGATTACACACGTTAGCTATCCAACACTCATTGCTGCATTAAATTGCTGCATAATTTCTGTATTTATAGGAAGTAGTTTTAACCAGTAGTAGTTTGTGTTGGAAATTTATTTTTCTCTCTTTTTTTTTCTACTACAAATAATGCTTCAATTAATGTTTTACATAAAGTTTTGTCTGCAAGTCGACATAAATGGAATTACTAGATTAATGATTATAAAGCTATAGAGTCAAATTGCTTCACATAAAAATTTTCCAAATTGTTTCTCTCAGTAATATGCAAAATAAATGTCATTGTTTCTTCAGTGTTTTCTCTTTTTGATTGTTATTTTAATTTTTACTTCTAAAGTTTATTTTAATATTTGTGAAGCATTTATATTTCTTCTTTGCTGAAGTGACCATTTTTCTAAAATGTTGTGTCAATTACACAGTCTCTTCATAAACTTCCTATATTAGTCTCTTATTTTTCATATTTTTTCCAAATTGAGTGGTTTGCTATGTAAGTCAGTTTGCTGTTTTAGGAGTAGAGTTATTTTTCATATTTTTGCAGTCAAATCATTCCTTTTTCTTTGTTTATTTTTTCCATTGCATTTAGGCTTTAAAAGTCCTCCTGTCAGCCAGACATTATATATATAAATCTTCTATATGTAGAATATATATTATATTCTCCTGTTATTATACAAGGGCTGTCCATATAGTATCCAGCCATATAATATGAAAAATAGTATTGACGGTGGCTGGATACTTTCCTGACAGCCCTTATATTCTTATATTCTGACTTTATATATATAAATATTCTATAGAATATTTATTATGTTCTTATAGTCAGATCTTTTTTATTGATCCAAACTTTTTATTCAGGTTTTAAGTACATTTGTAATTTATTTTGATACATAATGTAGAGCTGTTTTTTGGTTTTTTCCTACTGATTCCGACAGATATGCTTGCCTACTGTTTATTTCAAGCCTAGTAGGAATTAAACTTGGCACAGTAAGAAACTTATGTATGGCATTCCTTCTCCCCAGTACGCACACAGCCTTCACAGACAATCCCCCCAGCCCCCCAAGTGCATTAAGAGTTTGGCCACTGAGTCACAGCTGGGAGCCCCATCTCTGCTGCTGTGTGGTTTCCAGCACCAATCTGCAGATAGCCCCTGCCCAAGACTTTCTGTTCTTTCTCTGGGGAGGGCAGTCCAAGTTAGAAGCAGGCATTGGTTCCTCTACCCATTGCTGGAGGGATGCCCAATATTGCCAGTAGCCTTTGGTAGAAAGGCACCCTCCCTGCCTCATGGCTCTGAGACAAGCACAGCCTTTACCTTTTGAGTCAAGACAGTGTGAGTTGCATCAGAAAGGGCCCTGTAGATTTTTTTTTTTTTCAATTAGAGCCACTGGCATTATAGTAAACTGAAATTATTCCTGGTTTTCTTACAGGTTAAGTTGTTATCTTCATTTTCCCTGCTGATAGATATGTTTAACTATTTGAATGTTATGGTTGTTATTTTAATTAAAAATTAGAAAAGTGAGTCCTGGGTCCCCAAGCTCTTGTCACAATTTTCCTTGGGAATCCAGCTACATTTTTAAAATACCATTCTTTAGGTGTAAACAATTTTTTGCTCACAGATAAAGAAGAAACCAGTGAAACATCCACATTTAGAAGTTATGAATATCCTAGTCTAACAGTATCTTCAGACAAAGGTAAATTAATATTTGGTCAATTTGGTTCTTTTATATTATGCTTTTAAAAAACACAAGTAGCTCCTTCAGAATTTGAAGAAATCTGTGATTTTTTAAAAAACATTATTAATACCCAACTTACTCTATATTAAAGGCTACTCTATTATTAATATGAACAGTTGGACATACAGGAACATACACACACACAAAATAGCACATGATATGTTGTTTTGGAGAAAAAGAATATTGGGAAGACAGGTGATCTATTTTTGTGCTCTGCCATCCCTGACATGTAGCTACTATAATAATTACAAGATGGTTGTTGGAGCTCCAGCCATCATGACAGTGTCCCGAGTAAGAAAAGGGAAAAAAGCATGGGACAAAACTGTCCTTTGCATTCAGCTGAGTCAACTCTCTTAAAGAGAGGACAGGAAGACAAACACACACACACATATACACACACACACACACACATATACACACACAAAAAAAAATTCTGCTTGCATCTTCGTGGCCATCCAAACAATAAGGAAAGTTGGGAGATGTAGTTTTTTTTTTTTAGCTAGGCACATTGCTGGCCTTGACAAAATCAGGGTTCAGTTACTAAGGTAGAAGAGAACAGCTACTGAGTGGACAGCTAGCAGCTCCGAGCACGTTTCTCTCTTCGCTGGGTATTTCTGCCTCGGCATACCCCCCCCCACTTCCATGGCTGTAGGAAGATCATGGGTTCTTGACTCTTCTGCTCTGGTTCTCCAGGCTCTGTGGCTCTCTCCATCCTTGAGAACACATTCAGGCAGGGAGGGCAGCAGGCACCTGCTCTTTCAAGGCCTTGTTGGGGTTTTCTGGGCTGGGATCAACTGGGCTCCAGTAGAGACCCTGAGAGATGGAGCCCTGGGGCAGCAGCTCAGAAGCTGGACTGCAAATGCAAAGGTAGAGGAGTCAAGTGGAGCTGCCAAGCTCCTGTCTCATCGGAGGGATGGATAAACATTCACATCACGATGCAGCCTGCCAGCCAACTCATCCACACAGGGAGACGCTTCAGCATGAAAGCGGGCAAGAACCAAGTGTAACACTTGAAAAACCAGCCTATGCCACCTTTCCCTGTCCCCTCCAACTTGCCTCCCTCCTGTTCTTTAACCATCCCAGGTAGTAACTGGAAGTATTTATCTTGTTTTCTGACTCATTCTAGATGCTTGTGTTTCCATTTGACCTCTGGAATCCTCTGGTCCCTACCTTTCTGCATTGGTTTTAACTCCTGCCTAACAGAACTTTCTTCTTCCCTCATTGGCTTTCATTCTGGTGCACTGGCTTTAAATCACTCCTCTGATAGTTTGTGATTCTGTGATTCCTGACTTAACATTTCCTCTCCCTAGTCTTTCTTCCCCCTTATTCTAGCATGTTTTCCGTAGCACAAAGGTAATACTTTCTTGGGTCAGATATTACCAATCATGTTTCATTGCAAATAGGATTGTCCACTAAAAGTATTAATGGCATTAATGTATTAACTTAATTTACTTGGCCGGGCGTGGTGGCTCACACCTGTAATCCTAGCACTTTGGGAGGCCGAGGCGGGCGGATTGCTCAAGGTCAGGAGTTCGAAACCAGCCTGAGTGAGACCCCGTCTCTACCAAAAATAGAAATAAATTAATTGACCAACTAAAAATATATATACAAAAAGTTAGCCAGGCATGGTGGTGCATGCCTGTAGTCCCAGCTACTCGGGAGGCTGAGGCAGTAGGATCGCTGAGCCCCGGAGATTGAGGTTGCTGTGAGCCAGGCTGACGCCACGGCACTCACTCTAGCCTGGGCAACAAAGCGAGACTCTGTCTCAAAAAAAAAAAAAAATTAATTTACTTTATTTTCAATTGAAGACTCAATAGAAGAGGTAACTGCAAGTCATCCAGAGGTTCTTGCTATGATTGAGGAGACTATAAAAATGGCACAGGATATAAACTTTGAACAGCCATATGAAAAATATGCTGAAATCTTACAGGAAGTCTTCAACGAGGTAAAAAAAAATCCAGTTTGTTAATTTCTATCATTGATGTAACTATAACTAAGAAAATGTTCATCTAGTATATGTATAATTATTTTAGTATCTTATTCCACTGTATTGAAATTTGTAGCCTTCAAATTCATATACATTTTGTAGTCAGCATCGTTATATGTAAAGTACCCTAGTGAAAAATTGCTGATGGTCTTTGGTAAAGTTTTGGTTATGAACAAAATTATATAATGTAATTTCATGGCTTTCAAATTAATTCTTCATTAACTTTTATTGTTCTTGATTCAGTTCAGTTTGTTAAAAGATGACATATATGAAGCCAGTACCAAAGTTAGATATTCCATCTGTTTAATCATAGACCAAGACAAATTTTGCTCCATCATTAAATAATTTCATCCAATCACTTTGAACATGTGTTCATAGGGGAGATGGGTGGACACATGAGTGATGTTCCAGTCTAAATGGGAAAAAAGGTGTCCAATGCTATGTCCTATCAAAGGCAAATCAGAAGGCTTATCTTTCGTTTATAAAGAACACGATAGTCATGTGGGTCTGTTTTGCACAGAGATCTCAGGTGAACATTCAGAGCAAAAGTCAAAAACAGAACAAATCAGTTTTGGACTCTCAATGAACTTCTGTATTTCTCTGTGGTCTTCCTTAAAATTATTATGTGAAAAGAAAAATTATATTCTATGAGAGTATAGAAATACCCTGTAACACATAGGGTGACTCAGGCCTTGAGCCATGGGCTGTACCAGCCTCCCTGACCCTTGGGTTCCCAAGGCGCTTCCTGAGTTTGCCATACAGACCTTTCAACTCCTTCTGCATCTCTTCAGGTTGTTCCGCCATCGGTGTATTCCTTCGCAAACATTACGAGCACCTACTATTTGCTCTGTACTGCGCTAGATACTAGAATCTGAACATTAATTAAACACAGCCCTTTCCTTTAAGGAGCTGTCAGTTAGGTGGGGAAGACTGAACTTATCATGTACTAAGTGGCAAATAGATATGTACAAGGTGTGGAAATTCCATGAAGGTTGGAGCTATCATCTCTGCCCGGAAGGGAAGACAAAGCATCCCAGACGAGCATACATGCAAGTGTGGGACATGCTTGGGACTGGGAGTCTCATCCTTGCCTTTGGCTGAAAATTTTCTCCATTCTCTTCAGAGTTCATTCTGGAGGGTGCAGATGTACAGGGAGCACTGCGCCTCTGGTACAGGAATATGTGGAGCGTTGTTAGATGGTAAACTGCAGCTCTGGGACTGAAGGGGAGTTTAAATCGTATGAGACTGTAACATTTGTAACATTAAAGCTCATATTAGATTGTCAGTTCTCAAGAGACCAGAGAATTCTGCAGGAGACTGTTTTACCTGTCATCAGTTTCTATGATCTCTACAATTAGGAAACCTATTTTTTCACAAGCAGCCATAGATATGCTACTTTTTGAAAGTCATTTGCCCATGTTTTTTTTTTTGGGGGGGGGGCTGTTGAGGAATTTTATAAAATTGGATTGTTTGTCTCTTTTTAAAAATATTTCTTTGATAGAGACAGGGTCTCTCGCTTTTGCTGAGGCTGATCTTGAACTCCTGAGCTCAAGCAATCCTCCTGCTATGGCCTCCGGAGTGCTAGGATTACAAGCGTGAGCCACCACACCCGGAAAAAATATTTCTTTATGTGTTCTGAATATGAGTTCTCTATTGGATATTTTGCAATTATCTTTATAAATATCTCCTATCTTGAATAATAATATCTTGAATAATATGAGTTAATTTTAATGATTAAGTAAATTTATTAACTTTTTTTTCATAGTTAGTGCTTTTGGGGTTCTGTTTCATAAATCTTTGCCTACCCCAAATCAGGAAGATACTCTCCTAGGTTTTCTTCTGGAAACTTTATCTTTCATATTTGAATCTAAGGTTCATTTTGAATTAGTTTTTATGCATCCCAAAAATATCCAAATGCCAAAGCGCATATGAAAAGGTACTCAACATCACAAAATATCAGAAAAATACAAATTAAAACCACAATGTGAGGGTCAAGGTTTACTTTTTCCACTACAGATGTCTACTTCCTCTAGCAGCACCATCTATTAAAAAGACCATCCTTTCTCCACTACCATAAATCAAGTGGCCATACATGTGTGGGCTATTTTTAGGCTTTTTGTTCCATTGGTCTCTTTGTCTATCTGTACTAGTGCCACAGGATTTAACCACTGTAGCTTTAAAACAAGTTGTGAGATCTAGTAGTTTGAATCCTTTAACAATCTGTTTCTCCTGTTGTCATATCCTTCTCTGTGTCATACATTATGTTTTCTTCTGCTTGCTTCTTCAAAATTATCCTCACTATTATAGGTCCTTTTTTATTTCCACATACATTTTAGAATCAGCTTATCAATTTTCACACACAAACACACACCTCTGCTGGGATTTTGATTCAGTTGCTTTGTATCTATGGATAAATTTGATGAAGACTACCATCTTCACAATATTGAGTCTTCCAATACAAGAACATAGAATATCTGTATAGTCATCCCTCATTATTCTTGGGGGATTTGTTCCAGAACCCCCACAGATACCAAAATCCTCAGATGCTCAAATTCTTTATATAAAATGGTGCAATATTTGCATTTCATCTACACACATCCTTGGGTATACCTTAAATCATCTCTAGATTGCATATAATACTACAATGTAAATACTATGTAAATAGTTGTTATACTGTATTGTTTAGGAAAAATGACAAGAAAAAGTCTGTACATGTTCAGTACAGACACCACTATCTTTTTTTTCAAGTATTTTCTATCCCTGATTAGTTGAATCCATGGATCCATGGATCCATGGATTGCATGGATACAGTTGGCTGACTGTACTTTATCTTGGTCTTCTTTTAATTTTTCCCAGTATTCTTTTGTAATTTTCAGGGTAGAAGTTTTCAACGTCTTCCATTAGGTTTATTTCTAGGTATTTGATGTATGTTGATGCTATTATAAATGACATTAGAGTTTTATTTTATTTTCCAATTGTTTCTGCAACCATTTTTTTATCCTATTTTTTTTACTGTGCCTCCCACTAAATTCTGTTTTTTTATCTGAAGCTCACAGCTCATGTGCAGAACAGTTATGACTGATACATTTGGGTTAATGTGTGTGATCCAGTCCAGGGAAAGCAAATAGGTTATAATTTACTCACCAATTGATCAATTAGGCATTTTTTAAAGAATCTCCTTGAATTATAGTTTAACAATATTTTTAAAGCCTTAAAAATGTATAAATAATCTGGGCACAGTGGCTCACGCCTATAGTCCCACTATTTGAAAGGCTGAGCCAGAAGGATCACTTGAGGCCAGGAGTTTGAGACCAGCCTGGGCAACATAGTGCAAGACCCTGTCTCTAAAAACTAAAAAAACTTCCTGCGTGTGGTGACTCGCACCTGTAGTCCCAGCTACCCAGGAAACTGAAGTGGGAGGATTGCTTGATCCCAGGTGTTCATAACTAACCTGGCAGATATAGAGAGATCCTATCTTTATTTAAAAAAAAAAAACACATAAATAATGATAGATATCATTTCTACCCAGGGAAGAGAAGAGCCACTCCCTTGCCATTGAGAGTGCACAGAAATTATTTTTTTGCATACCAAACCATTTGTACTTTTACACAGTTTCTAGCTTGACTAGCTACAGAGCACCCATGGAAGCAGAGGCTGAGGGACACGGGGGACCTATCTCAGAAGCAGCTGTGTTCTCTGCTCCCATTGCTTTGCACACTTTTGTTGAGTAAAGCTTTTACACTGACCACACAAAAGGTACTTGCCCGGTAACTAACAGAACTACAGTAGCAACCTCTAGGGAAATGGCCTCTTGTGTCAAAGCATCCACTGTGTGCTTTCCCGTTGAAGTCTGTGACCTGTTGTCCAACTGCACATCTAACCACAGCCTATTTCTCTACCTCTGCAGCCTGCGCTGCGTTAGTCATCACATGCATGAAGTGAGTGAGCATCGTTACATGCTTGGGGTAGAGTACAGGGCAATTTCTGCCCTGTATCTGTGTACTTGGCATGGTCGTATGTTTCCTATGCCTCCCACATCTCTCTGGGTCATGTCTTCCTTCCTCTGATTCCCTCCGTCTGTCTCCTCCCTCTGTCTATTCCTGATGATACCTATAGTCGCAAGTGATAAAATAGAGAGTATTTTTATTGAAACTTAAACATTAAAATTTTTCAATTGAAAATGAAAACAATGAGATATAATTTCTCATGGTCTAATAGGAAAAGCTTTTTTTTCTGAATAATCAATATTAGTGAGGCTATAATAATATAGTTACTTTCAACCACTGTTAGGAAGAATAAAAATTGTGGAACTGGAGAATGTTGAGTAAGTAAAATAAGCCAGGAACAGAAGGTTAACATTGTATGCTCTTACTCATATGTTAAAGCTAAAAGAAAGTTGATGTTATAGAGTAAAAAATAGAACAGAGGATTCTAGAGGCTGGGAAGGTGGAAGGAAGGGAGAGGTAGAGAGAGACATGTTAAAGGATACAAAATTACAGTTAAATGGGATGAGTAAATTCTAGTGTTCTCTACCACTGTAGGCTGACTATAGTTAATAATATATAGTTTCAAATAGCTAGAAGGAGGATATTGAATGTTTCAAGCACAAAGAAATTTATCAATATTTGAGATGATAGGTATGCTAATTACCTGATATGATTATCATACGTTGTATGTATCAAAGCATTACTATGTACCACATGAATATATACAATTATTATTTGTGAATTTTAAAAATTAAAATAAATTAGTATTTTTTAAAGTGAAAATTGATACAGATATTTTAGACAGCAATGTGTATGGAAAAGCCTTTAAAATGTTCACTCCCTTATTCCCCTTGACCTAAAAACATGTCTTCTAGGACTCAAACCTAAAGAAATATGTAATATTTGGACAAAGATTTACATATAAAGATGTTCATCACACTGTTATTTAAATAATAAAGATTTTAGATATGAAGTCGTTCATCATGATGTTATAATAAAATTATAAATGATATAAGTATTTAATAGTAGGGAGGTGATTAAACAAATTAAAGTTTATTTAATAACATAAAGTCATTTTTTTTCAAAAAAATGTTAAACGAGATGGAGAAATTATAAATTATTATCTCAGTTATTTAAATTTTTTTTTTATTTCAGCATATTATGGGGGTGCAAACATTAAGTTACGTGCATTGCCCTTGCCTCCCCTCCCCCCTCGAGTCAGAGCTTCAAGGGTGTCCATCCCTCAGATGGTGTGCTTCACACTCACTATGTATGTAAATACCCATCCCCTCCTCCCCCCTCCCACCTTCCTGACACCCGATAAATGTGGGTTTTTTTTAACATTTTGGTTACATTTTATGTCTTTGCCTCTCCCTAGCAAGGGTTAGAGGTATGCCCTTCCCCTCCATAATGCTCACCACATCACTCAGATGTGGGACTATCCCTCCCAACCCCCAAATCCCTTATTTTAATTTTTATATCTTTGAAATTTGGACAGTAAAATTTTTATTTACTATTTATATTTCTTTTTTATAGCTTTCATTTTTTTCTCTTAACTCTTATATTAAACATTTCAAAGTAGTTAAAAATTTTTTTCAAAAGATCATTCAGATAAAAATTCAAAAAGGAGATAATTTCAAATTTTCCATAGGCCTGAGGGTTATACTGGCTCTTGATATCTCCTCCCCTTTGGTTTCTAATATTTTATGATTACCTGATGACACACAACTTATTAAAGCCCTCAGAATTGGTGTCTTCAGAGATCCACATTACTATTTTCCATATTTGTGTTGAAGCTATTGCTGTTGGAGAGATGAGAGAAGGCAAGAGTTTAGCAGAACTCTCTAAGCACTTGCAAGATTGGTTTTGACCCAGTTCTTCCTGCTGCTCTTTTTAAGAACACACAAGGCGTTTTTTTTGTTTGTTTTGTTTTTTTCCCCTAGGCTCAGTTGCTTGTTGCACAGAAAGCCAATTACTGAAATAATGAGAATTGTCAAGAAAAAAAGGGAATTTATTATGGGAAGATATCAACCCAGAAAGGGGAGGATGGCCTCAAATCTGCCTCCTCAACTGACAGGGTCAGGGGTTTTTCTAGAATTGAAATGAATAATGCATGAAGTGAGTGAGCATCATTACATGTTTGGGGTGGAGTACAGGGCATGCAAGTGCAGTGAGAAATCATACTGGCACGTACATGGCATGGTCAAAAAATGGCAGATGAGCCCCTTCCAGGGTGGAGATTTTAGTGGTATGATGAGCTAGGGAGTAATATCAGTCATATTTTTGATCTTATGGGCATGTGGGTGGTAGGGAGTAGGTTGCTCAGCGGGTCCTTGGGCAAGATATGTGGTGGAATGTCGCTTGTCATAACTTCTCTGAACAACCAGTAGTATAAGGCCTTGTGATTATCTCATTACTGCAAGGAGGGTCCGCCATTTCTGAAAAACAACTCAAAAGGTAGGGGATCAGTGAAACAGAAAATGACAAAGTTCTGGTCAGCAAATCTTACTGACCTGGGAACTGGAAACATAAGGGAACTGCAAAAAGGTATTTTTGTTCATGAAACCAGCTCTACTGTTAGTAGGCATCTCAGTACCTCTCAGCTGTCACACTGAGTGATGAAAAGCAAACAAGAAGTGAAGGATGTTGTCACTAAAAAGGCAAGCTGGACTAGGACCTTGCTACTCAAAGAGTGGGCCATGTACCATCATCCTGGAAGCATGTTAGAAATGCAGACTCTGGGGCCGCACCCCAGACCTTCTGAATCAGGACCTGTACTCTGTGATACTGAATAATATATAGCAAAAATGTATTGTTATATTCATTTAACCCTGCTTTTTAACTTTTAAAACTTACTGTTTTATTGCTTTGAATTCTATTTTTTTTCCTTCTCAAAGTCAGAAGAAGCAAAAAGATACTTGTTTAAGATCTACAAAAATTACATATCAAGGTAGCATCCTTGACTTGTCAAACTATGATGGTAATATCAGTGTGCAATTTCTCACAGGTAAAGAAAAACAACGAGGATAGGTTTTCTGGTGCCCCAAATGGAGGATGGGTTGTGGACAACTGCCCTATTATAAAAGAACTATGGATGGCCATAATTGAGAAAGGAATTACACCTGATTTGATAATCTATTTATCAGATACAGAAAACAATGGTTGGTAAATATTTACTATGTAAATTTGAAAGTGAAGTTTTTATTGCTGATAATATTTTTGATTAAAATACAGAATGGAAAACTTTCCACCTCCCTAGATACAAATACCATTCCAGCAATCCCTGCAGGACCTAGAGGTACACAAAATGAGGCTACTATCTACTGAAGAGGTGGCCAGGGAAAAGTATTGGTGCGCTGAACATTCTAGCAGGCCTTTGTAATTGTTGTTCTTTGAAGCTGAGAATGTTAAACACACACACACACACACACACACAGAGTCAGCAGCTATAACTTCTAAATGAACAATATGTAAGACTGAAGGCAAAGACTATATATTCATCCTCCTTCACTTCAAGTGATAAAAAAGAGGTACATAAAGATAGCAGAACTAAATTTTAATTCTCTCATTTTGCCTCTGAAAGAAATATGTTTGAAATGAGAATTTCCAGAGGAAAAATATGTATACTACTTCTTTTCATGTTTTAGTTACTTAGACTGTACTAATACATACCTTTTTAAAAAGGATTTAAGATGATCTATAAATATTTTAAATAATCTGGGCTCTATTTACATTCTTTGAATATAGGCAAAAATAAATTTTTGTGTTGATTTCCAAACTATATTTCACTCTATTTTATAAGCTTTGAAAATAATAATATTCTCTTTATCTGTATTTCAGGAAAATGTTTACTTAATAGATTATATTTTAAAAATAAACCTGAAATTGATTCTAAGATTATAGAAAGAATGTTAGATGAACTACAAAAGAAAAAAAAAGAGGAAGAAGAAGCAAGGTAAAATCTGCCTAGAATGATAAAATAGATGAATGTATCTTTTATAGCTATTAAATATCTTCTTGGGATTTACACTTATGAAATATATTTAATATCAAAATGATAATTTATTGACTTGGTCTGATTCTAATTAATTCTAAGAAAAACAGTAATTTCACCAATACTTCCAGAATCTCCAAGGTATACAATTGCAGATGTTTTCACAGTCTATATCAAACTTATTCTATTAATAAGTCAAGCATCTATTCTCCAAAGACACTGTAAAAAAGTGAACATGGGTAAGATATGTATTTTTTTACCATATTTATCTGTGACTTAATTTTGTTAACTAGTATCCACAAATTGAAGAAACAATATGATAAGGAAGTAAAGGAAAATATACTTGTGTGATATGACTCAAATCCAAAGCCTAAGTTCCACAAAATGAAAGAACAAGACTAGTTATTTATATTGGACAGCTTTAACATTAAGGGCTTATTCTGTAATCTACATGTAGTGAATAACTTTTTAAAATGTGAACACATATTTATCTGTTCATGGCAGGAGTCAGTATTAAACTTTAATAGACTATAAAGTCCTTCAGTTTAAAGAATAAAGTATAGAAAGTGACTTAATTTGCTAATTGCTCTTCCTTGCTGAAACATGCTCTTCAAATACTTCACATATTAATGTGGGCACTGAGTTTTCTACTGTTCAAAGTGATGAAGGCCTAGACATATAATAACTAAATTTCTCTATTGTAAATCCACTAAACTTCCTACTATTTGATGATGGCACCTATAGCTTCCTCAAATGATATTTCCTTCCCCCCTTCAGATATTAGCAACATGAGCTGAGATTTAGGAGAGCTCTTTTTTTTTTTTTTTTTTTTTTTTTTTGAGACAGAGTCTCGCTTTGTTGCCTAGGCTAGAATGAGTGCCATGGCGTCAGCCTAGCTCACAGCAACCTCAAACTCCTGGGCTCAAGCAATCCTTCTGCCTCAGCCTCCCAAGTGGCTGGGACTACAGGCATGCGCCACCATGCCCGGCTAATTTTTTCTATATATATTATTTGGCCAATTAATTTCTTTCTATTTATAGTAGAGACGGGGTCTCGCTCTTGCTCAGGCTGGTTTCGAACTCCTGACCTCGAGCAATCCGCCCACCTCGGCCTCCCAGAGAGCTAGGATTACAGGCGTGAGCCACTGCGCCCGGCCTAGGAGAGCTCTTTAAACTTCAGAAACTACGAAGCTGGGAGGTGGGTAATTGCAAAGGTGTGGAGAGGTTAAATAATATGTATATGTCAGAGGAATTTTGTGTGTGTGTGTTCATTATTCATTTAAGCTAGTCATTCCTTTAGGAACTTAGCATAAAGATATGTGAGTATAATTTAGCTAAATTAGTTAATAAAATTATTTGATATATTGACTCAAAATATTTTAATTCAGATGATAATTACAAACTTACTTATTACATTTAGCTTGTAAAACTTTTGTTACAAATAGAGCTATAATCTGCTAGTGTTTAAAGAAAACTTAATTTTTTTTGGCGTATAAGAAACAGTCAAATATTTGAGAACAGATGACAATCTCAACATAAAGGTAAAATAAATTTTATGTGATTTCTAGACTGACAGTGTACTATATTTTAAAAATATAAAAAGTATATCTATAATTTTTTTAGAAAGAAAAAGATACCTTCCCCACTTTCTCCTAACTCTACCATCACCTCTTTTACCATATAAAATTTTCTAAGCTATTTCTATAATTAATTTTTACTTCTTTTGATTCTAAATATTTACATCTTTATAAACTTCTTAATGTCACTTGTCCAGAGGCAGGATTTTCAATGTTTTTACATGTTGATTTTTGAAATTGAACATGAGCATTTCAAAACAAATTTTTTCATATACTGCAGAAAATGAAATCTAAGACAATGTAAAAGAAAAAAAAGTGGCCAGAGACTCATTTAAAAGCTTTACAAGTTTGTTAGAAAAGAGATAAACTTAACAGGATTAAGAACTACACCTTGGGTCAAATATCTAAAGACCACATTCGGCAACTTTTCCAGCATCAGTTTCCAAATTTGCCAGTCAAATGGGAAGATAATTTCTACCATCATTGTTTGTTTGGATCCTCTATCCAAGTGGTTTATAGAAGTTTTTAATAAGTGGCAGCAAAGTTCCTCCTCATATATGGTCAGGTCTTAAATTCTTAGCAGCAACCTACTTTATCTAGGTCTTGAATAAGGAAGATCTCATGAAAAGAGATATTGTGGGGTCAGTTCCAGACCACCACAATAAAACAAGTCACATGAATTTTTTGGTTTCCCAGCAAATACAAAAGTTATGTTTATACTGTACTGCATTCTAATAAGTGGGAAATAGCATTATGTCTAAAAAACTATACATATTACAATTTTAAAATACTTTATTGCAAAAAATGTTAACAATTATCTGAGCTTTTAGCCACTCATAATCTTTTTTGGTGGTGGAGGATCTTGCCTCTATGTTGATAGCTGCCAGCTGACTGATCAGGGTGGTGTTTGCTGAAGGTTGGGAAGGCTGTGGCAATTTCTTAAAATAAGACAAGTTTATCTCATCTATTTACTCTTCCTTTCCTGAAAGATTTCTGTGTAGTATGTGGCTCCATCTGAGCTCTTCAGTGACCAGGTGCATTGTCAGTGAGCAATAATGTTTTGAAAGGAATCTTTTTTTCTGAGCAGTAGGTTTCAATAGCAGACTCTCGGCTTCCCAGAGTGCTAGGATTATAGGCGTGAGCCACCGGGCTGACCTGCATTAGCTCTTAACAGGAGAGTCAGGCTGCCCTTTGAAGCTTTGAAGCCAGGTATTGACTTCTTTCTAGCTGTATAAGTCCTAGATGGTATTTTCTTCCAATAGAAGGCTGCTTCATCAACAATGAAAAATCTATTATTTAGTGTAGCCACCTTAACAACGATCTTAGCTAGATGTTCAGGATAACTTGCTGCAGCTCTTCCATCAGTGCTTGCTGCTTCACCTTGCACTTTGATGTCATAGAGATGGCTTCTTTCCTTTGGCCTCATGAACCACCCTGTGTTAGCTTCAACTTTTTCTGCTGCAGCTTTCTCACCTTTCTCAGCCTTCATAGAATTGAAGAGAGGGCTTTATTCTAGATTAGGCTTTGGCTTATGACAATGTTATGGCCAGTTTGATCTATCCAGACCTCTAAAACTTTCTCCATATCAGCAATGTCTGTTTCACTTTCCTATCATTCACGTGTTCACTGGAGTAGCACTTTTAATTTCTTTCAAGGATATTTCCTTGGCATTCACAACTTGGCACAAAGGGCCTAGGTTTGGGCCTATCTCAGCTTTTGATAAATCTTACTTACTAAGCTTAATCATTTCTAGCTTTTGACTGGAAGTGAGAGATGTGGGACTTTTTGTTTCATCTGAACACTTAGAGGCTAGTATAGGGTTATTAACTGGTCTTATTTCAATATTGCGTGTCTCAGGGAATCAAGAGGCCTGAGGAGAGGGAGAGAGACAGGGAGTGGCCAGTCAGTGGAACAATCAGAACACATACAACACTTACCAATTAAGTTTGCCATCTTATGTGGGCACAGTTCATGACACTCCAAACAATGACAAAAGCAACATCAATGATCACAGATCACCATAACGGATCACTACAATGAAAAAATCTGAAAATTGTGACAATTACCATAATGTGACACAGAGACATGAAATGAGAACATGCTGTTGGAAAAATGATGCCAATAGACTTGCTTGATACAGGGTTGCCACAAATTTGTAAAAAAACGCAATACCTGTGAAGTGCAATAAAGCAAAGCACAATAAAATGGGGCATTCCTGCAGAATGACTGACTATTCTCACACATAGTCAGAATGGGGAAGGAGTTCAGAAACAATATGCAGTAGTTTCAGAGGTCTGAGTCACAAACAAAGAGAATTTGAATTATACCAAGACTTCAGGCTAGAACATAGGGTTTGGAATACAGTGAGAGAACACCATCTGTTAACAAGAAACAGACCTGTTGGGAGAAGAGGTGTAGTAGAGTCTTCTGAAGAGAATATATGTAACGAAATTTCAAAGGATTTCAAAAGGGGAAAATGGACACAAAGAATGCTGAGTATGAGAGAATGACAGTTCTTAGGAGAGCTGTGGCCCCAGCATGTGCTGCTGATACCAATGGGCTCTTCTTTACTTAACTAGTCCCCTATTGAGGAATGCTTGATATAGCTGTTTGGTAAAAATTTTAAAAGATATAGTCAATGTTTTTATATATGTTTCTTTGGCAGTGGTGTGCTTATTTCTGAGGGCTAAATTTCCTACACATAGAATTTCTAGATCAAAAGTATACATATTTTAATTTCTAATAAATATTGCCTTTCTCCATCATTTCACTGACTCTCCTTATACTTTTCTTCACTACTGTTAAGACAAGTTTATTGCTTCAACCCTAATGAAAAACAAATTTCCTCCAGATACTTAAGTTTCCATATTCTAGGTCTCTTTAAATTTCATCATTACAATGTTAAAAAGAAAATAATCGAGTTTTTTTTCTGATTGGAAAGATAAATTTACAAACTTTCTATTTATTCAATATAGAAAAAACTCCTAAATGCAAAAATGTTAAAAGAAAATGTAAAATTCTCACATGCCACCATCCACAGATAATTACTATTGACAGTTCAATTGGTTATCTTCTAGTCTCCTCATTTATAAACATTTTAAATACAAAATTAAAAATGCATTATAAATACAGGGGGTTTTTTGTTGTTTTTTTAAAGACAGAATCTCACTGTATCACTTGGGCTAGAGTGGCTGTGGCATCAGCCTAGCTCACAGCAACCTCAAACTCCTGGGTTCAAGTGATCCTCCTGCCTCAGCCTCCCGAGTAGCTGGGACTATAGGCTTGCACCATCACGCATGACTAATTTTTTCTATTTTTAGTTGCTCAGCAAATTTCTTTCTATTATGTAGTAGAGATGGGGTCTTGCTCTTGCCAAGGCTGGTCTTGAACTCCTGACCTCAAGCAATCCTCCCACTTCAGCCTCCCAGAATGCTAGGATTAGAGGAGTGAGCCACTGCACCCGGCCTTTAAATACAGTTTTATATTCAACTTTTTCACTTAACATTATATTGTGAACATTTCACATTTAACTGAAGAAAAAATGGTATGAGTCTTCTCATTTGCCTTTTTAATTTAGGATTAGGTAATCCTTTATTAATTTTGACAGCTTTCCTAATTAACAAGCAAAGTTTTTCAAAGTATAACATTTCGGGTTTTCTTACCAAAAAAAAAAAAAGTTCTAAATATTAACTGGTCTCAACAAGAGTAATTTAAAAATTTACATTGTAAAGTAAAAACTGTGATGAATATTATAAACAATTCACTCTTTACTTTTACCACTATAAGCATTTACTCCTATAATATGGTGGGATGTCTGAATTTCCAAAGAGAATTAAATTTTGAATGTTTTCATTTCAGAAAAGCCACAGAAGAGGCATTGAAACTAGAAGAAGAAAATCGAAAGCGAATGGAAGCTATGAATGTGAAAAGAAAAGGCAAACATTGATATGACTCAGGATGTGTCACTGTATTGTTACTGCAAGCAATTGCAGTATCTTAAGTGCATTATAGACAGGGTGATAACATTTCCCAGAGAGCCCAGGTTTATGCCTACAGTCCTAAAGTATTTATAGTATTCCCTTTTATTCTCACAGTGTTCCAATTGGAATAATAAATCACATGGCCACTGTAGTAGAGGATTCACAGGCAAAACAGTCCCAATACAAACACCTACTCATACCCCTCTATGACGGATACACAGAATAGCACGCCTACTCTGTCTCTAAATGACTCTTGTCACAGCTGACATGTACCTGTTGGAATTACTTCTATTAGAAAGATCCTGCAGGAGCTGAGAAAGCAGCCAAACTGTTACTACACACCCATTGTCTTTTCACTTGAAATTTTATCTCCATTATAGAAGAACTTACTCTGTTTCTTTTAAGACTGGAGTTCTCAACCTGGAGCCCTTGGGTAAAATTCAGGGGTTGTCGAACTTAATAGGAAAATAAATCCAAATTTATTTTCACTAACCTTGAATTGAAATTTAGCATTTCCTTCAACAGGTAATTAATATAGTCAGGAAACCACAATAGTATCAGCAATACCTTGACTTTGTCACTGATAGGAATGAAGATATTTTATCTTTTTTTTTTTTTTTTTTAGAGACAGAGCTCTTGCTCAGGCTGGTCTCTAACTCCTTGAGCTCAAGTGATCCTCCCGCTTCAGCCTCCCAGAGTGCTGGGTTTACAGGCATGAGCCACCACGCCTGGCCTGTAGTTTTACATATCTTGTTTATGCTTATCACTGATCCAAAATGATGGTAGTTACTAAACCAGCTGCTAGTTCTTGTTCTTTAACATATTAGTAAAAATGCACAAATTGCCTATAGCACAAAAATTTTTATCTTGATAACTGTACATCAACATAATTGGTTTCTTACATATTTTATGAATTTGAAAGCATTATTCTGAGAAGGGGTCCATAAGTTTCACTATAATGCCAAAGGAGTCCATGGCTCAGAGGAGTACAGAGTGTCTGTTTCAATTTTCCACGCCGTGCAACAAGCCACCCCACAACTTTGCAGTGTAAAACAACCACCAGTTTTATTACACACATGATTCTTTGGGTCAGGACTTTGGGCAATGCACAATGATAATAGCTTTTCTCTGCTCCCTGAGCACCTCAGTTGTAGCTTTGTGTGATCCACCTTGGAAGTGGATACTCCAGCCCCAGTCGCACCTTCAGATGACTGCAGCCCTGATCGAGATCTCCACTACAACTTCGTGAGAGACCCTTAGCCAGAACCATCCAGCTAAGCCACTCCCAAATTCCTGACCCACAGAAACTGCAAGGATAATATGTGATTATTGTTGTTTTTACCACTAAGTTTTTGGGTCATTTATTATGAATCAGTAGATAACTAGAATAACTCATAATTAACAGTCAAAATCCCAGACAGTTTAAGGGTCTTAGAATACTTTTCAATCTATTCTTGACTTATATGATACACAGATTATCCCCTGGGGGCTCTAGAAAAAAATGATTTGAACTTTTTACATTTTTCTGCATCATTATATAAATTCTTTTTATATGTTTTATAATGTACCTGCTATGGATAAGAATACAACCTATATACACATATTAGAGGTATATGATACATTTTTTGTACTGTAAGAGATATGCAGTTGAAAGAAGTTTTAAGTTCCTTCCTGTAAACCACATAACTGCTTCCCAAACCATAATAGGATTTAGCAGATGCTGCTTCATCCTTGTGTATATTACCATAAAATCCTCCACCTAACACAGAAAGATTCACCACATTCCAAGTTACTTGGAAACCACATCCATTTAGTCCTCATTCAGACCTACATATAAGAATACTTGAAGATGCTTTTTTCTTGGTGCATCATCATCCAGATTTAGATTAAAATCCAGATGCCAGAAGTATGTCACACCACTAGAAAGTGATTCTTGGAGGTATTCATTGAGGAAAGGAATTCCCACAAGAATCCAGAAAACAAGCTCATTTATTTTTTCATATCATTTTTGCATAGAAAGTACCTTGTTTTCCATTTTTACAAGAATATTATGTCAATTTCATAAGTATATAAGAGGAAATTTGGGAGATGGGTTTTTGGACACCACCATTCATGCCATTTTCTTCCTGAAAGACTTCCAAACACATATCCGCTTAGTAGCTATCAGCAACTACATAAAACTCAGACTTATACTTTTTAAATTTATATTTAACGTGTTGATCCATATACTACATTATTTATTATTTTTAATTAGCTATAAGGAAATCTTCATGCCCGTAATCCCAGCAACTCAGGAAGCTGATGTGGGAGGCTTGTTTGAGGCTAGGAGTTCAAGACCAACCTGGGCACCATAGCAAGACCCTATCTCTAGAAAATTTTTTTAAAAATTAGCTAGGCATGGTGGCACATGTGTTTAGTCCTAGCTACTCAGAAGGCTGAGGTGGGAGGATAGCCTGAGTCCAGGAGCTCAAGGCTGCTGCAGTGAACTATGATTGTACCACTGCACTCCAGCCTGGGCAACAGAGGGAGACCCTATCTCTAAAAAAAATAAAAGAAAGAAAGAAAATCCATGATTATATACATATTCTAGCCCAACAGAAATATAAGCCACACATGTAACTTTAAATTTTCTAGTAGCCACATATTTTACATTCAGTTTTTCATACTAAATCTTGGAAATTCATTGTATATATTATACCTACAGTATATCTCGATCTGGACTAGCCTCATTTCAAGTGCTCAATAGCCACATGTAGCTAGTGGCCACCATATTGAACAGTGCAAACCTAGTCATTCCCTTATTAAATGGACATCGGGCTGTTTCCAGTTTTTTACTGCCAGAATATTTGGAACTGCTATCAACATTTCCTCTTTTAAATGACTTGGATACCTTAGGCTGGGACTCACATAGCACTCTGAGCAGATGACTATCATCCTTTACCACTACATTTTAATAGATATAATATAGAGATAAGTTGTCTCTCTGCCCCATTATACCACATACTCCAGGAGGGCGGGGCCCCTGCCTTATTCTTTGTTTTGGCCTCAGCACTATTGGCACCCAATATATATGCATTGACTTAGACTGAATGATAATTCATTTCTTCTCATTTTTTCTAGAAGCTGAAGATCCTGATGAGGCTGAAGAGAGTGAAGGTGAGGAGTCCGAAGTTCGCGAGGATGCTGAGCCATCTGAGGTATCCGACGAGACTAGAGGGTCATTGTTACCTGACGAATCTGTATCTGAGGTCCCTGGAACAGAACGTGATTCAGGTTAGACTTTATGGAGGGCCAAGTCCTTAATCCCACTGATGGGCGCTGATGTGCTTCTGTATGTGTATGTGTGTGTTAATAAAATGGAAAGTGGCTGAGAGTGAAAAGATGAGCCCCCAGGGAGCAGCTGCTCTGCCCAGATTCCATGGAGTAAAGTGTGCAGGAAAGGCAAATCTGCTCTGCCTCATACTGGCACTCAGGGGAAGGGCAGGCTACGTAATTTTGGGGGCATGTTGTTTAAAAAGCAGGAAAAAAGTACCAATATATAAAGCTTTTTCCTTTCTTCCAAGGTCTTTCAACTTCTGATGGTGTTTTTTGTTTGCTACTTAATATCATTCCCAGTAAAGAAAAATTTAATTTTTAGATTATTAGCATGATTTTTATAGTTCATCTTTATGTTGTACGATGAAATTTTTAAATGCAAATATAAGAGCATTTAACTCACATGCAAAATCACCAAAATTGCACAATTTATATTTCACAGCTCATATGTACATATGTTTCATTCTTATCAGAATATTAAGTTAGTTTTGCTGCATACAACTGACTCAACTTTTTATTTGACTTTGTAACATGCACCTATTCTCCAGCACTCTCTGCCTTTAGCTGACCATTGATTGAGGAAGAACTGAAAGGAAAAGAAACCCTGGGATGCCCTATCTTTTCCTTTCCTTCTGTGTCATCATTTTTAAAGTGGTTGGCTTATGAAAGAAAGTACTATGAGTAAGAAAGGATATAACAGGGTTCCTTGGTCATTTGTGTTTCTTTGAATGCCATTGCTAACTTTCTGCATTTGAAGCACATTCTAGTTCAGAAGGAAAGCATGATCTCTCAGGGCTGTTGGCATTCCCCCCACTGCCCACTCATTCGTTCTTACACCTACACAGCATGGGTCCATTGGGATTCTGTGCTCCCAGTGGGGCATCAGGAATGTTCATGAGAATGAGATGGCACAGAATGGCAAACAGGTATCGTGCATATCCCATCTGTTCACATGCATGTGTCACATGTAGGCTCAATTGTCTCATTGGAGTCCCATTGGACTTTGCTTACAAAACACAAATTCAAGGGGAAATTATTTTGAACTTCAAAATGACAACCAAAGATCATTAAAGTAAGTGGGAAGCACTTGAAATGACCCTGGCAAATCAGGTCACACTTTATGAAACTGGCGCTACTGTAGAAGTTCAGTTTGGTGGGTTGGGGCAGGACCAGGAGCCTATGTCCAATGAAAGTCACTCCAAAGACTAGAGATTAGGCTTAAAACAGGAGCCCCCACACTGGTTAGATGAGGCTCCTAAATGCTTCTGAGCACTGTTAGTACTGGGTTAGAAACTAATCCTACAAACTAAAGGTCTTCAGATGCCAGCCTGGGGCAGTTAAGGGCTGAGAACTTGCTGCTAGTTGGCAAAAGAAGCAGAACTAATGGAAAATTTTACAATGAAAAATCTCATGTTCAACATAGAACATTTTTCCTACAGGGACTGACATTAGCCTTATGGGACAGTATCTCAGTTCATTCAGGTTGCTATAACAGAGTACCATAACATGGGCAGCTTAAACAACAGAAATTAATTTCTCAGTTCTAGAGGCTGAGAAGTCCAAGATCAAGATGCCAGCAGATCCGGTGCCTGGTGAGGGCCTTCTTCCTGGTTTGCAGATGGCTATTTTCTTGTCATATCCTCACATGGCAGAGAGAGATCTTCTCTCTCCTGTCCCCTCTTATAAAGGCATTAATCCCATTCATGAAGGCTGAATCCTCATGACCTCATTACCTCCCAAAGGTCTCACCTCCAAATACCTTAACATTGGAAATTTAGGCTCCAATGTATAAATTTGGCGAGATGTGGGGGGTACAAACATTCAGATACAGGGGTCCTCAAATTTTTTAAACAGGGGGCCAGTTCACTGTCTTTCAGACCATTGGAGGGCCATTGGAGAGTGCGGCGCACATTCCACACATGCGCACTGTGGGCCCAGGACAGCTGCTAAGCAGGACAGGCAGCAGTGGCAAAAACATCTGGCAGGCCGGATAAATGTCCTCGGCAGGCCACATGTGGCCTGCGGGACGTAGTTTGAGGACCCCTGATTCAGAATATAGCAAACAATTAACTATAAAGTCAGAATACTTGCACTAGGCAGAGGAGCTAGCAGGAAAATACTCAATTTCCTTTTGAGAGATTCACACTTCTATTGACTGGAGCTCCCACCCAGAAACTTCATCATTTTCTTTGCTACCCAACTAGTTAGGCTGACAACAATTCTCCCCACTCACTTACCTTTGCAAGAAGATAGGCCATAAAATACCAAAAGAAATAAAAGAAAACAGACCCCTATTAAATATGTTACATCAAACATATCCCCAGGTGCTAATGTCTCACAATTAGTGTGTGTATATATATATTAAGTATATATATACTAAGGCAGCAGGTGGGGGAAGATTAGTTATGTGCCTTTTAATCTCCTTATTTCCCCAGGTAACCTACTCTGGATATTCTAAACCTAGTGTCCTACTCCATTTAGGGTCAGTTCTAGCCCAATGCTGCAGACATGACTGGGCTTCTCCAGAGCTGGTTAACTTCTGTGAGATCATGAGTCTGTTTTGCCATTGTAAACCCTATTTTATTTCACAGAGGGGCTTGCATCTGATTTAGCTAGTCATTACCTCTTCCATGCAAGGATCCCTCTCTATAAAGTCTTCTTCTCTGAATTAAGTAGGCTTTTTTTTCCCACTTCAAACTGCCCTGTCTGACATAAATCAGATTGGATTTTTTTTTACTTTACCTGGATTACCCTGTGGTAGCCTGATGATGGTTGCCAAAGGTATGTTCACAGCCCAACTCCCAGAACCCGTGAATTGTCACCTTACTTGGAAAGAAGGTCTTTACAGATGTGACCAAGTTAAGGATCTTGATATGGGGCGATTATCCAGGATTATCCAGATGGCCCTAAATGCCACTACAAGTATCCTTTAAAGAGCAAGGCAGAGAGAGATTAACATTCACAGAGAGGAGAAGGTGATGTGAAGATGGAAGCAGACGTTGGAGTGATGCAGCTCCAAGCCAAGGAATGGCAGCAGACAGGGGAAGCTTGAATAGGAGAAGGTGATTCTCCCCACCGAGCCTCTGGAGGTAGGGTGGGCCTGCTCACACCTTGGTTTCTGATTTATGGCACCCAGAACTATGAGAAAATAAATTTCTGTTGTTTTCAGCCACAGAGTTTGTGGTAATTTATTATGGCAGTCACAAGAATATAGTATATACCCAAAACAGTTTTTTACACCTCCTCCCAGAGAACACATCTTTTCCTTTGGAGTTTGACTTCTGCTGGGGCCACAAAATCATCATTACCTCTGTCAATGCCCACGTAGGATGACTAAGGTTTCACTTCAATCCTGTTGTCATTCTAGTCTTCTTAGAATGGAATGATACATACATTGTTTAGAATCAGTGCTTTCATGGGCAATAATGTATGCATTCCAGGGCTTTGGGAACAATCACTTTGATTGTACTGCTTAGGTATAGGTACATTACATGGAACTTGCCAGAACATGAGCCTACAGTAACCATTAGTTCACATCACAGTGTTTCATTCCAAGCACTACGTAGACATATACTAGAGTCAGCCATTAAACATTGAGGAATTCATTCATTCCTTTAACAAATATTCATTGCATTTCTTCTAAGTGCCAGGCAAAACAACAGCACAACCCTAGGTAGTAGGGACTCAGCCGTGATCAAGGCAGTTTAAGGCCACTATCCTCAAGGAGCTGATGTTCCATGAGTGAAGAACAAGAGTAAACAAGTAAATAACTAAGATCACTTCTGATAGTGTTACGGGCAATGAAGAAAATACGGAGGCACTAATGCAGTGCCTGGGATAGAGGAGGAGCTCAGTAAATGCTTCTTGAAAGAATGAGCCCAGTAGAGATCATGGGGGTAGTTTGGAAGAAGCAACACCGAAGATTTTGGTCAAGGAACAGTGTCATCTGAGAAGATGAGATTGAGATAAGACAGAAAGGCTGAAAAGGATTTGGACAAAGATAGTTCACTCAAAAGGCTCAGAGGTAGGCACAGATCAGTTTTAGTTGAGCATTTGTTTAAGAATTTGGGTGGATTATCACTTTTTTCTTGAGTAAAATCTTGATCCTGCCCCTAAGTAATCCTGCAACCTGAATCTGTGTAAATAGATTGATACAATTGTTAGCTCCCTCAACCCCCTTCTCACTCTTGCTGTATTAGGTTGGTGCAAAAGTAATTGCGGTTTGGGACCATGAATTTTAAATCATCATAACCACGCTCAAACACATCTTTATTAGTCAAAAATAGGAACCATTACAATCAACACGTTTTTGCCAGAAAGAAATAAGTTTGTTTATTCCTGTAGTGTAAAAATCTCTGCTTCAGTATTCGACGAACTCTCGGAAGGCATTTTCTGCATCCTGCTGATTTTGGAAGTGTTTTCCCTGCAAAAAGTTGCTGAGATGCTTGAAGAAGTGATAGTCAGTTAGCAAGAGGTCAGGGGAATATGGCAGATGAGGCAAACTTCATACCCCAATTCGTTCAACTTTTGAAGCGTTGGTTGTGCGATGTGCGGTTGGGCCCTTGTTGTGGAGAAGAATTGGGCCCTTTCTGTTGACCAATGCCAGCTGCCGGTGTTGCAGTTTTCAGTCCATCTCATCAATTTGCTGAGCATACTTCTCAGATGGAATGGTTTCACTGGGATTCAGAAAGCTGTAGTGGACCAGATCAGCGGCAGAACACCAAACAGCTACCATGACCTTTTCTTGGTGCAAGTTTGGGTTTGGGAAGTGCTTTGGAGCTTCTTCTCAGTTCTGTCACTGAGCTGGTCATCGCTGGTGGTTGTATAAAATCCACTTTTTGTCACACGTCACAATCTGATCGAGAAATGGTTCATCGTTGTTGTATACAACGATGCTTGAGAAGACGATGCTTATAAACGATGATTTTTTTTATTTTTGGTCAGCTCATGAGGCACCCACTTACCGAGCTTTTTCACCTTTCCAGTTTGCTTCAAATGCCAAACAACCTTAGAATGCTCCATGTGAGTTCTTTGGCAACTTCTCACATAGTTGTCAAGAGGATCAGCTTCTATGATTGCTCTCAATTGGCTGTTGTCAACTTCCAATGGCCAGCCACTGCGCTCCTCATCTTCAAGGCTCTCATTTCCTTTGCAAAACTTCTTGAACCACCACTGCACTGTATGTTAAAATGTGTTGTTGATGTTGCCAGTTGCCTCCACTGCTTTACGAGTTTATTTTAAACTGGAATAAGAAAATCGCTCGAATTTGCTTTTTGTTTAACACATCATTTCCATAGTCTAAAGTAAATATAAAATAAACAGCAAGTAACAAGTCATTAGCAAAACAATAAAGCAAAAAATGTGCATTAAAATTATGTATGACATAACCACGTTTATTTAAGAATATATCGCAATATCAAACAGCAAATTTCAACAGTGCTAAAACTGCAATTACTTTTGCACCAACCTAATATCTTCGTGGGTATTTTAATGAGAAATTAAAAGGAACATCAGGCACTGCTAGTCTGATGCCAATAAACAAAAATTCAAATAATATTTAACTACAGATATCAGAATTGTATGTATCATGTTATTATTCTAGTCAATGTTCTTTTATATGTTTAAGAATATTTTTCATTTTTTGCCTTATATTATTATGTATTTTTTGCCATACTTTACCTAACAAGAACTATATTTTCTGTTAGACATATAATATAAAATTTAAATATGTTTTGAAGTTTTCTTTGCACCAAAACTTTCATAAATGAATAACATTTTAAAATTCAAATACTAATTATTAGATTTTTTTCTTAAGTATCTGAACCTATTGAGGATACTACAATTGTTGACACAGAAATTTCAAAAGGATCCAAAGAGGGCCTGGAAACAGAAGAATTATCTGAAACAGGTTGGACTGTAAAATAAAAGTAGTTAGTACATATAAGTGCTTTCATGTTTTCTTAGGAAGAGTCCCTTATTTTAGGCATAGTATATGTTTCCTGCTTATTTCTTTCTATGTCATATGCCAGTTGGTGTGCATTATATTAATTAAGCTTATTCCATTAAAAGTGTATCTAATCAGATTATAGTACCAATTTTCATCAAATTTTGTTTTATATACTTTATTAACAGTTAAAATTTCCATATGAAACTCATATTAATTATCCATATAATTTGGGTTTTAGTAATAGGTAATAATTTATTTACAGCCAATATAAGAGCAAAACATAATTAAATATGAATTTGTAAATGTATTTGGTTGCTTAGAATACTATTTGTTTCAAATGCTTTAAAATATTATAAAGTATAAATTATTTTGGCAACATGGCTAAATATATGATATCGACAGACTCTTTTTTCTTTCCTTTGTCTTTTACTCAAAAGTTGTACTACCTGAGTTTCCAGAAGACTCTTATCCTGATGTTCCTGAAATGGAGCTTCTTAAAGAGAGGGTTAATTCTTTCATCCTCAGCTGGAAACCTCTGGAAACATTGTTTCATGACTCTTTCGTTGAGATTTTAAACTTGGAGATTGCAGACAGTACTCCAAAGGAACTACTTCAAAAAGTAGTTGAGACTATGGAAAGTAAGAGCCATAATCATAAAATTTATTATCAAGAGTAAGTGATAGTATTAAAAGCATTTTGAAACTTGAAAGACTTTCTTGATGCTTTATGAAGTAAATGTTCAATGTATCAAAGGATGATGTAGAAAATACTCAGCAACCATCATAACACAGGCTCCGGCCCGTCAGAACAGCCATGGGGCACAAACAGCACTGTCCATACAGGCCAGTTGTCACATAGGGACTTTGTAAAGGCCTATCTGCATACATATATAGATTAAGAGATCAATAACGACAATTAATTTTCCTAACATTTGTGGTAATATGCTGATAACCTTTTATCCTAAAATTATTTTCCCCAGTGATTCTTCTTTTTTTTTTTTTAACAGAACCTTTCCAGTATACTGCATGGGAGTTAGGTATGGAAGATTATGATGAAGAAACAGAAGATTATCAGGCCGAAGGAGAGCTTGATGAGGAGTCAGATGAAGAGGAAGAGGAAGAGGAAGAGGCATGATTCTTTTATTACTCCTCATTCTCATTTGGCCAGTCACTGAAAACGTACATACCCAGAGTGGTAACTATCACTTTTGGACCCCAAGGGAACAAAGAGGCAGTCTCAACTGCACAAATAAACATTTTCTAACACACATTCTACTTCTCCCCAGCTTCACTTGACTCCTTGAAATGCCAGGGCAACTTATACACTGTGAAAAAAAGACACCTGTGAAAAAATAAAAGAGAAATCTTTTAAATTTTCTTTCGTGGAAAAGATGTATAGGTTTTAGAACTGTAAATAAATTTACAAATTTGTATATTTATAAATTTAACAGAGGTGGGTGTTTTAGGTAAAACACAGCAATGAAGTCTTGCAAGGCTGCTTGCATGATAAAAATGTGCAGTATTCTCAAGCAGAAAAAATCCATGTTCAGGCACCAATCTACTCCCTTGACACCAGAATTTGTTTATTATTATTATGGATGCATAATAATTATATATATTTATTATGTACATGTGATTTTTTATACAGGCATACAATGTGAATTAATCAAATCAAGGTAATTGGGGTATCCAATACCTCAGGCATTTATCATTTCTTTGTGTTATGAACATTCTAATTCTACTCTTTCAGTTTTTTAAAAAATATACCCTATTTTTTATACCCTATAAACTATTGTTTATAGTTACTTTGCTATGCTATCAAATATTATTCATTCTATCTACCTAACTATATTTTTGCTATCCTCACTTTATTCCCCCTTCCCTGCTACCCTTTCCAGTCTCTGGCAACTATCATTCTACTCTCTGTCTCCATGAGATCAATTGTTTTTAATATTTAGCTCCCACATGTGAGGGAGAACATGCGAGATTGATCTTTCTGTGCTTGGCTTATTTTCCTTAACATAATGTTCTCCAGTTCTATTCATGTTGTTGCAAATGGCAGGATTTCATTCTTTTTGTGGCTCTGTAATATTCCACTGTGCATATGCACCACAATTTCTTTATCCATTCATCCATTGATGGACATTCATGTTGATTCCAAATCTTAGCTATTGTGAATAGTGCTGCAATAAACATGGAAGTGCAGATATCTTTTTAATATACTGATTTCTTGTCCTTTGGATATATACCCAGCAGTGGGATTGCTGGATCATATGGTAGTTGCACTAATTCTTAGTGCAACCAAGTTGCACTAATTCTTTCTATGTCATATGCCAATTGGTGTGCATTATATTAATTTAGCTTATTCCATTAGAAGTGTGTCTAACCAGATGATAGCACTGAATTTTATCAAATTTTGTTTCATATACTTTATTAACATTTAAATTTTCTATATGAAACTCATATTAAGTATCCAAATAATTTGGGTTTTAGTAATAGGTAATAATTTATTTCCAGCCAATATAAGAGCAAAGCATAATTAAATATGAATTTATAAATGTATTTTGTTGCTTAGAATATTATTGATTTTAGGCCCATCAAACTTACTTTGGGCTTCTGATCCCCAAAACTATAAGAAAATACATGTTTATTGTTTTAAGCCACTAAATGTATAGTAATTCATTAAGCAACAATATGAAATTAACACATCTATGTAGAAAAGCCAATGGAATCCACAAAAAAGCTACTAATAAATGAATTTAACAAGGTTTCGGGATATACAATCAAGAGACAGATATCAATTTTATTCCTGTACATAAGCAATAAACAAACAGATATTGATTTTTAAATGCATTGTAAAATAGCATGAAGAATATGTAATACTAAGGGATAAATCTGGCAAAAGATGTCCAGGAACTAAAAACTATAAAACTGTGCTGAGAAAATTAAAGAAAGCCTAATTAATGGGCAGTTAGATCTGCATCTGCCATTTAATTTGTGATGGGTAAGAAGTTTTGATCTTGACTCATTGTTTACTTCTTGAGAATAATTTTATTTTAGAAACTAACCTCACAATGACCCTGAACCAGCACATCCTGGAGGTTTTTTCCCTTCCTTCCTTCCTTTCTTCCTTCTTTCCTTCCTTCCTTCCTTTCTTCCTTCTTTCCTTCCTTCCTTTTCATTCTTTCCTTTTCATTCTTTCCTTTTTTCTCTTCCTTCCTTCCTTCCTTCCTTCCTTCCTTCCTTCCTTCCTTCCTTCCTTTCTTTTCTTCCTTTCTTTCCTTCCTTTTCATTCTTTCCTTTTCATTCTTTCCTTTTTTCTTTTATTTTCTTTCCTCTTATCCTTCCTTCCTTCCTTCTTTCCTTTCTTTCTTTTTCTTTCTCTTTCACCATCCATTGTACTCTGCTTGATAACCTGGAGTTTTTCATTACATCTATGTCTGTAGATGACTGGGAACACCTTCGTTCTCAATGCTGCTTTATTTTCATTATAATGTGACCCTGGATATGAAAAAATGATTTTTTAAATTATTAAAATAGTATAAGGACTGCTCTTTTGTGGATTGCCTCAAGGTTGTATTGTTATACATTAAATATTATTCAAGATCCATTTTTAAAAATTTTCTCCTTAGTATTTACATCGAAATACTTTTTAATAATGCTCTCTAAAACATTGAATAACATTTTTAGAATGAAGAGAGAATTAAAGAGAAAAGGAGGCATTTGGGAGATACAAAGCACTTTTGTCCAGTGGTTCTCAAAGAAAACTTCATCCTACAACCATGCAGCACAGAAGAAGCAGCTAAATATCGAGACAAGATCTACTATTTTTCTAGTCCTGAGGCAAAAGAAAAGTTTTTGGAGCATCCTGAGGACTATGTGGCTCATGAAGAACCATTGAAGGTGAAAAAAGTATTCCTGTCCTAAATACTTTTGGTTGCTCCTGAGGACTTTTTAAAAGACAGATTACCAACCACTATCATTTTACTTAATAATGATGTCCCCCATCTCATATGGCAATATAGTGAAATATCTAAGTTCAAAGAACAGCTTTTTGGGATATAACATAAAATAATTATCTATTTTGATTTCTACAGTAATGACTTGTGTCAAACCAGCACTTAATATCTGTCTTTTTAACTGAAATAAAAAGACACAGCTGGATTTACTGCTTACAGTATTGATGGCTAGCCACCCTAGTTAGTCTCTTGGAGAGGAGCAGACTGATGATCTTTTAGAGGGCTTTGGGAAGTGTGGGATTTGTGGACTTGCAGAGGCATAAGCGGGTTGACATCATCTATAGAAGTGTGATCACTAAGGTGAGACTGCTGTTGACTGGTTCACACTCAGAGGAATGTCATGGAGGTAAGTGCAGCCCTGATTGATTGGTTTTCAGGAGTGAGGGCTGACACTGATTGGTTGGATTGCAAAAATGTGTTCCCTGAGGTAAGTTAACCTTGGTCAATTAAACTGGTTTAAAATTGATTGAGTGGCTAGTTACCATGACTATAAAATAATCAATCTTTTCCTAAGTTTGCATGAATGGGTTTGTGTTTAATTCTTACTTGTTTATCATCATTGAAGTAATTTTCTATATTCTTTTAAAAAATATTTATTAAAACCAGACACAAAGTTCAAATACCTTATAATTCCACTTATATGTTTTACCTAGGAAGGGCAATTCATAGAAACAGAAAATATAATGGTGGTTAGCAGGGGCTGTGGAGAGGTGGGAATGGGAGTTATTGTTTAATAGGTATGAGGTTCCAGTTTGGAATGATGAAACTGTTTTGGAGATGAATAGTGGTGATGATTTCAACACTGTGAATGTATTTAATGCCACTAAATTGTACACTTGAAAAAATGGTAAAAATCATTTTACTATTTTAAGCATTTTCTCCACATCCTTGCTAGTAGTTATTTTTTTGTAATTTTGATAATAGCCATTCCAACTGGGGTGAGATAATATCTCATTGTGGTTTTGATTTGCATTTCCCTAATGATTAGTTATGTTGAACATTTTTTCAGATATCTGTTGGTCACTTATATGTCTTCTTTTGAGAAATGTCAGTTCTGGTCTTTTGCCCATTTTTCATTGGATTATTGGTTCCTTTGCTGTTGGGTTGTATGAGTTCCTTATATATTCTACTTATTAATCCCTTGTTGGATGGATAGGTCATAAATATTTTCTCCCATTCTGTAGATTGTCTTCAACTTTGTTCATTGTTTTCTTTGCTGTGTAAAAGCTTCTTTTCTTGATGTAATCCCACTTTCCTATTTTTGCTTTTGTCATCTGTGTTTTTGAGGTCTTATTCAAAAAATCTTCATCCAAACCAACATCCTATAGTGTTTTCTTTGTGTTTTCTTCTAGTAGTTTCATAGTTTCAGGTCTTACATTTAAATATTTAATCTCTTTTAAGTTGATTTTTGTATATGGTGAAAGATAGGGATCTAGTTTCATTATTCTACATATAGATATCCAGTTTTCTCAACACCATTTATTAAAGAGACTGTCTTTTCCCCAATGTATGTTCTTGGCACCTTTGTCATAAATAAATAGGCTGTGTTTGTTTTTCCTGAATTATTTTATCACTATACCATAATTCCCTGGGGTGGATTACAGGATCAAGACATAAAATCATAATATGTTGTCTTGTTACTTTTGATAACACCAATGACTTCTTAAACTGAACACACAGAACATGAAACTCTTCTGGATAAGTTGGGCCATTTTCATGAAACTCAACTTTTATAAAGTGCCCACAGGGATAGTTGTGCCCTTACTGAGAAGCCCCAATCAACTGGTGCTAGGGCCAATCATTTAAGGACTGTGGCCATTTGTCTTTTTTTTTTTTTTTATCACTGCTTTCAGCTGTCATTTTTCTCTTAGCTTGGCTTGCTGCTTGTGATTATTACCTCGTTTTACACAAATCCATGTGGATAAAATCCTAAACTCATGGTGATATTTCCATAGTTCTTCTGCAAAGCATAAAATGCACTGGGTTTGCCAGGAACATTTCCCTTTGCTACCCAGCTACCTTAATACCCTCTGAGTGCCAGACAGCTCTAATTGTCAGAGGTTTAACTGGTGGATGAGCAATTTTATCACTGAGGGATTTAAAATGGGATCCAAAAGTATGGAGTGAGTCTGCAGCTGCATTTTATACCATTTTATTTTTTCCCTTCCCCTTGCAAAATCTCCAGCCCCTTTGAGGCTTATACTACACAGATATATCACCAACGCTCCCTCCTTGTTGCTCTCGCCTACCAATTTCATATTTCCCCACACTCACAGAAGACTTAGCTCCTGCTTCATCTCAACTCTACCATTGTTCTTGACAATTTCAGCATCCAATGGATGATCCACATAACTGTGGATTCTCTGGATTCAGGCTTCCTCATCTCCAGTATAGAGATTATTGAAATAAATGGAGAAGCCTCTAGAGTTTTATTAGTAATGGGCTTTTTGTTTGGTACAGAGATTTTTTCTTTTTTTTTATCATGTTAAGAAAGTCTTTCCATTCTTTATTAATCAAAACATTTTTTAAAACAAAGTTAATTAAATTTTATTTTATTAAATGGCTTTTGGCATATTATATGAAGATAATCTTGTGGTTATTGATGCTCTCTGATGACTATTGTTGATGCAGTGAATTATGTTAATTGAAATCCTAATGTCTAAACATCCTTGAGTTCATGAAGTGATAATTCCTACCTATTATTAACAAGGACAGTTAATAAACTTTATGTTTTTTTAAATTACTCAAAACTTCCTTTTCTTCACTCCGTCTCTGTCCCAACCTTCCCTGATCCACCCGCTGTGGCAGGTTCCTCCATTAAGAATATGCATCGTTGGCCCTCATGGCTCTGGCAAAACTACTTGTGGAAGACCGTTGGCAGAAAAATTGGGCATCTTTCACATTCAGTTTGAAGAATTTCTTCAAGAAAAAATAATGCTCAAAACTGAAAAGAAAGTTGGACCTGAATTTGAGGAAGATTTAGAGGAAGAACTAGCTGCAAAACAAGAACTTGAAGAGCTTGCAATTCAGGCCAATGTTAAAATTGAGGAAGAAAATGCAAAAAAGCAGGTAGTAATATTAATCTCTTTATAGAAAGCTGTACTTACTGGTGTTACTTTGGGGAAGTAGAATAAAGCAGTATAACACTTTATAAAGTTTCTGAGAAAAAAATTAATCTATAAATGTCATTTAAAGAGTCATTGTCCCCATATGTTAAATACAGACCTTCCTGCTCATCTAGAATATAAAATACTGAGTTTTACATGACTCCGATAAAAATCAGAAAAGCTTTCCCTAATAAGACTGTCATACAGATTTATTTGGGACTATGTTGTTTGATATGCCTGACCTAGACAATAAAGTTTTCCACTATTGTGTTTTCTGGTTTCTATCAAGTATTATAAAAATCTTCCCCAGCTCCAATGGAGATCTCAAAATATTAATTTCTAATGATGTGTTGCCAGAAAGTTTGTATGCATCTTTTAGATGGTTTCTATCCAGAGTTGTAAAATGATAATTCTTAATTCCAACTCACACTTTAACTACTTCTGATATAGCTAGACCATTTCATTCTCAAATGATCCCCTGTAGATGGACCCAGGTGTGAGCAAGGTTGGACAGAGACATGTGGTATCCTAACAGGTAATGGGGTACCCCTTCAAACATATTCCCTAAATGTTTTCTACCTATATTTAGTAGAATCAGGAAAAAACTGATATTCTACTAATTTAAAAATGTACATTAATCCAAGTTTTTCAATTTAACAGGTCTAGATTTTAAAATACCACAAATATTTTCTGCTTTTCCATAGTTTTTTTGTTGTTGTTTCATTTTTTTGCTTTCTTTTGCTATTTTCTGAATTAGTAGACTTCTCAGGAGGCATATTAAGGAATTTTATTTCTAGATAATATTAATCAAATTAATCCTACTTCCTGGTAAGCAGCAGTTTGTCATCATACCTTATTTATTCAGCTTCATATAATAATTTTGGAAAACAAAAGTACTCAAACAAAAATAGTTTCATTCTAGTAATAACTGTTGTTTTTTACTATCGAATCAAGGGTGAACCTTTATTAGAGAGAGTTGACCTGAGTTAATAATCATAATACTTTCTATTTGTTATTATGGTGTTGGAATCCCCTTATAGATTGTATTTCAGAGGGCTGTCTGGTTGGCCCATCCCATAATCAGGATCTAGGCCGGAGAGATAATACTGTATAATTAAAAGACAAACAGCAAAGACAAGTTAAGCCATATAAATGTGTGAAATAAATTAAACAAGGTTTTAGCAAAAAGTAATGAAATATGACCCCAAAGCTATGTATGAAAATCAATCATCTTATCACTAAGTCACTCCTCTTAGTTATAATAAATATTACTTATTGCTTATAACCATATTAAATATTGGTTTAAAGAAAAGAGCTCAAATTTTAAAATATTTATAAGCAATAGTATTAAAAATATTATCTCAGAAAAAACAGGTTTCATCCTATTCAATTATGTAATATAGTATTGTTTATGTTAATTGTTATATTAATATAGTTTTGATATTTTATGAATACATAATATTTGTACATATTTGTGGGGTACGTGTGATATTAATATTTTGTTATGTGCATAGAATGTGTAATGATCAAATCAGGGTATTTAGGATACCCATTACCTTGAGCATTTATCATTTCTCTGTGTTGGGAACATCAAGTCCTCTCTTCTAGCTGTTTTGAAATGTACAATAGTTGTTAATTATAGTCACCCTACTGTGCTATGGAACATTAGAACTTCTTCCTTCTATCTGCTGTATGTTTGTACCCATCATTCCATCTTTTTTTTTTTTTCGAGACAGAGTCTCACTCTGTTCCCCGAGTTAGAGTGCCATGGCGTCAGCCTAGCTCACAGCAACCTCAAACTCCTGGGCTCAAGCAATCCTCCTGCCTCAGCCTCCCGAGTAGCTGGGATTACAGGTGTGAGCCACCATTCCTGGCTAATTTTTGTTTGTTTGTTTCATTTTTAGTTGACTGGCTAATTTTTTCTGTTTTTAGTAGAGACGGGGTCTCACTCTTGCTCAGGCTGGAACTCCTGAGCTCAAACAATTCTCTCACCTCCGCTTCCCAGAGTGCTAGGATTACAGGCATGAGCCACCTCGCCCGGCCACATCTTTCTTCATCCCCCCCATACATACTCTTCCCAGCTTCTAGCAATTATTCTACTCTCCACCTCCATGAGATCAGCTTTTTTTTTAGTGCCCACATACAAATAAGAACATGCAATGACTAATATAGAGTTGTAAAACTTGTTTTATTTTCTGATTTTTGTTTTTAGCCTCCAGAATTACAACTTACAGAAGAAGAGGAAGCAATCAAAGCAAATCTAATGGAAAATGATCCATTGCCTTCTGAAATTCTCGACATGATTCTTTCTGAGTGGTGGTTTGAGGAACCAATGCGGTACCTTAATTTATGTAGAATTATACATTTACTTACTTTTATTTGTTTTATTTTTAAAAGTTAAAAATGTAGTTCAACATATATTCAAGATTTTTTTCTCATTTATATTCATGTAAACTGGTGATTCTCACTTGAGATACACATTAAAAACATCTGTGGATTTTTTTAAAAATCCTGTTGCCAGGACCCCATCCCAAAACAGTTGAATCAGAATCTCTAGGGATATGACACTGGGACCCAGGCATTGATGTTTTTAAGGAACCCCTCACCTCCCAGTGATTCCAATGTGCAGTTGTGGTGTGGCAAACTCGTGTTCTAAACCCATGTACTCTAAACACATGCTGGACTATTTATACTTGTGGTCTTTTAACAACTACTGTTAAGACCAGTTAATAGCTATTCATAATATTATCCCTTTACCAAATGCCAGGAACAATTCTGACCCCAGAAAGGACACATTTAAGAATCTCCAGGTCACTCAAACTTAAAACTTCACCTTCATTTCCTAACCAGAATATCTTGCCTTGATATTCACCAAAAGAAAATGAAATTATATTTACAATACTGATTATAGCACACACACATATATGGAACTTACTATGTACCAGGTATGGTTGGACTATGTTTTATTCCTATTAGCTTGCTTAATCCTTACAACAATCCTATGAGATAAAAAATTCTTATTATCTCATTTAAGTGATAAGAAAACTGAATCACAGAAAATTTAAATAACTGGCTAATTCCAGTGTTCCTCTTAAGTCTCTGGGCACTCTTGTTCACCTAGTCCCTGGTCTAAATGAGTGAGTGGGATTATTAGTCACAAATTTTATGTTTAGTTTCTTGTTCCCTAAATTAGATTAGGGAACAAGGAAGAACTAGCTGCCAAACAAGAACTTGAAGAGCTTGCTCTTTAGGCCAGTGTTAAAATTAAGGAAGAAAACACAAAAAAGCAGGTAGTGCTTGTAGTTGTAGAAAATTTAGACAGGTTACCTGCAGCTATATAGTCACAGGTTGTTCTTCATTCATTTAGCTCTGACCTCACAGTGTACATTAAAATATAGGCAGATAGATGGATATGGACAAGGATATATAGATATGTAGACAGATATAGATATGAATTGAAGAATTAGAAGTAAAAAGTGAAATTGTGAAAGTCTAAATAAAATAGCTGAATATTATGCAACCCCATTAAAATTTATTATAATGAAGAATTTGTCATCACATGAGAAATGTTATTGAGTTAAAAAAGAAGATACAAAACTTTAGATAGAGAGATAGACACTTGAAGAAGTAACTGGAAAGAAATAAAACAAAATGTCAATAACCTCTGGGATATGAGATGATAGATAACTTTGCCCTTTTTCATGCTTTTCTCTATATTTCAATTTTTCTATAGTGAAATGTATTGCTTTTATAATCATGGGAAAAAATCAACACATTTTAAAAATTGCATTAATCCTGCAGCCATATAGTCAGGGCTTGAACTAAGTGGCAGCAAAGAAAATTGAGCACAGAGGAGGGCATGCCAGGACTCAGCTATTCTATGTGAGAAGCAAAAGGGAGCTGGCAGGGAGGTCCAAAGGCCCCTGGAATTTGGGTCAGAAGGAAGAGCAGTTTGGAAGGGTAACAGTGAGTATGATTTTTGACAGTATAATACATATATTATTCCTGAAGGGAATATGAATATATGGAGAAACTGTGCAGCTTTTTGAAAATTCTGAATTAAAACTCGGAAGAGAAGTTAAGAGTAGAGATAAAACTTCAGAAATAATTGACAAAGAAGTGATATCGGAACAGTAGGAATAAAGTTGCTCCTCTCAGAAGAGACTAGACCTCTCTAACGAAAAAGACACATATATTATGGCCAATGTGTGGAAATTTGTCCTCGTAATGAGAAGAGAAAATTAATATTTTTGAATTAACATCTTTGAAAGCTGAAACTTTTGATGTTCATGAAAGTCCTCTTCATATTAAGAAGAAAACATGTATCTAAATATAAACATTTAAAACAAACCAAACTTCAGATAAGCAAGAGAAACAGACTCTTACTCTAAAGGGGACTAATATTAAATCTCTTGACTAAACAAAGCCAAGTTCTCAAAGCCTAATTGTTTTATAAATGCTCCCTAATGAGAACGTAATAACATTATGGTTATTTGCACAATCCTTAAAGTTTCATCATACTTGGGCAAATTTGACAATCCCATTTAAAAATAATCATCTTACACCTGGGAGCCAGCATATATGCATTAATAATTGTCATTAGTTACAAGGAGATCCAGGGAAGAGGGTATGAATTGTCTCATAAAAGGAAGCATAATTAGAAGAAAAACTACTAAAGGTAAGGACTCCTATTAAAGGTGGGCCAGCCAGGTGTATTCTTTATCTAAGGGGTAACACATTCATTATGCCGGGCTCCTCCGAAGCAGAAAACTTATTTTCTCTTTTCCTTTGATCTTTACATTACTTTTAGTAAACTTCTAATTAATAGTAATTATAAACTGATTGACTAAAATTTTATATTATAAATATACATATAAAATATTATAATTTTAATCCAATTTGATATATTTGGGAAAAGAAATATGTTTATTAACTAGAAGTATTAAAAGAAATAAAAAAAATAAAAGAAATAAAAGATATACAATGAATTTTTAAGGTATTAATTACATATCTTATATAAAATTGAGATTTAGCAACACTTTTTTTACTTTTATATCTATATTTGTAATATAAGATTTTAAGCAAATAAAGTAAATTACAAACATTTTCACCTAGGTCCACAGGTTTTATACTAGATGGTTTCCCACGATATCCCGAAGAGGCATTGTTTCTAGGGGAGCACGGATTTTTCCCAGATGCTGTTGTTTTTATACAAGTTGATGATCAAGACATTTTCGATCGCCTCCTTCCTCCCCGAATTGAAAAGTGGAAACTGAAACAAAAGAAGAAATTAGAAAGGAGAAAACTCATCAAAGACATGAAGTCAAAAATCAGGGTATGTATCCAGTAAAAAAGCATGAAAATAAATATGTCCAGCATCTATTAAAAGTATAAAGTGGCCCTCACAAAAATGTAGTTTTCTGTGTTTAATGCTACAGGAAGCATAAAAATATTTTTCAGCAAATATTAAGACTATTTATAATGTGTTAAGAATTATTTGAGGCTCTCATGATTATCAGTGTGTTAATGCTTCTTTCTTTAAGGCAAATAGAAGGCAGTGGTAGTGCCAAGGCTTCCTCTGCCAGACCCAGCAGCAAAGAGGCAACAAATGGATCCTTGAAACACAGAGAAGTAGAGTTTTCAGTGCCCTTTTTCACTAGCCCCTGGAATGATGGACAACACCATCCTTCAAGGCCATGTGAACCTCTAGTGAAACCAGATCCACATGAGATTAGAACTTTGTTTCTAAAATTATATTCTGAGGAATATTCCATAAAATGTTCAAAAGTGTTATAGGGTACCCAGCAATTCCATTCCTGGGAATCTGTCCAACAGAAATGAAAACATATGTCCACATAAAAACTTGTACGTGAATGTTCATAACAGCATTTTCATGATAGCCAGACAGTGAACACAACCCAAATGTCCATCCACTGATGAATGGATAAACAAAAGGGAGTTTATCCTTATACTTGAAAGTTACCTAGCATTAAAAAGGAATGACCTATTGATACACCCCACAACATGGATAAAAATCAAAATCATTATGCTAAGTGACAGAAGCCAGGCAAAAAAGGAGGAATTGTACAATTCCATTTATATGGCATGCTCTAAAAAGGCAAATCTGTAGATCTGTGCTGGGGTGGAAAGAATGGGGCTTTTGAGTCTGGAGCTAGGAAGACCAAGATGGGACATGAGAGCCATATTCAAATGTTTGAAAGGCTTTCATACTGAAGAGAGCTTATATAAGAGGTATTCCATGTGGTCACAAAGGAAAGAACTGCCATTGGTAGAAGGAAGGTACCAGGTAATATATTTTATTGTTAGTGAGACATTCAAAAAGAACCAAGATTGAAGGCAGGAAGCCTACTTTTCCTCAAGAAGACACCCTAGGGATTATTTTCAGGGGATGTGTTATTTTTTTTAAGTACGGTACAACAATCTACATTTATTCAAATATAGTTAAGTCGCCTTCTTCTGGAACATCATTATAACTCTCCAAACCCCGAATTCCATCCTGAATTTCTTGCAACTCTATTTCCCTAGGAACCATTGGCCCCAATCTCTCATGTCAAGCAATAGAACTCTCATGGGGCAGATAAGAAGGGCTGCTCGTCTTCTTTACCGCTCCTCCACAAAATGCATGGGTTGTGCAGATAGGCTGCGTAGCCACGCCCATCACTAGGTCTTATTTTCAGGGTAGGGTTTATATTGCGCAAATGCCTAGAAATCCTGCTAGGGCTTATTTTATGGGTAGGTCTTATTTTCGGGGAAACACAGTAGTCAAATTCTTTCCCTCTTTGGGGTTAGCCAGACAAAATCCCTTCAAGGGCATTGCCATCCATCCCTCTCCCAACCCACATTAAAGTTGTGCATCCCAGGCCAGCCCTCTCCTACACAAAATCAAAGCAAGCAGAGTTCTTAGCCGTCCAAGAACTGTGGTGTAAGGAGAGAGATGAGGGGAGATATTAATATCTGGCTTCACCTTATTCTTGATGACATTCTTCCCTTTCCTGCTGCCTGGTTTTTCTGAAGGAAACAGACCAAACTTGTCTGTCAGGCGAGTGTTCTGTAAGGATGAGAAATGAAATGAAAGAATCAAAGAAGAGGACATAGAGAAGCACATTTGTACATTGCCTCACTGTGGGACCTGGAGTGTCCAGCCCAGCATTGTCATAGAACTTTGTGATGATGGAAATGTCCTAGGTCTGCACGGTCCAACACAGGAGGCACTAACCACACATGGCTTCTGAGCTCTTGAAATGTGATTAGTGTGGCTAAGAAATCAAATATTTTCATTTTATTTCATTTTAGTTAATTGTAATATAAATAGCCATGGTGGCTAGTGGCTACCGTATTGGACAGAACAGCTCTAGGGCAGTGAAGCCCCATCATAGATATCACATGATCTGAGAATTTTGGGGACCTGGAATAGGAAAGCAGCAGGTTCCAGGAGCTAGTTTATAAGCTCATGCATTTGCTCTTTCATTTTCACACCCACTAACTCTGCCCTGGTTCAGATCTTTCTCAGCTCACACCAGCACTCCTATAGTGACCTCCTAATCATCCTTCCTGCCTTTCATCTCTGCACCCTCCAGGCCATCCTTCCAACTACCTCCAGGCTGATTTTCCTAAAACTCTTATTTTGATTAAGCCAAGCCACCCCATTAAGGTTTGAACTCCCACTCTTTTTCCAAACCCTCTCTCTAACTTTATTTTTCAACTGGAACAAATACAAACTGTTCTGTGCAGTAGCCGCCACAACATATGCTTTTGCATTCCCCTATCTGGGAGTTTCTAAAACCAACTACACTAGCTGTGTGACATTACATGAGTTAAACCCTCTGAATTTCTGTTAACTTACCTATAGAGTGGGATATCACTGTCTGCCCTGCAGATATGTTTGAACAGAAAATGAAAGAATATAAGCCAGGCATGGTGGCTCACACCTGTAATCCTAGCACTCTGGGAGGCCAAGGCAGGAGGATCCCTTGAGGTCAGGAGTTCCAGACAAGCCTGAGCAAGAGCGAGACCCCCATCTCTACTAAAAATGGAAAAATTAGCCAGGCATGCTGGTACATGCCTGTAGTCCCAGCTACTCAGGAGGCTGAGGCAGGAGAATCACTTGAGCTCAGGAGTTTGAGGTTGCTGCCAGCTAGGCTGACTCCAGGGCACGCTAGCCCAGGTGACAGAGCGAGACTCAGTCCCAAAAAAAAAAAAAAAAAAAGGAAAGAAAAGAAAGAGTAAATATTATAGTGTTCAGGACAGTGCTGGCATCTGTTTAGACATTCAATAATTAGTTAAACTTCACTGACTACTTCTTTGAGTAAAGGGAGCAGAGGAAAAGTAGACTCAGAATATACAGGGGTGTTATTGTGTATAGTTTGCATTTTTAGGGTGTATAGAGTGGTCGTTATGTATTATCAAAACACAAAGGAAATTGTTTTCACAGATCCACATTTAAAGAACCTATGGTAAAACTATGTTTTAAAAAAAGAAATACTAGAAGCGTTTGTAAATTCTCACTCTCTAAGAGCTATAGAATCTCTACGGGGGCTCATAAACTAAATGAATTTCATTTAATTCAGTTTTATAATTCTATCTACAAATACTTCTTGAATGCCTATAACTATTTCTTTGCCTAAGGTATAAGTCCTCAGGAAATGTACTCAACAATTACCAGATGAAAGCAGCAAGGTCCTGCTGGCCTAGACCAGAACCCTAAGAGCATGTCCTCAGGCAGCTCTGTTCTCCCGGTATTTAAAGGGACTCCAGTTTGCAGGGTCTTCAGTCAACAAGGCCCAAACCCCAGGGAAGCTGATTAGTGTTCATGCAAACCTGGGAGACATGGCAAAGGATCCATTGCATTAGATTTAGAGGACCCTGGAAAGACTGGCTGTCTACACACCATGTCTGTGAGGATATCCCAAGCACACATGCTTTCCTCATATGGACATGTGTATTTTTAGGTTTGTTGGGCTATTGAATTTAATAGTATAATAAATGTTTTCAACAAATTACCTCCAAAGTATTTCCCTATTTCCTGCCACCAAATGAGTAATAAATTTTGAAAAGAAGTTATAAAGTTTGTGGAAAGAGGGACTGACTCTAAGTGCTGTTTATGCCCTGGCGGTAAATAGCTGATCAAGAGGTTCAGAGGCAGGAGGATGCAAGCAACATAATTACCATCATTGCATCCTTTCCTGCAAACTTTGCCATCCTTCCACCCCAATGTTATTAATATTTCCACTTTGGAGAAAAATACATGAATACATAGAAAGTAAGTGTTACCATTCTCCATTAAAATTATTAAATGTCTCTTTCTTTAACAGGAAGATATGATTGCTAAAAGAAGGGCTGAACTTATGGCAGAGAGAGATAGAAAAAAGAAAGGGGAGGTAAGTACATAAATTTTTTTAAAAAAAGCATTATATATACACCTTTTATTTTCTTTCCACTTTTTGGTATTTCATAACTGTTTACAATGACCTATTATTTTTATAATCAGAAGAATGAACACTTTTTAAAGAAAAGACCACTAAAGGTGTTTAAATAATCTAATGTAAAATATAATACAGCATTGAACTATGCTTCTCTGGGATTCTCATCTTTTCTTTTCACACTTCCAGCCAGTGCCATAGGGAGACAGGCTGGGAGCTTGGGTGAGGCTAGACAGAGCCTGTGAAGTTGTGCTGGAGTTAAAACACTGATTCACTCAGGGTAAGGAATGGAATGGGGCAGAGCCTGTGAACCTCAGGGTCAGACCCCTGCCCTGAATGCAGCACCTTCTTGGTATCTGCTGATAAACTTTGCAGATCACGGATTTTGTTTTATTTAGAAAGGAGCTATTCCCGAGCAGACCTAACCTACACAAGTGCTACAGCCAAGCAACTCAAGGGTGCAGAAGTTGAAGACGATGTGTGACTAGACAAGCTGTTCAATAAAGAACCTGAGGCTCATATATACACAGTCATTCTCGTAACCAAGGCAAATGATAGCATAGCCCCTGCCTTCTTCCTTTTCCTTCTGGTTTATGACACCTCTGTAGCATCTTTTCAAGGCTGACCCTCCTGTAATCTGATTTCCATTTACATAAAAATATCCAGCCAAACAGCAGGAAGAAAAAAAGAGGAATACAAAAATGGAACTAGCTACAAGTGTCACCATATGCCGCCCTGGTGTGGACATGTGGGACGTCTGCACGGAGGACTGCTGATGCAACGCAGTTGTGACTGTGGGCATGAAGCATTGCAGAAGAGAGGCCGAAGCAATTGCTGCTTTACCAAAACAAAAGATTTACAATCAAAAGTAGATCCAAAACCATTAGACAGAGAAAGTTACGACACCATCTAAGAATAAGAACCCTCTTCATCATTTACCTTGGACTTTATTCATTCAGTCGGTCCATCAGCAAACATTAATTAAGACTTGTGGCTAACAGTGTCTCAGATACTGACAAATCAGCCACGAAGAAAATTTACAGACATCTCTGGCCCTATTCTAAGGCTTATTCCGATATCAAACATGTTCTGAAAATTTACTCTGTTCAAGGTGTCATGCTAATGTTTAGGATCAAAAAGACAGGCATCCTAACCTGGAGTCAAGTATAGTTAACTACTCTAAGCCCTTGAGAAATCCTAGCGGTCCCCTTCTAAGGCACTTCAAATGTCTCAGCAACAAGGGAGTCCAGGTTTGGAGGATGAGCAGACCTAAACTGGTGTCCTCTGTCCAATGTTCACTGACTCAGTTCACTGCTGGCTCTCCGGTACCTAGCAGAGAGCTGACACAGGCAGACACTCAACTTACAGTTGTTTTATTAAGGTCGTATAACATTGAGCAAGTTCCTTTTAGCCTCTATGAGCCTAGGTTTTTCATGTTGAATGGGAAAAATCAATTAATAGTTTTCCTGATTAATAATACTTTAATTCTCTTCCTTTGCTATTCTTTAGTTAAATCTTTTTTCTTAAGCATTAGTTTTCAGGATAAAATTAAAATGATCTTTATAATTTTTCCATTTGTTAACATTAGAATGGAGTGATTTCTTCTTATTTTGCAATCAAGGATTCAATATTTATAGCTATAGGTTAAATAAGATTTTGTAAATTGGCTCTCCTAAGACTTAATCTTTTATAAAATTGGCTATGTATCCCACACAATTAATTTGTACAAACTTCTGGAACACAACTCCTGAGATTTTTGATGAATTAAAAACTAAAACAGCATATGTATTTATTTTTTTCCAATTCCTTGCGATACATCTCGCAATTAATACTACCTTAGACAACAAAATGCTAACAACATACAGCATCTCAGGGATCGTTTATTGGGACTGTTACCATCAGTTGATGTGACACTCTGACTCGAATCCACGCTGACCTCCAGGTGACACCCTGAGCTTGCTCTCATCCACAGATCCAGGGGATTTCTCCCCATTTGCCTCTTTGTGCAGAATATGCAGCTCCATGACTCATCTTTTTAAAACTTACTGGGAAATCACATGCAGATAACGTGCTTCCCAGGTTTGTCTTCCTGCCTTAACAAAATCATTGCCTTTGCTGTCTGACTTCAACATCCCAGTGACTACTTGCATTAATTTCATAGGAAAATATCGCCATCTTGTGGATGCTCAGTCTCAGGCTGGGGCTGGAAGCCGACCTTGCCTTGCACACGCACTGGCTCCCTCTCTGGTGCTGGAAAACACTGCAATCCTGTCTACTTTCAATTTTTGGAACCAATTTCTACATGAAGCACTAAATACTGAACTAGCGTTATAGGACAGAAATGTAAATGTAATAATATGAGACAAAAATTTGGAGACTGGAGAGAGGGAGAATTAGAAGGCAGAGGAAGAACATCCTCTTGATAGGAAATCAAGACTTAAGCCTAAAGAGGACAACTCAATAAATAGAGGTTTGGGGATAGTTTTTAAAGTTGCAAGCATTCAATTGCAAAATTAAGAATAAAAATATAACTAAAACTGGGAACAGAAGAGAAAAGAGATGAGGAATAATGTCAGTTAGCTAGATTTCTCATCACTAGTGGGCAAGAGAAATCAAATTATCACAAGGGTCAAAAGTGGCTCTTTTTACTGTTTATTTTGTTAATTTCTAAACTGGATTCTATAGGAAAAAACACATTTTTAAAATAGAAAAATGGTCAAATAAACTGTGATACTATGAAATACTATATGGCTATTAAATTTCTTTCCATACCACAACATATAGCTTATTATTTTTAAGTATATTGCTAATTTTAAAAAAATAAGGTGTAGGAAATAAAATGATCCCATTTATGTTTAAAATAAAATATAATTAGATGTATATAGAAAAACATCCAAAAGTAGTCTGACCAAATTGTTAACCAAAATTATTTCCAAGTAGGAGAGTAGAAATAGAGATGGAATGTGAAGAGAGAGTTCCACATTTTACCCTATATAACGCTATAAAATTTGATTTCTTTGAAACAAAAATGAGTTTTTTCTTAAAATTATATAATTTAATTTTGTAAAAAAAGTTAGAAGGGCCAAAAAGTAGTGCCAGAGAAGTGACCCCAATTTCATCTGGAACTGAGATGTCCCCAGCTTGTAGTGTGGACTCATCCCACCATAATTGCAATAATCCTACAAAAGGAAATCTCAGGATTAAAAAAAAAAGTCAAAATATAATAAAAAGGGAAAATAGTAAGAGGACCAAATGATTTCAAAATTCTTTAAAAGGCATCAAAAGTGAGAACCCCCGCCCCATGGCCAAGCTCCTTTTGAGGAAAAGGAAGCCTGGGCAGGAGTAGGAACAGGCCCTTGTGCCCTCATCCTCCCCCTGCACCCACAAGTCCAAATCTCAGCTCCAGGCACCTTTCAAGGAACCAAAGGCCCAGTCATTCAGAAAGATTAGGGAATAGCCAGCTAATCAGAAGATTGCAGGCAAGAGATAATAAGACAGTGGAGAGGGTCTGGGAAAGGAGAGAGTTGGGTGTTAAGATGACAATCCTTGGTAACTGGATGGGCAGGGATGGAGAGTGAGGAGACAAGCTAACTCCCAGGTTTAAGATGACTCCCAGGTTGCAGACTGGAGGGCAGTGCTCTAACGGAGACATGGAACAGTGTGGAGGCAGTGCAGGAGGATAAATATTAAGGTTCAGTTTCATGCAAAGTGAACGATAGCACTTAAAGCCTATACAACACAACTTAGTACCAATATCCTGGTGTGGTCTTTAATAATCATTTATGTATTATTCTTGTTTCCTTAAATTGGCTGTAGCCTCCTGAATGGCATTTACTCTCCTGTTAGTACAGTGCATTACACAAGATGACAATAATAGCTATACTCACATAACAGCAATAATAGCAATCATTCAAATACTTACCATGTGCCAGACACTTTTCTCTGGGCCTTGCGTGTATTAACTAATTTTAATGCTCCCAACAACACTGTGAGGTAGGCACCTTTATTATTCCCATTTTACAGGTAAGGAAACTCATCTTGTCCCAGTTAATACAGCTAGTTTTATACTCTTTGAACTGCATTATTTGACCATCAAAATCATGTAACATTTTGGCAATCATAGACATAAGCAGTATTTAATATCTTGTCTATTCATTTACTTGTGGTATCACTATGATGTCAGAGTCTTGAAGGTATTAAATTTCTGGATACCAGATATTAATATTTAAAACCTTACTGGGTTACTAGATGAATGTTGTGATACAATACTAACCAATATCTGGTTATTACAAAACATTCCAGATGATTGGTTAACAGCAGCATTTGTTACATATTTTATATGTATATAGTAAAAGGGAATATTTTCTTCCTTAGAGTTCTAGTAAAGATGATGAAGAAATTAGTGAAGAGGAGGCTGAAGAAGATGAAGATGATATTGACAACATCCTTGAAGAGGAGTTTCCAAAAGATGAGGAAGAGATGACTGAGGAAGATGAACAGGAAAGTGAAGCAATTGAACGCCTGAGAGGTGAACTGGGAGAGAAATTTGAAGCAGATTTGCATAATTTTCAAAATATACAGGTATTACTTTTTGTTCAGTTTTCATCATTCAAAAAGTAACATTTGAGAATGAGACAAAAGCAATTTGGCTTATGCCTTCTTTTAAACATTTCAACAGAAATGCATGTTTTAGGGCTGTATTCCCTTTTGTCTGTACCACTTAAAGAATTATGAAAACAAGTCCACAAATCAAGAGCAACATGGTAGCTGGGCCTGGTGGCATGTACCTGTAGGCCCAGCTACTCGAGAGGCTGAGGTAGGAGGATCGCTTGAGCCCAGGTGTTTGAGGTTGCTGTGAGCTATGATGATGCCACTGCACTCCAGCTGAGGGGACAGAGCAAGACCCTATGACCCTGTCTCCAAAAAAGAGAACACACACAGGGTCAGAGTAAATGTAGCTACCAACCACAGCCTCTTGGAAGCTATTTGTTTTCTAAGCTGAAGTAGTCAGTCACCAGCAGTATTTATATGTTGTGACTGAATACTACCAGCCTTTTTCCCACTAAATATATTTGGCTTTATTATTTCTCTCATCAGGATGATTTGGATAAGTTTTTGATACCAATAATTTTTATTAATGGAACTCGGAAAATCCACATTGTACAGTATATATTGAATCTGAGAATGAAACCACTGGTGGAAAACCGTGCAAGCATTTTTGAGAAATGTTATCCAATATCGGCACACATTGCCCAGAAAATGCTCAACTATACCTATAAGTATACAAGCTCATTTGGCTATTGGGACCCTGTAAAGGTAATTTCAGCAAATGTACCTGAAAGCCATGTTCTTCCCTTATTTATTTTTTTTAAAGGTGTGTCTAGGAAGAAGACCGGATAATATCAAAGACAGTAAGAATCATGTAGTATTCTAGCTATAAAAATACTTGGAAATTTGAAATGGAATCATTAAACTTTCAACTTTGATTACCAACTATATGACACAGAGCAGAGACCCCCACTCACGCCTGAGTTCCCCCTTGTCTCCAGCATTTACTTCCAGTCATGAACTTCACTCCAGCCCAAGAATGGTGATGTTGACACTGCCACTGACCTTCAACATCTGTCATGGCCTATCTTCAAATACAGCCATTTTGGGGGCCAGGGCTTCAACATATGAATTGAGGGGTGGGGGAGAGAAAATTCAATCCATAGCACCACCTTAGGAATGGACCTGTTTGTGAAGATAAATTGGCCTATGAATAAATGCAAACAACCTCACACCCCTTGGCAGAAATATTCAGCACACACTGATATTATAAAGGAAGTAGAAGAACTATAACTGTCATAAACCGAAAGCCAGTTAAGAAATATTACATTGACTACATGTGAGTGGAAAATAATTTGTACTTTTCCACAGTTATCTAATATTAATATTTGATTATAATTAGTTTTATTATTCTATAAGAAAAAATTGTTTCTTATTTTACAAATTTTTTTAAATGTCTTTGGGAGAAAGGCTGTTTAAATCAAAACTAACTTTCAAATGCAATTGTGTATTTGTTGCAGCTAAGTGAAGGAGAGACAATCAGGCCAGTTGAAAATGCAGAGAATCCAGTTTATCCTGTGATTCATCGTCAGTATATTTATTTTTTATCTAGTAAGGAAACTAAAGAGAAATTTATGAAGAACCCAATCAAATATATCCGCCAACCCAAACCTAAGCCTACTGTGCCCCTTAAGATTGTAATTGTGGGGCCTCCAAAATCTGGGAAAACTACAGGTGAGTGTGTGTTTGCCTTTGTTTTCCTCAAGCATAAAAGGAACCCCTGAAAACTAGTGCCACTTCTTCAGGAAACTGACTATCAAAATTGACTCAAAAAGAGATAGAAAACCAAAATAGACCAATAACCATTGAAGAAAAAGCATCGAAAAATATAACCCAGCTCCTAAAAAGGATCGAATGATTTTAGAGAAAAATGATATCAAACTTTCAAAAAATTAAAAGCTCAAGAGATCATGTCTGTGTTTTTATAATCTCTTCCATAGCAGGGGAAAAGACAGTGAGCTTCCCATTTTATTTTTCTTTTCTTTCTTTTATTAAAGAATATAGGCCATATAATCAAAAAGATACAAAGAATGCAAATCCATTTTGGAATTAACATAACTCTGACATCAAAACATAGTAAGATAACAAGAAAAGAAATTACAAACCAATATTTGTAATTACAGTCAAATATCCTAAATAAAAATTATAAAACTGACTGTAACAATGTATTACAAGATTGTGTTAGCATAAAAATTGTATTAAACGATTTTATAAATATACTCTACTACATTAATAGTTTAAAAAGAAAAAATCGATTGTCTTAGTCATTACTGAAAAAGGTGTTTGATAAATCATATTCTGGTAATGTTTGAATTATGTTTAACTTTAGGCTGTAGGGGGTTTTTTTGTTTTTTTTTTTTTAAGGCAAATAGTCCCAAAATAGATTGGTTGTGATATTTCAAGATGACATGATAACAAGAACAGTGGTTGGTCACGAGAACAGGATGGAAAGGATAGATGTGGATATATGTTAAAGGAAAACAGTAAGTCTTAACGACTCACTGAATATAGAATGAAGGGGAGAGAGAAGGTCAAAGATTAATTTGCCACCAAGAATAATAAAGGAGAGTTTTGTGTTCCAGCTCTTCAGATGGAAAGTTTGTTTTGCCCTTTGAACTTCTTAAGATGACAAAAGAGTCTATAATAGCTGTTTTCTAAATGTTCACAAAGCTAATGGTATTTCCCCTAAACAGCAGAACATTGACATTCATATTAAGATTCCACATGCAGAGCAAAAGGCGAAAATGTAGACACAACAATATGATTTCTCATTTCTTTGCTGAAATGTCAGTCAATTTTTAAACAAGATGGCAAATTTCAAAGCTTAATTATTTTTAGAACTTTAAAAAAAATCTGGTCTAGTTCCAGTATTTGTAGAAAGCTGAGATTAAGAGCTCTGTAGCTCTCACAGGGGCTTCCCTTTTGGGTGGTCCCTGGTCAGTTAAGCACATTCCTCATAGGAAGAGATGGGCTGTCAGAATCCTTTACCCATGGCTGTCTCCAAACAATGCTCAGGCAAGGCATAAAGACAACAGAGCACTCCCACATCTAGTGGTTACTGGAAGCCGTTTGTCTATGGTCTCACTTAGGAGAAGCCAATCTGGGTCCTCAGTCAGCCAATGGCAACGTCTGTGTGACTTGGACAAATCCTTCTGTTCTAGTGGGCTTCAGTTCCCCTCATCTATAAAATTGGAATTTCAATATCCATTCCACCCATCTGATGGAATGGTTGAAAATATCAAACAAGGTCACAGATGAAAAATTCCTCATAAGATATAAATCACTATTAAAATGTCAGGTATGCCATCATAATTTTTAAAAATTATCTCCTAGAGGATTCACTGAGACCTCACTGTATAGACTATGCTGTCCTGATTGCGGCATGGAGTACATAAATGGACAGACAGGGGAATGTACAATCCAGGGAAACAACAGTGTTATTGTTATTTGGGGCATAATACCAAATATCGAAAACACATAAAATGCCTTGCAAAGCTCTCAAAAATTTTGCTGCCTCAGGCAGAAGGAAGAAAACCTTAAACACTGGTTTGGTTGTGGGGGAAAAAAAATCACAGAGTTAGCTCATTAACCAGATCCATCAGGCGCATACCTGAAGTATTGATAATGACTGACCTTTGACAGTTCATTCGGTAACGTGGAGATTTTAATTTTCAAAAGTTCATGGAGGAATGTAAAGATTAGCTTGCTGTTCAAGTCTTAGTTTTAGATCTTAGAGTCTAAAACTAAGGGTAACTGGTGAATTTGTGAAATGAAATGAGTTTAAAGTTTTATGTTTTTCAGTTGCCAAAAAAATTGCAAGTGAATATGGGTTAAAGCGTTTGTCAATAGGAGACAGTTTGCGTTATATATTAAACCACCACCCAGAAACAGAGCTGGCACTGATGTTAAATTGGCATCTTCATAAAGGAATGACGGCGCCTGATGAACTGGCTATTCAAGCCTTAGAACTTTCTCTGATGGAAAGCGTATGCAATATTGCAGGGTGAGTGAGTGGGGTGGGAGGAGGGGCAGAGGGGGATAAATCTTTCAAGAAATGGCTCACTAGGAATTTAAAACATTATCTTAAATGGGGTTTAAAGCTCTTGTAAAGGATGTGACCTACAAACTCTGGACACCTATATGGTTACATATTTTAATTTCCTGCCAAGCTACAACTTGGCTTGAGTACTCACATGGCAGATTAGCTAGCGGGCAGTAACACTTCACTCCCTCCAGCAATGCCTGAGCTGTCCAAAAGCCTCCAGGCTCACACAGTCCACAAAGGAGGCTCACCCTAGTAGACTTCTCACTGCCCCATGGAGTGACAGAAGAGCTGCCCTCCTCCTCCCCTCAGATGGTGCTGGTCCAGTTAGATGTTCTCTCTGGCCCACCCTCTGCACAGGCAGCAGCGCCCCTCCCTTGAAGCCATATTTGGACAAGAGTGTTGTGTGCTTGAGCTCTCTCCAGCTCACGCTCCTCTGCTCAGCCGTGCTCCCCGAACACAGCCACTGGCCACACCCATTATAAAAGCCCTCCCCAGTGACGCCTGCGGCCCTGGGTTTGAGCACAGGTCACTGACCTAGAGACCCACCTCCACACCCCCACCCCAATTTATTTAAAGTTGTTTTTATTAGTAAGAGCCTTCTTTCCCTTCCTTACCACTGGCCCTTAATCAAATCCTTGAACAATTCTCCCAATTTCAGTTATAGGGGAGCAGATTCTGGGGTGTCAGACTTTTTCCCCAGAGGAAGTTCTGGAACTTATACAAATTGAGCCACCTGCTCCCTGGTATTCAGCTTTGTGTAGGAAGGACCTCAGTGCAGGGACCTTGGTTGAGTCAAAAGGTTTTTTTGGTGTTTTTTTTTTTTTGTTTTTTTTTTTCATCTTAATACCAGGACAAGGACTGCTCATTCACCCTGAATTTCCTGAGTCCTAAGGGTTACTCAGTGACCCATCACTGCTCAAGAAGTTGAGCTGCTCTCTATTTAAAGAAACCACAATGGCACCCTCATATATTCTCTGTTAGGCCAGCCTCGCTCTGTGAATTTATAATTCCCTCTGCCATGCAATTTAACACTAGTGTCTAGAGACTTAGCTGGAGAGCACTGAGGGAGGGTGTCTGTGACTTATGCCAAACAAGCCCCTGAGGACTGCCAGCCAGCTTGCACAGCTTGCTCCCACCTCCTAGCGAGTGTCCTGACTTGGGGGCCCCCTCCTCCAGAATTTATGGACAGCCTTTATTCTTCCTCTCAGTGTGACAGTAACAATCTCATTATCTCAAACTGTTGGACTAACTTAAATTCTCTTTGTCACCTCTGCTCAGAGGCATAAATCATGAGTCCTGATGGACTGGTCCCAACGCAGATCTGCTAGGGCTCCTCTTACCGATTTTCCATCTCCCCTTTTGCAGCCCCAGCCTCCTCACAGACCTTTTACTACAAAAGCAATTTTAGAACACAGTTTTTCCCATATCTGCTTAATCCCTCACTAAGGTATTATTTATTGCACACCTAATATGTGCCAAGCCCTGTTCTAGTGGCTTTACATACCTGATCTCTGATCTTTAAAATAAGATTAAATATCTTATTAATATCATTTCCCCTATTTTACTGAAAACTGAATCTCAGAGAGTTCAAACTAGGTTTCAAATCTAAGTCTCTCTGCCTCTAAGACCTGTATTCTTCCTACTGTTTCATCCATGCTTAGATTAATAGCACCAGTTGAACACAATGTTCAAGGTATTATATGTGTTATCTCTTGAATTCTGCCAAAACCTAGCTCTGCGATGCTAAGTGTGTATGAATTCGGAGCTCTCCCCTACCTCCACCTTCCCAGCTGTGTCTGTGTGTTTGTTTACTGCCCACCTCATGGCTCGTGAGGTTAAAAATAACTGAGGTTCAGGATGCAGAGATGTAGAGGGCAACCTGTGAAGCAGATGAGTCGAGTTACAAAAGCAAAAGCATGGGACTGCTCCTGAAGAGATAGACTCGTTCTGGAAGGCAGAGGGAAGCATGAGAGAACAAGAAATGTGGGTTTTTTATTTTAACATTTCTCCTTGTTAGTGTTGTCATCGATGGATATCCTGTAACTGCACATCAAGTCAATCTCTTCAATGCTAGGTCAATCATTCCCATGATCATCTTTGAGTTGGATGTGCCTTCCAAGGAGATTTTCAGAAGATTGCACCTGGAAAAAAAAAGTGAGCAAAGGTAATGTACCATGATGAAAACAACAAAGGAATGAACTTTAATCATCTAGGAAGAAAAAAGTATGTTTTTAACAGCTTTTTCCATTCCTTCTCTGTTTCTCTATTAGTTTCCCTTATCCATTGCACAATAGTACACAAATTATAGCTGTCAAGAATGCCAAGTACCACAAAAATATTGGTGAGATTAGGCAATTTTATCAAGAACAGCATCATAACTGGTATGTGATTGATGGATTTCACAGCAAATGGTGGGTTTGGAATGAAATCATTAAGAAAGTTCAAATGGTGAATAAATATATGCAGACATACCTGGAAAGAATACAAGAAGGTGAGAAAACATTTAAAAAGGTAGAATAAAATATGAATTAAAGTCTAAACATGCCTGACTCGTGTTACTGTAATGTATTCAATTTGAGCATTTGTCCTGACAATCTTAATTTAAATGTAAGCCTATAGTACTATCCAATTATTGTGATGCTATGGTCTGAATGTTTGTTTCTCCCTAAAATTCATATGTTGAATCCTAATCTCCAATGTAGTAGTATTAACAGATAGGGCCTTTAGGAGGTGATTAGGTCACGAGTGCCCTGCCCTCATGAATGGGATATGTGCCCACATAAAAAAGGCTTGAGGGAGCCTGTCTGTCCCTTCCACCATGTGAAAAGTGTAATCTGTGAGGAACAGGACCTCACCAGACACAAGATATGCTGGCACCTTGATCTTGAACTTCCCAGCCTCTAAAACTGTGAGCCACAAATTTCTGCTGTTTATAAATTACCCAGTCTATAGTATTTTGGTATAGTAGTCCAGACAGACTAAGACATGTGAGCATATTTGTTCTAATAAATGACTGCTGCTACTGAAGCTATCATTTATTGAATGCCTATGTGAACCTAAGATGTAAAAATAATGCATGATCTCTTATTAGAAGGGTTTATAGTGTTTGGAATGCCACATAAGCTATTTTCCAGAATGCTCGGATTAGTTATATGGGGCCAGTAGTCTGTGGAGGGACACTTGGCAAAATTTTGTTTAGGAATCCAGCATTAAAATTACTTTTACCATTTACATTCGTTATGGTATGCTATAAATGTTAGTCTATAAGAAAAAAACTAGAGCATTAAAATGATTGTTGATCTCTATTTGGAATTCATGGAAGAACATGTTTGATTATATAGTCCTATTAAATAGTTTCTTGATTTTCTCCAAAAATACACAAAATAGGAGAAAAGTTACCTACTCTGATATCTCTGAAAAGGGTGATGACTAATGAGAAGTTATCTGTAGGGGTCTCACAAACATCTATTTAATGATTTTGTTTAACTTGGGAAACCACAGAGAAGATATGATGAGGTACGTGGGAGCAAAATGATAAGAGAACCTTGTACAAGGAAAAATGAAGTGAGGATTCTGATAACTGCTTCATTTATCTTGCTTCATTATTTGGCATGACCAGTATGTCTGGTTCCTGTTTGTCTACAGATTGGGAATTTGTTTTCACTTGAGGATTATAAGACAGGAAAATAAGAGTGCAAGAGAAGGGAGAATTGAGTTTCTAGAAACCCATTCTCGATAAGCTCTGGATAGCATTGCATTAGTTAAACATGCCAAAGCAGACTTTGAAAGTAAAAAATGTGCCTCATTCCCCTTTCTGTTACTCTATTTCACCCTCCCTGTCTTAGATTGGGTTCCCTGGAAACAGACTCAAGATAAAAAAGTCATGTGCAGAAGCTTTACCAGGAAGAAATACTTTCAGAAGCAGAGTTGGCAGATTTAGCAACTAAAAATACAAGACACCCAGTTAAATTCAAATTTCAGATAAACAACAAGTGATTTGTTAGTATAAGTATATTCTAAATATCACACAACATATACTAAAAACTATTCATTGTTTATCTGAAATTCAAATGTAACTAGGCATCCAGTACTTTCTCTGGGACCTCAGATCAGGAGATATACCTGTAGGCAGGAGAAAGGTAGAATTGGGCAGAGGGAGAAACTAACCTGCAGAGTAGTGGAAACAGAGCCCTTAGCTGATCCTTTAGGGAAATACTAGAGCTGGGATGGACCTTCAAAATTTCCCAAATTGAGGGGAGGGTCCAGGCTTTGTATCCCCCATCAGTCTATCATTGACCGCAGGCCACCTGGAGGGGAAGGATAACTTGTACAACCTGTGGCAAAGGGGAAATCCCAGTTCAGCTGTTAGCCATCAGTGCCACTGTTCCCAGAAGCCAGGAATGGGTACATCAGCCCTGCAGAAGAACCTGGATAGGGTACCAGAGCATCCACTGCATCATTCTAGTGCCTTGTCTCTGCCTCAGACAGTTTAATCGAATTGAAGCCTGTCCTGTTCTCTTCTGCTCCAGCTTCCAATGAATAATCCAGCCTGTACCTATTTGCTTGAAGTTCATTTTTTTTCATGCTGCCTTTCCTTTTGTATGCTGTTCAAGTAATCCTGCCCATCGGGTCAAGGTTTACCCTGACCAATGAAATGGTGCAAGGCCATGGCTAAAATATAAAGAGATACTTCCTCATTCTGCCACATTCCAACATAGGATATGTAGACATTGCCAGATGTCACCAAGAATATCCTGAGAATTACAAAAAGAAACATATAAGTGTCTTTTAAAACTTGAAATTATGTGATTCTAAATTACACTGTCCAGATTGGTAAGGTTCAGCACATCTAAGCTAAAGAGCAACCTATGAATACATAGTATTATTAATATAATACTGTAGTACCTTATAGTATATTATAACACTACATATTATAATACTATATAGTATTGTTCTATAGTACTAATATATTATATTACTATAGTACTATAGTAGTGTAATATTCTTTGTAGGAAATGAATATTGGAGTTTCTTAGCCTTTTCATCTGTGTCATAAACAACAGATAGAATAATGTGTTAGTTATCTATTGCTACATAACACATTAATCAAAACTTAGCAACTGAAAACAACACACACATACACACACACAGAGTTTCTATGGGTCAGGAATCTGGACACAGTTTAGCAGAGTGGTCTCTCACAAGGCTACAATCAAGATGTTGGCCAGGGCTATGGTCTCTTCTGAAAGCTCAGCTGAAAAAGAATCCACTACCATGCTCGCTGTGTAGGTAAGATTCAGTTCCTTGAGGGTTATTGGGCTGAGGACCTCAGTTCCTTGCTGGCTGTTGGCGCTGGGTTCCTGACCAGGTGGACCTCTCCAGCACGGCAGCTTGCTTTATCAAGTGAACAAGTTGAAAAGGCAAGAAAGAGGGCTAGCCAGACTGAAATGACAATTTTCTGTAATTGTTTCCATTTCTTAGGGCTGCTATAACAAAGTGTACAAACTTGGTGTCCTAAATAACAAAAACGTATTTTCTCACAGTTCTGGAGGCTAGAAAGTCCAAAATCAAAGTGTTGGCAGGGCCATGCTCTCTCTGAAGACTCTAGGGGAAGATCTATTTCATGCTTCTGTCTTAGTTCCAGTGTTGGCCAGCAATCCTCAGTGTTCCTTGGTGTGTAGACACATCACTCCGTTCTCCTCCTGTGTCATCACATGGCACTCTGTGTGTGTCTTTCTGTGTCTTCACATGTCATTCTCCTCTCTGTGTCTGTCAGTGTCTATTTATCCTATCCTATTTCTAAAAAAGGTCACAACATAGGTATTGGGAGTACTTTGGCATCTCTTTCTGGCAGACACAGTTCAGCCCATAACAGCAAACTAATCTTGGAAGTGACATTTGATTACTTTTGCCATATTCTGTTTATTAGAAGCAAGTGACTGGGTCCATCTGTCACACAGGGGTGGGTGTTACACAAGGAAGGAACACCACCAGGCAGGGATCAGAATACCACTGAGTCATGTCAGATCAGTCCACCCCAGGGCCTCCAATGATGTACATGATACATGATGCAGTGAAGGAATTCACAATCGGATTCATGATCAGATCAATAGGGTAATTGGGAATGTTAGGTGACAAGAATTTTCTGTAGTGAGATTTGGTAAGTTTCAAAGTCATTTTGTTTTAAGACAAGTAATGCTACCCTAGAAAGCCTTCTCTTAATTCTGTGAAAGATGTACAAAAACATTCATGAGATGTCTGGCATTCTGAGTTTCAACTGGGACTCTGAACTCTTCAGAGAAGACCAGAACCTGATGATAGGGTCAGCATGCGTCATTGGTGTCCTTTCTTGTGGGACTCAGAGGTACAGTTGGGGTTCCTAATTGACCTTTGTTGACTCTGTTGAGTCTTAGATTTGACCATTTGAAAAATACTGTACTATCATTGATTTTCCTCTTAAAGACCTGTTGGGAATAGTGCTGACACCATGATGATTCTTTGCTTTCAAGAGGTGAATGGAGGATGACAGCCAATAAGCCAATGGTTTTAAATGTCTGCTTTGTTGAAGGAGGGCTACAATTGCTTAAAGGAGTGCCAGTTAATAAAAGATCCTTTATTTTGTGCATGTTCTTCCTCCTCCTCCCACCCCGTGTTTAAAAGCAAAATTGCATAATGCAAACCTCTTTGGGCATGGCTTCCCACCCATCTCCTTTTCAGGATTAAGTCTGGCCTTTTGGGGAGGTGGGGAGAGTAGTTAGTATCAGGGCACCTCATCTCCTGGACTCCCCCAGCCTCCTTCTCCTTAGAGGCAGGCAGATTGGTGAGGTCCACACCTCTGGCCAGTGATTCCAAAACCCAAAAGCCTCTAAAAACCTCAAGTTTATTCTATAAGACATTTGAAGGCAAAACTTGACCTAAGCTGACATGTGGCCATTTGTAGTCTTTATGTACCCCACTTAGTAGGGAAGGGCCATCCTATTTGGTTGGAGAAATTTAAAGTGAAAGATTATAGGGTGCTGCCCCTGGAGAGAAAAACTCTTTAACTTGCCTTTTAAAGGAACTTGGGTTCTTTGTTTTTAAAATAGATTCTTTAGGGTAAAACCAGTCACTTTTGCCTTCTCTTGGGTGGCACAAGGAGAAGTTTGTGTGAGTAACATCATGTCAACAAACTATTTGAACTTCCTGAAATCTATCCCATAGAAATTTTTAAAATATGTAGCAAATTTACACATGTGTGTAAGTGGGTATGTATTCTCACTCACATGCACATATATATAAATTGTGTGTATATGTATTGTTTATAACATATATATAGTTTATAATAGCTAAGAACTAAAACAGCCAAAACATTCATCAATAGATAAGTGGTCAAGTAAACTATAATATATTTATACAGTGGAATAATATTTATAAACTAAAAAGAATTAGGTAAATTATGTAAACTTATATGGAAAGATGTCAAAGACCATAACTAACTGATACAAGCAAGTTGCAGAATAATGTTTACAGTATAGTGGCATAAGTATACTATATGTAAAAAAGAATATATGCAAATGTATAGAAAAAAGACTACAAAGGGTATAAACCCAACAGTGATTACCTCTCAGAAGTGTTGGATTTGGAGGATGGAGGTGTGAATAGTAACTTTTACTTTTTACTCTATTATTTGGAATTTATAATTTGTATGTACTTGTATAAGGCTGTATAGGTGAAATTATTTTAATTTTTTAAATCATTGTATTTTCTATGAAAAAAATAAAATAATAGTTAATATGTTAATACCAGGAAAAGCGGCCTGCATTGACAAGTTATGTATCACACCACAAGAGCTGATTTCTCGCCTGGGAGAATTTGGACAGTTCTGCCCTGTCAGCCTGGCAGAAACAAATGAATTACTTGATTGCTCTGTAACGGACTCCTTGGAATTTGCAGCAGAGTTCAGGGGGCACTATTATAAAATGAGTTCTCAGGAAAAACTGAATGTAAGTTTGTTCCTAACTCCAAAAATTTACTAAGGAAAGAAAATGCCTTATCTTGGAATTTGTCAAATAGGAAGGGGTGGGCATTGCTGGGGACACCCAGAAACTTGGGATCAGGAGCTCCATTATTAGAAAGTGTGAGTCTGGGACCAGTGAGGCAACTCAGTGGTCAGTCCTGCAACTGCACTGCAGGATATATTTGGAAACATTGCAGAAGTCCAAGGTCAGTGATGGCCCCTTGGTCTGGACCAGCCTAATAGATGGAGAGAGCCAAGGTGAGCCACTCCAGTTCTGGGATGCTGAGCATCAAGGGCTCTGCCCACAGGTGGGCACCCCAGGGATTCAGCTCAGGGGCTGCAGAAGGAAAATCAGAGTCAGTGGAAATGAAGCAAGAGCTGACATATGTCTCCTGGGCTTTAAATTGTTTTCTATTGCTAGAATTTCCCATACACCTTATATTTCTGTTTAATAGAGCAGAATATAGATTTGTTCTGATATTATAATGTCCATAATTGGATGATATAAAAAGATTGGTGGTTGAAAACAATAATGAAAACAAAGATGCCTCTGAACATTTTATTTTCCGCTAAGAATTAGAATTTTTTATCCCTTTATTAAGGAGACACCATTTTTTCCTGCTTATTTAAATGGTAAACACAAAATTTTAAACTGAAATGACATTAGAGATCATGTCTCTGGCCCACCCCCTCCATTTTACAGAGTGGTACCCCAAGCTGAAGAAGTCAACTCACCTGCCAAAGGGCACCCAACTGGTTAATTATGCGGCAGGACAGGAAGACAGGCCGGCATGCTCCACTGCCCGTCATGTCATAGGAGTGCAGCAAATGTTTTTGTATGAATGAGTGAGATTAGGAGAGACCGTAGATGTGATCAGTCAGGAGTTTAAGGAACCTCCAGTCAGGGGAGAAGTTATCACAGTGCAGGAGCAACAGATGCCACTACTGAAAATGGGGAGGGATACTCTGGTTTCTCTTCAAAACGAATAAGTCTTTTTCCTTTTACTGAAAATGGGGAGAGCACAGGAGAGCCTGGGTGAATTTCTGATTGGCATAGCATTCCTGGTTTAAATGGTCTTGCTAGTGTAACCCTTTTTTGGTGTACATTTATGAGGTGCAAGTGTCATTTTGTTGCACGGATAGATTGCACAGTGGTCAAGTTAGGGCTTTTAGGGTATCTGTCACCCAAATAATGTATATTGTACCCATTGAGTAATTTCTCATCATCCACTCCCTCCTGTCCCCCCACCACCCTGTGATCTTTTTCTAATAGAAATTCTTGGAGAACCCAGAATTATACGTGCCTCCCTTAGCACCCCATGCGCTCCCATCAGCTGACATGCTTCCCAAAAGGCTGACGCTGTCAGAGCTGAAGAGTCGGTTCCCCAAGTGTGCCGAGCTCCAGGGCTACTGCCCAGTGACCTACCGAGATGGACAACAAAGGCAAGTCCTCGCCTTCCTGCAAGTACAGAATGATAGCTGTACCCAGAACTAGTGGTTCATATAACAATCTTAACATTTTTGTCAAAAGGTTGCTATCATTTAGTTGGAAAAATGTTCTATTTCTTCCTCAAGCTGCATAAGTAGAAAAATTAAACATTTTTTATGTTTTATTTAAATGGTTTTGCATATTAATTATATAGTACGGGGTTTGGGGTTTGTTTTTTGGCTTTTCAGATATGAAGCCCTAGTACCTGGTAACATTAACTATGCTGCAGAATATCGCAATCGTATATATATTTGTGAAAGTGAAGAAAAACTCCAGAAATTTTTGAGGTGAGACCATTCACTAAATCACAAATATTTATTGAATTTCTTCTGTGCTCCATGCAGCATACTGGGGAATTAGGTAGGGGAGATCTATATGTGAGAGTGTGTGGGGGGGGGGGTGTGAAAGAGAGAGAGAGAGAAAGAAAGAGAGAGAGAGAGAGAGAGAGAGATGGTGAACAGGACTAGTCCCTGCCATCCCAAAGCCTGAAGTCCAGGGTAAGATGAACTTTAAGTACCTGATAACAGAATGTGATGGAGTTTAGGGTGGGGAAATGCCTGGCCTTCTGGAACAGTGTAGCCCGAAGGTCTGACTGAATTGTCTGTTGGGTAAGGCCAGAATAAAGAGTGGGACTTGGCTAGATGAGGGGAAAGAGGGACATGTTCCAAGCAAAGGGACCCACACACAAACCTGGCCCAGGGATCACTGAACTGCCAGGAATTCAGCATGGCTGGATGTGACATGAAGAGGGACAAAGGAGCAAAGGTGAGGCTGGTGGTGGGGAGCAGGGCCAGAGCTTGGGAGGTCAAGTAAAACCACTACGAAGCATTTGGACTTGACTCAAGGGCAATATGAGTACATTGGTTGTAAGTTAGGTCAGTGTCATAATCAAATTTGCTCTGGAGTGAGACCATCACTGGAGTATTGATAATGGGTTGGGGGCAGGAAGACCAGTTATGAGGCTGTCTGAGTAATCCTGTCCAACATTTGGCGGCCTGTTTAAACTCACCTATAAGAGTCATGTGGGGAAAGCAGGCTTGGGACCACGCCCTGAGAGACACCAAGAGCTGAGACAGGAGACTGAGAAGGAACCACAGTGAGGTGAAAGAGGCGTCGGAGGGGAGGCAGAAAGGCTCTGGGATGGTGTGACCAGCAGGTTGAAATGCTGCTTTAGAGGTCAAGCAGTCAAGGGCTGTGAAGTGTTTGAGATTGAAGCGGCAGCAGCTCATGGGTGCCGTTGGCAAGAAAGGCTCAGTCGAGCAAAGTGAGTGGAAGTCAGCCACAGAGGTCCGAAGAGTGGATGAAAGATGAGGAAATGAAGGCCTTGCCTGTAGTCCAGAGTTTAAGAACACAGATGCCTACAGCAGGCGGGAGGCAGAGGACCCGAGGGAAGCAGATTGGCTGTGAAGCCATCACAGTGTGGGGACTGCTGCACACCAGGCTGCCTATAGCCTGGCTACAGGGAGCAGCAGCTCCTCATGCACTGCCAGACATTTCTGCTTTACCTTTCCACAAGGAGCTGGAAACCAGATTTCTTTTTAAATTGTTCAGATTACTCATGACTGATTCAAATTTAAAAATAATATACCATGTAGATCAAATCACATCTACAGATAGCATTTGTGTAGTAGCTTGCAATCTCTAGGGAAGCTCACTGCTTGAAGAAGATTAATTATAAAAAAAGAAGAGATGTTATCTGCTGGAAGAAATGCAAGAAGTGAAGGAGGTTTGTCTTTTTTTTTTAATGGGGGAATTATGAGGATGTTTACATGCAGATACATGGGAAGGACCCAATAAAGAAGGAAAAGCCAGGTGCAAGGGAGAGGGAGTGAGAAATTGCTATAGTAAGATACCCAGAGAGAAGCTGCAGGATCCAATGTGTGAGCAGAGACTGGTGTCAGGTGGGAGGTACCTCTGCTTGTGACCAGCAGCTGAGGAAGTCCAACCTGATGGCCTTTTTGTGTATAGCACGGCATCTGCCTGGGGGTAAGAGGGTCCTTAGAAGAGTCAGAAGTTTGAGGAATAAAGTCTTATATAGTTGCTGTGAACAATAAGAAAGCTGAGACTAGGTGGGCAGGGATGGAGACCCAGGTGGGTGGATGGCCATAAACTTTTAGGAGCCCCAATCTTCCCACTCGTATAATTTTCTCCAGGGGAGGAAAACAAGTAGTGAACTTTATCTTGTAATTGTCTCTTGCATATTCCTATATACACACAATGAGTATATTTGTGAACAACCTTCTAATGAACTTTGTGTTCTTAGGTCACCAATGAAATACTGGGATCAGAAGCTTCCGCACAAACTGCCCCCATTAAGGGAACCTATAAGTCTCACTAGTCTTCCTTTGCCTGGATATCTGGAACAGGTTATCTTTCATCATTTTCTATGATACATGTTAGAAGAGTACAATGGTATCTTCTTTTTAGCAATAATTTTCAAAATTGAAGGCAGAGTTTTCTGATTTTAAGCTGCAAACGATAAAATTCAAGTCAAAGTTTTCTGCTGTTAAGCTGCAAATCCACTCTTACCCTATTTTGTTTATGGATGGTTGTTAAAATAAAATGTGTGAAAATCCCCTGCTTGCATTGCTAATTCCCAGATATCTGCACTAAAGTGAAAAAGAGAGTTGATGTCATAAAATTATTGACATTTGGCATGAATATGTAGTTTGGTTCTTATTTTTGAATTTCAGTGTCTGTAAAACTTTTTCATAATTTGAAATGTGCAGATTCAGTCTCCATCAGGTTCATTCACTACTGAAAAGAGTTGAGTGGCAGTACAATGACAACTGAGCCACAAAGCCCATATTTTGCCCACAATTCAGATGAAGATATTACTTCATCATATTTTATTTATTCAAATATAACTCTTTTTAAAGATAATAAAACTTGGCAGCAGCCAACTATTCTTAAAGCTATTTTTTAAATTTCTACAAAATAAAAGCCTAGGACACAACTTTGCTTTATCAGAAATTTTTTTTTCCAACTTGCCTAGAACGGTTATCCTTTGACCTGGTTTAACTTGAAAATTCCAGATGAGGCTCACCCAGAAATGAGTCTTCTCATAAATGCTGAATTTTATCAGGAGGGCCTCACATCTTCTTCTAGGCTCCCGAATCTTGGCTACAGTGATAACTGTGGTCTCTGGAATTCTTTGTCAGGTGGCCAAGGGTCCTCACAGTGGCAGGCAATATGGCCAGTTTTGAGAGTGGAAGCAGATATGGGCTAAGACAACTCAAAGCCCAGTCTCCCTCCCTCCCTCCCTCCCTCCCTCCCTCCCTCTCTCCACTCTTCTCCTCTTTCTTTCTTTCTTTCTTTCTTTCTTTCTTTCCTTTTTGTTATGAAAAATGCCAAACAGATAAAAATAAAATTGTGTAGTGAAGCCCATACATGTACCCACCACCCAGCTGGCACTAAGCCAATATGTAATTTTCCTTTTCCTAATCAAATGTGTTTGTGTTTCTTTCTTGTTGGCTAAGTAATCATCTAACCATCTTCATGAGCCCCATCCCTACCCCCAGGAGGCTATTTGAGGCAAGGAATAAGCCTCTTTATTTGGTTGCACTAAGAAAAGAAAACAAACTTAAATATACACATACTTGACTTTGTTCCCTACCTGCAGGGCATCGCAGCTCCTCTAATTAAAGCAATGAATGCAGCAGGATGCTTAAAGCCCAAGTTCCCCTTCTTAAGTATAAGGAGATCTGCACTAGTATACATAGCACTTCATCTAAAAGGTATGTCTTTTTTTAAAATTACATACTACTCAGAACTAATGTAACATTAATGGTAACATACGTGATGAATAGGATTGTTAAACTGGGTTGGTTGCTTGGTTGGGAGACTGTGTGTGTGTGTGTGTGTCTCAAATATAATACAGGGCAAATATTTTAAAGATAATATAAAAATTGAATTTCTAGTTTTCAAAGCAGAGACTATAATATAGTCAGCTCTCGCAGGGGTGGGGAACCTGGGGCCTTGGGGCCAGATGTGTCCTTCTGGATCCTTGAGTGCAGCCTTTTGACTGAATCCAAATTTTACAGAATAAATTCTTTTAATAAACAGATTCATTCTGTGAAGTTTGGATTTGGTCGAGGGGCCGCACTTGCGGATCTGGAGGGCCACATATGATCTTGAGGCTACAGGTTCCCCACTCCTGCAAGGTGAATATAGGTAATTATGATCTAAAATAGGATAATCCTGACTGTCATGTGGGATTCGGATATCTCCTCAACCATAGCTGTGCAACTCAATCACACAGCCAGTTGTCTTTCTCTTTCCTTTAATGACTCACTGACCTAATAGATTCACAGTTCTGTGAAATTTTTCTACAGCATTTAATCCCAACAGTTCTGAATATACAAGAAAAAAGTATAAGAAGAAGATGGAACAGTTTGTGGAGAGATGTGAACTCATAACATACTTGGGTGCCAAGATGACCAGAAAATACAAGGAACCTCAGTTCAGAGCCATTGATTTTGATCATAAATTACAGACCTTCCTCTCTCTCCGAAATATCAACCCAATTAATGGATAGTTTGCTTAGGTAACTGCAACTTGAATCTCAAGTTGTCACAAAGTGACAGCTGGAAGTCAAGAGCAGTGGACTGAAAATCTGGGCCTCTCTGAAGTACTTTTCCCTCCCAAGAAACGCACACACTTGCCAGACTTCAAATGGACTCAAAGTTCTGCCAGCCAGGAAGCAACACTCTTCTGTAAGCATAACTTTTAATACAATACAATTTTAAGGTTTATTGCTCTTCGCTGAACTTCGATGCTTTAACAAAATAGACATTCCATTTATAATTCCATTTAGAATACTGAAGTAACTTATTTTAATAGATTTATTGTTTACTTTTCTTTTTAACATTTTCAGTAGAAGTGTTAAAGTCTCTGTTAAAGAAAATTACTCATTAAAGGTTAGAAAGCTTCAAGAAACAAAGTTAACATTGATATAAAAACAGAAATATTGGTTATATGTTTTATATAATGAATTGTTTATGAACTTTGTGAACATAAGACACTTTTATTTTCCCAAAATAAATGGATTTTTTGATAACTAACTCCCTGCCTCATTTCTTAAGCATTCACTGAAACATCCATTATGCATTATTTTGTAGTTAGATATCACCTGTGGTTTTAAGAAGGATGACATCTAGAGAGTCATTATATGTGACGTCTATCAAAAAGCATATGTAGAAGAAAACTTACTAAATTGAATTTGAATGAGATTTTAAAAATAAGACCAACTTTTCAGCAGCAATATAAAAAGATCTAGAATGTGAAACAGCAAGATTGGCTCTTTAAAACTATAAAAAATATGACCATTAACTGTGTAACCTTGGATAAATCTTAATTTCTCTGAGCCTTGGTTTCTTTTCTTTTCTTTTCTTTTCTTTTTTTTTTTTTTTTTTTAGTCAGAGTCTCAGTTTGTTGCCTGGGCTAGAATGCTGTGGCATCAGCCTAGCTCACAGCAACCTCAAACTCCTGGGCTCAAGCAATCCTTCTGCCTCAGCCTCCCAAGTAGCTGGGACTACAGGCATGTGCCACCATGCCCAGCTAATTTTTTCTATATTTTTAGTTGGCCAATTAATTTCTTTCTATTTTTAGTAAAGACAGGGTCTCACTCTTGCACAGGCTGGTTTCGAACTCCTGACCTTGAGAGATCCTCCCACCTTGGCCTCCCAGAGAGCCTTGGTTTCTTAATCTCTAAAATGAATAATTTAGTTCTTTGATCCCTATAAATTGAATAATGTCAGTTAAAAAGTAGAAGCCTGTTATATATATGTTTTGTATGATTTATTTTATAAAAAATGATTTTTAAACAAAAGCTGTAAGCCTATTGTCAAAGTTAAAATAAACCTCAAAAGCCTTTACTTTTCCAGGAGACTGGGACTTGCCAGTAGCTAACAAGTTTTTGTGGCAATTTAGGCCCCTAACCACTCTTGTTCCTGCCCATTTCTTAATGCCTGTAATTTACCATCTTGCCTTTGCCAGACTACCAGCTACTGGCTTTTTTATTCTTAACAAGATGTAAGTGTCCTCAGCTCTCTTCACCTTGTCTACAAATGAGAACTTATTTAGCATAACTGCAGACAGGGCTACATATCCAGTCTGTTTGCCACATGGCCAGAGAGTGTACTACTGGCTTTACACACATTATCTCTTCATTCTTACACCAAGATCATATAAGGAGTAGAATCCAAATTCAGACCTTATCAGCCTAACTATAGAGCCTTGCACATACCCTTACCACTTCCTAACTGCAAGCACATCCTGGAAACCACCATAACAGTGTGTGTTCTTAAGGTGTGTCATTGCCTAGAGTCCTTCGTGTGTGTGCGTGTGCATGTGTGTGGGGGTGTGTGTATCACTCCACACATGCACTCATAGCCACCTGTACTGTTTGCTATCCTTCTCAGGAGAGCAAGTTGTGTTTCCTTTAGCAAGCTATGTCAAGGGGTCCCTAACAAGGGAGAACTGCATTTCTGCGATAAGAAAGGAGAACACGTATCATTTAAAAACCTCTTATTGAAATTTTCCTTTTGTTTAGAAATTATGCTTGCATATTATTATAAATAAAACGTAAACTAGTATTACCAAATATAATGGAAAAATATTCTGCCTGGGTGTCTAGAGACCCTTAATATCTTCCCTGAGTGAAACAATAAGAGAGTGGGTGGCACTGGGGCTCACCCACAAATTGAGACTCCCTTGTGCCCACCCCTATCCTCAAGCCTCTGTACCAGCCTTGACTGCTTCAGGAAGAGGCTGAGACAGTACAGCTCTGAGGGCAAAGGAAACTCTTCAGCCAGCCTATGCCTCTATATGGCTTGTTTATACTTGTTTTCACTGCAGCCAAAAGAATGATAATTTCACCCAGGGCAGAGAAGTAGTCTTCATATGACAGATCCTAAGAAAAAAAGTCATGCAACTATAATAAATGAAATGTGGAAAAGTAGGGAAAGGGTTTTGGAATAATTCCTTTCCTTCCTTTTTTTAAGTTATACTCAGATCCATTGAGTAGATATCCTACAGGTGACCATTCCTACTGCTGGACTCTGTACTGTTGTACCATATTTAAAAATGCTGTGATGAATCTTTCCCTCTTGTATTTAGGATTATTGGCCTGACATAAACTCTGAGAAATAAAATTGCTGAGTTAAAGGGCATGAATATTCTTAAATGACTATTCATTCACAATTCATATTACCAAACTAGGTTAAAAAGTGGTTATAACAATTCATACCGCTTCCAGGAGTGCCCAAGAACACCAATTGTATTACTTCTTTACTATCATTTAGCATTATCAGTTTTTTCTTTAATAGGTGAAAAGTAGAACTTTGTTACTTTAATCTGAATTAATAGTGAGATTGAACATTATTGTTGGTCATTGAACATTATTGTTGAACATATATGTTGGTCACTAGTTTCATTTTATCTTTTGTGAATTATGTCTTCCCATCCTTTGCCCTCTGACTTATTAAGCATTTTTAAATTGTTTTGTGTGAGTTCTTCTATGCAACATAGACGTTAACCCTTTGTATTTGTAGTAAATGAATCCTCTTTTTTAGGAAAAGAAAACCTGTTTATCATTCCCTTACGATTTTGAATAGTGTTCTAAGCTCTGGAAATTCTTCCACCTCCAGAGATTTAATAAATATTCTATTCTGTTTTCCCTTACTTTTTTAAAAAAGTATATTTAATTTAAGGGAGGGAGGAAGGAGTAAAGTCAACATGGATCCTGAGTAAAACTGCCTTGAAGAAAAGGCAAGCCTCCACTATGGGTGGCTGATACTGGAAGATCCTTCAGACTCAGCTTCCTCTCACAGAGTTTGTGCTCTAGTGAGCACTGACTGAATGAGGAAATGGGAGTGCCTGGCTTACCTTGGCACTGAGTCATCTTCAGCTGTTGAGGATCTGTGGAGGACAAGTGTTTCTACTGCAACCTATGTGGCAGCAAAAATAATGGGGCAGTCAAGTCCTAGGACTGAGCTCTTTTCCTGCTGGCATGCAAAGTCAGCTAGAGCTCCCCGCCATCCCACTTGGACCCCCCCAAATCTGGAAGATTTAGAGGCAATTCAGGATGAAGGGGAAACCTCAGAGAAGGGGAACATGAGGCTTGAGCTAGTTTTAATAAAAGCTAGCAAATATGTAAGAGCAAGGCCAATAATTACACTTCCAGTTTCAAAATCATGAAGGCTACAGATGGCATGTTGGGGACCTGGAAGAGGGATGGTAATAAATTATAAATAAGTAGGTATTTGGTGAAGCATAAATTGAGAGGAGGAAAATGATGCAATAAATAGTTAAAAATAGGTGGTGAGCAGATTTGGGTGGGGCTTGCAGACCATATAAAGAAGCTTGACCAGCCTGGGCAACATAGCAAGACCCCATCTGTCTCTACAAAATAAATGTTTTAAAAATTAGCCTGGCATGGTGGCTTGTACCTATAGTCCCAGCTACTCAGGAGGCTGAGACAGGAGGATCACTGGAGCCCAGGAGTTCAAGGTTGCAGTTAGTTATGATCTCACCACTGCACTCCAGCCTTCGGTGACAGGGTGAGACCCTGTCTCAAAAATAAATAAATAAATAATAAGAAGAAAAGAAGCTAGGACTTTATCCAGAGGGCAGGTGGAAGCCACAATGGATTCTAAGCAGGGGAGAGATTCTAGGCTTTGGATCTGACTTGTGCTTAGAGATTTTCTATCCTCCTGTGTATTCAGGGAACAGCACTGCAGCTAAGACTAGAGACCCTCAGCAGCCTACTGAAGAAAGATGATGTAAGTCAGAATAATAATAATCATTTTAATTACAGCAGACATGAGTTAAACCAAGCACTTACTAAGCCCATTACCTGCTTAACCTTGCTTACGCCACAGGAACCCTACCAAGTTGGCATTAGTGTTAACATCTCCATCATCTTACAGGTAAACAAGGTCGTGAGAATAATCTGCCCGAGATCTCTCAGAACCCAGGTGTGTCGAACCAGAGAGCTCTCTTCATTCCCTTGGACTAAGGCCATCGGAAACGGGGAGGAAAAGGAGGCAGACGTGAAAAAGTTACTATTATTAGCATTAGATAGTGACGGTAATGCGCTCTCATTCCTTCACCACACAGTCAAGAACTTGATGCCATGTCTGGGAAGAGGCAAAATTGATTAAGGTGTCAGTGAGGAGCTAACGTTTAATACAACATAAAACTTCCCACAGTGCAGGGTTTCAAGGCCATTCCCATCCCTTAACCCCAATTTAGCGCAAAGACCACGCCCGCCTGCGAGCCCCCGGCGCCCCGCCCCCACGCGCCGCGCCCCGCCCCCTCTTGCGCCCCGCCCGCCGCCTGCGCCCCGCCTGCCCCTTGCGCCGCGCCAAGCCCCGCCCCGCCCTTGCGCCCGCCCTTGTGCCCGCCCCTTGCGTCGCGCCCCGCCCCCTCGCGCCGAGACGGCTGCCGGGGGCGCCTCCGCGGGCCACGTGGTCGGGCGTCGCTTCCGGGTTGGCTGCCGCGGCTGCGGCGGCGCAGGGACCCAAGTCTAGGCGGCGCAGAAGCCCCTGATACCGGCGAGGCGGAGAGGAGGGCTGATGCTGGTCTGGTACTGGGGCGCCCGCCAGGCAGCCGGGTGGGCTGGCCGCGACCCGGACCCCGCCGGGCGCCCTTGAGAGGTAGGTCGGCCGCGCGCCCGCCGTCCATGGCTGGGGACCCCCGGCTGCGTCCACCCCTACCCAGCCGTCTGCTCCTCTGGCGGGCCCGAGGGTCCTGACCCCTGATCTGGGGGCTTCCCCCGCGCCGCCGCTGCCTGCTCTGCCGGCCCGGGGCTCCGGAGGTTCACGCGCCGGCTGGCGCCAGCCTGGGGTTTCCCGGCTGCCCTTCCACAGCGAGGCCCCTTTACTCTTTACGTTATTATTATCTTGCGGCTACCCCAAATTCACAGTTCACGTGTACGTTTTCTTCGCCTTTTTCAATATTTTCACAGAAGAAATAGCTAATATGTGAGATGGAATCATTGCGATATTTGTGCAGCCATAGAAAGTTAGCGTTGGAAAGGACTTTAAAGGTAACTAA